CTTTTTATAATAAAAATTCCTTAAGGAAACTGATTTCCTTAAGGAAGCGCCTTAAGGAAGCTCCTTAAGGGAGCTCCTTAAGAGATTTCTGGGAATTGCTAATACTATAAATACTAATATATAACAACTTCTTCTTCTACTAGCAATATATAGACAATATATAGATTATAAATATATAACAACTACAACCTCCTCTTCTACAACGCTAACATAGTACCCGCGAATTTCCTGCCGCCGGCCCTGCTGGTGTTTTCGCTCGACCACGTGTTCGAAAGGCATAGCACTGAGAGAGTTGGTTCTGTACCGCATTACGCGAGAACATGCGTAGAAGCCTGTCTCCTAGAGGTGCATGGAAATCTTCCTCCTGAAGTAGGGAGGTTTTGTGTACATCTTCTAGAGGTGCCAATCCTGCGAGTCGAGGAGCGTTAGCATCTTCAGCTGCGGGAAAAGGATGAGACGAGTTGTCTGCGTCCTCTGGGAGGTAGTGCGTCGTTGCATTGACATTGATGTTGTCCCCGCTTCTAGGAATGCTGGGGAAGACGTCAGCGAAATCCATGTTTGTCCAGCCTCTACTTCTCGAAGACATTTTTGACGAACATGAAGAGCCGAAAGCCTGCGTTACGCTATAGGGAGGAAGCAACACCTTCCGCTCGGCATCCAGCTTACTTTTCCGACTAAGCCGCGCCAGAGTTACCCCATCTAACCGACCTGCAGCGTGTTGATGTGCTCCCCCCCTAGTTCGAGGCATCGATGATCCGTCCTCATCCGTTGAACCTCCAAAAACAACTCTACGTAAGCACCAATGATTGAAAAAACCAAGCTGCTCCCACACTCGTGCGTCAGGTGGGATGTAGACTTGCGAAGCCAAAGTATGCGCAGCGCCTGACGTGAAGGGGATAAAAGAAAGTGTGAAGCGTTGCTTGAAGAACAAGATTTTTTAGATCATTTTATTGACTTGAAATCATGGTCTAGTAAGTCACTCAGGAGTTTGACCACGTGCGACGTAGACGTCGTCGTCAAGTAAGCAAGTAGAAATACCATGCTGATGCTTCCCCGCTTTGTGACCGGAACCTGCTCGAGAAGCGTTCAACACTTCAGCAAGAAATACCTGTGGCGCGTTTCCCGTTGTGCTGTTTATTGATGAGGCGGTGAGATTAGAGGTGGGACATCCAGAAGGAGGAGGACGATGAGCAGGACTTTCTAAGAAGATCGAGCAGGACTTTCTAAGAAGATGAAGGAAAGAAGATCGATGAAGACGAGCTGCCATTTCAGATTCAGAAGGTAGTGAAACTACTGTTACTGAAGAAGGAGCATAACATGAGCTGACGCTGCAGAGGCCATCCCTCCAAAATTCATCTTGTTGGTAATCTTATTCACATCCATCGATGCATCTACTTGATGTTTGCCACCTGCTCTATTTCCTCCACCCTGACCCCCTGGCCCTGCTGGAACACCACCAGAAACCCCACCAAGACTAAACTGGTGTATTTCCTTCATCTCTGAAGTGGATGCCAAATTTTGTCTCCACTGGCGGGCGTGCCTTGCGCAGCGGAAGAGATCGTCGCAGGTGGAGAGTTTCGGGATGGCACTGGACGTGGAAGAAGCTGCTGCGCCCTTTTTTGTAGAAGAAGCTTCCTTCGATTGAAAATCACGTGTTCCAGCTTCTCCTCCGCGGCTCCCCACCTCAAGGTTCTGAATTTCCCTTAGCTTGTAACTAGCAGCAAGGTCGACAGACGCTCCACCAGAAAGGAGTTTCGGCGGACAGTGATGCCAACCTCGTATGGCCTGTTCTGCAGTTGGGAGTGGAGAGGCAACTGCACCTGCGATTTTCGGATCATGGTGTGATGATCTGGCGTATGTCGAGCGACCAATTCCAGCCAGCGCAATCATGGCACCGAAAAACTCGACCACATGAATTTCGAGCTTGGCGCCGCGACCGTCAACGACCCCATGATGTGATCGTAATGTGTCACCATCCTGAGGACTTTGCTGAGCTCCTCTCTCTAGCCTAGCAATACCGTCAGCACCGCCTCCAGCACTGCCACGACCACCTCTCCCAGCAAACTCCAACAACCGTACACATATCTCGACTGCATATACGCGATCTTCTTCGTCCTCCGACAACAATCGTAAGATGTCGCAAATAGAGAGCATGAACTCGTCTCCTTTCCCTTGCTTTTCCAGTTTCCATTTGACATAGAGGCGCCACCAAAATATAGGCGTAGTGCGATAAAGAATCCAGGAAAGCAGCCCTAGAGGACTCTCATCCTCGATGATGCCAACGGCCGAGAACAGGGACGCGCCCATCTTTTAGATTTACTTGATGCAATACAATACAACGCAATCAATCTCGCACAAAGTTCAGTGCAGCAGACTGCCTTAAGATTGTTGAAAAGGACACTTCTTAAGAGAATATCTCGGGCTGCGGGTCATCCTCGCAGCGAATAAGTGGGTGCGAAAAGGCTCATAATTGAAACGCTTGATTTCTGTTTCATCTTCTCCGAATCGCAGCTGTCGTCGTGACGGTGACCTTCTCAGCACAATGGAACACAGCGAGCGTCGTGCCACGCCGATCGAGCGCAACACCAGGCAGACGGTTGTGATCATAAAATCTTTTGGATTTTCATTACGATGGAGGAGCCCGCTGCAACGCAATCACGCCAAGCGCCGCGGGATGGAAATCTATCTTGGTTTTTCTTGGCGAAAAAGCAGGAGGTTCATTGAAAGGTTTGCTCACGGTCTCACTCATCAACATACTACACTAGTGTTAGAAGTTTAGTGCTACGTAGATATACTTTTCTACGACTAGACGAGAATCTACTTTCCTTATCGACGAGAGACGAATCAACTTCTGTCCACTTTTGTACACAACAAGGAGAAGGACGTATCTTTGAATTATAGTACTTGATCATGAGCGGACTCTTCTGTACAAGAAATAAGGACTCTTCCCCTTGAGGACTCTAGTCTTCAGTCTTCAGACAAGATAAGAATCTCTGTCTGAATAATAGTGCTACCCTGGTGGCCGCCTATGCAAACAGTGCCACCTTCCTGGTACTACTGTAATGTGTGTTCAAGTAAATGAAAAAATATCAGCACAAAAAGAACGCAGTACAAGGAACAAACTACCCAAAAATCAGATGGGTAACAAACGAGGAAGGATTTGTCAGTTCGACAGCACGACACCTCATTATTGATAAAGATAACAGAAAGAAATCATCAACCACTTACTCAAACTGAACGAAGAATGACTATCGAGCAGCCTACCCCTACCTCCAGTATACCTATTCATTGTCGAGCTAACTCTAAATTGATGCGGTTACGGCAACACCGTTTTTACCAAGCACGTTTTTGACGAGGCTCGGAATTATCGTCACTTACAACTAATTTTGGCTGTGATTTTCAATTCAGCTACAATTAGCTGAGACTTCGCAACGTTTTTACTCAACTTCTACGCGGCGGACGGTGGAAAAAAGAAAAATAAAAAACTATACGTAAACAGCAAGTCTAATTATTACATACTGAGAACGATGTCGATGGAAAAATCTCAAACTAACTAGTTGAACTGAGCAAGAGTGTGCGAAACGACAATTTTCACTTGGACAGTACAGCTACACCAACTACTTTAAGAAAATAAAACTGTATTCATCTTCTAGTAAAAGAACATGAGCATCAGGATGGCAACACTTTTTGCTAATGTGGAATAAACCTAATCCCGGCTGATGTCCATCTGCCTCCTCACGATCCAATATCAAACACCTCGTGTCCTGAACCGTGAACGAAAAGCACCCTTTCCAAGCGATCCACCAACGCTTCCGCACATCTCAAGTACTTCACGCACTCGTTTGGATCTGTGTGATCCCAGAGGTCTGGCAGGTTCATGATCACCAATTCCGCACGGCGACTACGAGCTTGGATGATACTATTCAAGCGTCTGAACGCCAACAGACTGTGTTGTTCCGGTATTTCCGGCAACGACTCCGTGCCCCTCACCATGCTTTTCGAGCCCTGCCGACTCGCGGAGTTGGTGGATACGCGCTTCGGAGTATTCCCCATCACCGACGACGATGAATTGATCCTGTTGCCATCCATCCCATTGTTGGTGGGACTAGTGCCGGAAGACGCTATCAATGCAGCTGCGCCAGGTCCGCTACCCGTTGCTCCGCTCATGGCATAGGGCTCTGCTCCAGCACTGGTGGGACTGCCCATGGTCATTTGTAGTGATTCTAGGGCAGATTCTGCACCTGAACCTGGTACAGCCGCTCCGTGTTCTCCTGCAGCTGCAGCTGCGCCAGAGTCCTGCAAGTCCTGGCTACCAACAATGCGATCCAAGGAGTTGCTCAGCACGTCGTTAATACTTGCTGTACTACTACTGCTGTAGAAATTTTCTGACAGAGCTAGAGCCACCGGATTGTTGCTTTGGGCTTTGCCTCCGCGATGAATCATGCCCATCATACCCATGCCACCGCCTAGTCGCTCACGCTCTCCACCAATATCCGCGTCGCTGACAGACCGAGGACCGACGCCATAGTTTGACTTCGAGCCACGCCTTGACCGAGACGCGTTTGTGTTTAGGACGTTGCTGCCACGCTGCTGCGGTAGAGCGGTTAGAGGTATTCACTGATCGAGGGTGCGACGAAAAAGTGTGACGAGTGGGATACCGAGGACACGATGAAATTCTAAATGGTTCGATGACGTAGGCGTAGGGACAAGTAGATGAATCTCGAAAGAGGAAAGTTCAAATCGATATGATAACGTCTGCGCATGTCTCAGGAGCCTTAATTGATGAACGCTTCCCTCGATGTACTGTTCAAGCATGGCCACCTCGCGTTGAAGATCACGACTGCCGCTGCGACCTCCAAAGGCTCGGGTTCCCAGCAAAGCTGTTGATGTTTTGAGAGATGAAGTTAAAATGATTGACAACAAGGTCGTAGAAGTAAGTAGAACAAACATCATACTACAACGCCTAATGCTAATCACATGTTCGCGACTAGCACAAAAATCACGATTAGAATCTGACTTAAGCCATCGAGTATAAACTACTCGCTCCACTGCTGACCGCTGCTGGCAAGGAAATCCTCGATCCATCATGATCCTGTGCGGGAGGTGGGTCTTCAATATAGTTGTGCTCACGTCCGCTATCGCTATTCGAGTTAGTAAATGCTGACATATGAGCTCCATCTGAATAATGCTGCGATGCGACTTTGTCGATACGGATGACTTTGGTAGTACACGTTCGGGCTTCGTTGCTGGCAGTGGACCTTGGGTTGAGAATGTACTGCTCTATCAAGAAATTCTAGTGATGGTGGGAAAGAGCAGGCTTTTGAAAAGTGTAAAAAATGTTTTCAATATCATCTTAGTCTTTTGTTTTTTTTTGCAAAAAAATTATAAATATATGATTAAAAGTCCTTAGCAGCGAATGTGAACAATACCCTTTCGTCCTACTTTTCGTCACCCCACCTCCAGTGTGTCGAGAAGGCTGTTCCACCTCTATCTCCCGCATGACAATTTGTTCTTCGTCATTGTCAAAATGCGTCGGCGATATGGCGTGGCCACCTGGCGTCATAGCTTCGATGTGCTCACAGCCATCGCCGTCTCTCGTAACCGTCACCACAGAAAACGATTTCTTGCGGTCGCCGGGCGCACGCACTTGGATGTTGGGCTCGGAAAGCTGCAATATTGAGTTTCAGAGAGGGAGAGGTACAGGTAGAAGAGCGCAATAATGAACGTGGAGTGATATTACATGTGAAGATGTAATATTAAAGTAGACTGAGTCCTCCTTCTATTTCGACGCGAAGCAATGGTTTCAAGAAATACCGTGCTAATCGGCAATCCTAGAGGAGGAGCAGCAGCATGCTGAATTGCCAGACTTGCTCCACTCACTCCAGTCGTCAACTCTCCACCTCCTCCTGCTCCAATTAGCGTATGAAGAGCAGCACTTTCTCCTGGTCCTCCACTACTAACGACACCAGCGACAGCTTGTTGTAATTGTTGAAGGTCATTCCCTGATCTTTCTCCTAGTTTGCTCTTTCTTTCCTGCAACATCTTCTGAGGCAGGAGGTCCTCAATTGTTTGCGGCAGTCCTACATGTTTTGGCTTTGCATTTGAACTCCTACCCTTGGCCAAAGGAGGTTGCGCAGAAAGGGGAGGCACCACCACGCTGCCTCCTCCAGCTTTTTCTAGGGTTGAGGAAGCTTGTGCTTGGACAACTAGCGGGCCTCCAAAGAGCCGACGATGGGTAGAACTCGTATCCGATACCGTGTCTGGAGCATACCAATTCCCCTTACTGTCCATCTGCTGCACATGATGACCAAACGGGATGGCGCTGCGGAAATCTGGGGGGTTAGACGCATCAATTTGATTTCAACGTCTCGTTTTTAGTACAGAATAATATATATGGCGCGGCGGCGCGCATGGCATGGAGTGCATGGATCGTATGGAGTTGCATGGAGCTAAAGGGGGCGCTTCTTGCGTCCCTTATGGATCTGCGCTCCATGCACTCGTCCATGCTACTTGCACCATGCACCTGTAAGTAAACTAATAGTACTATCAATTGCACCAGCTGACTTTTTTTCTTTCTAAAGCGACTTCTCAGTTCTCCTAGTCATAACTGTAGCCCCCGCACTCGAGCTGGCACTGTCTTCTATTATAGTCGGAATCGGCACAGGACCTAGATCCCCTATCGCGTCGAGGTCAAGGGCTGAGGAGCCACGTGAGGACGCAGGTATGCGTCGTAAGTTGCCGTCATTGAGATATTGGTCGTATCCCATATTGTCCATCGTCCCAGACGGGCCTGTGCCTGCATGAAGATGCTTAGAAGAGGTTGAAAAGAGGTCCTGGGTCTGTAATCGAGAAACTACGGAAAAATCATTCTGCTCAAGCTCATGGGAAATATTTGCTCGTCTCATAAATTGCTGTTGCTCCCAAGTGGTGGTCTGCTCCCCTGGGTTCATGTACGCGCTAGATGAACCTGCTATGACTCTCGAATTCGATCGCGGTTGTTCTTGCTGCATTTGAGACAGAAGATACTGATTATTTCCACCCTGACTTCCTGCACCTAGATGATCACCGGCTCCTCCAGCAGGAATATAATTCGCATTCGATCCTCCACCTCCAACTAGAATCTGTCGCTGCAGGTTCTCCACGCTTGAAATGTAAGGTAATACTCCACCTGGAGTTCCTCCTGCTGGGCGTGCTCCGTTTTGCAATTGGACGTCATGCAGGTCCACTGGTGGAGAACCAACGGGAGCAATCAGCTCCCTCGTCAGTTCCTCCTCATCGCTATCGTAATTGTGCGCATGCTGGACAAACGGTTCCACAAACGTGTGCTCTGCCATAATCACCTCTACTTAAAGGTCGACACTCTTCAGTGGTCACTGACTCTGAAAGAAAAATGCCCCATGCCTCTCCCCTTGTATTCCCTTTGTTTTCCCCTGTTGGTTCTCTCAGGGGGTCTCCTCTTTGATGTCAGAGTCAGAGACCAACCCCAATGAAAGTTGAGCCTTAATCCACATCGACATTCAGCAGTCTCTTCTTCTGCAACGTCTGCGTCAAGACTCGCGCAGCTGTAGCGGCTTCTTGTTCCGTAATGTCTTCCATCACGGTGAAGACGCGCATCTTGCAACCACGCCAGATCTTGTGCTGCTGGAGGAGCCAAGACACGAGGATCAAAAGTCCTCCGTCATGGATCATCCACCACACATCGATGGTGCCGTGGAAGTTAGAGAAGGAGTGAGGAGGAGGACGAGGACCGCGTGTCTGTCAACATGATGGAAGGGTGTGTCTGTCATGATGGTAAAAATAAAGTGTTGCGGAGGAGTGAGGAGGAGGACGAGGGCCGCGTGTCTGTCAACATGATGGAAGGGTGTGTCTGTCATGATGGCAAAAATAAAGTGTTGCGAAGGAGTGAGGAGGAGGACGAGGGCCGCGTGTCTGTCAACATGATGGAAGGGTGTGTCTGTCATGATGGTAAAAATAAAGTGTTGCGGAGGAGTGAGGAGGAGGACGAGGGCCGCGTGTCTGTCAACATGATGGTGAAGATAAAGTGCTGCGGATACTACTAGTGCAACTTCTACTGATGAGATAAAGACACATCAAGATCTTCGTAAGACACGGTTTGTCTGGAAAGTCTTTCGGATCCCGAGCAACGAGAATCGTCTTATCCTCTGCGTGAGCGGCAGCAACGATATCACAAAACGCGAGAGCTTTCTCCCGCTTCACCGCTAGAGGTTGATTAGCCCAGTTCGAAGGCCAAGCCATGAGAACCTTTTTTGGAGGTCTGTGAATTGATGAAAGATTTGATTCCTCATCTTTCAGGTCTACGAGACACGGGATAACGTTTACATTGAAGTCTAATTCTAAGACGCAACTGAGGACCCAAATCATCTTCTATCACAAGGTAAATACGATGATACCGTATTCGGCACTAGTCCTCCCAACCCCGTCAACTGCAGTATGTAGTTCGCGCCTTCGCACCAGTTTGGTGCCACCACAACTTGCGCAAATCCTTGGATCTCGTTCTGCTTCATGATGCTCATGATGATTTCTTTTTCGATCCTAGCCTTCTTGAGCATCTTCTCGTTACTCTTGTCGCCCTCAAGCACCGCAGCAACCACACACATGCCTCTACCCTTGCGCAACTGCGAATAGAACTGGAGAATCTCGTGATGTCGTGTTCGATCACGGTTTTTCCGCATGATGTCCGCCATGTGGACACGGTAGAGAATGAGGACCTGCGGACGCGCGAGGTGAACAAGAGAAGTAAGTTGAGTGAAGAAAATGAAGTTGTTCTCAAGGAAATTTTCAAATTTCAATGTCATGAGAAGTGAGGTAATTATGATTTATAGTGATCGAAGGCCAGAAGAACAAGATCGATCATGTACTCGAATACCTGCGGCCTCCAATTCACTTTGTGTCTTTGCGTTTGTTCCAATGACAGCAAAGCATTGAGCGCCAGATGGAATTTGATGCCATCCAGTCCACTGCCCCACTCACTGGTTTCTGCGCGGAAATCCACGTAAACATACAACGTTGCTGCCAGCAGGCACGTGATCAACGCCCACACCCACTGCATCCTGAACATGATGAACAGGCCAAGCACTACGCCAGATAATCCCACAAATTTGTACCACAGTCGCCACCTTTTGCGTTGGATGCCACTAGGCCTCCAACTTGGCGCCTTCAGACAGGTGAGAATGAGCACGGAGAGATTCATGTTAATATAACACGCGAGGAAGCACATGGTCAGGAGGGGAGCGACGACGTCGAGACTCCCGATCAGCACCAATAATGCGCAAACGATGTAAGTGTAGCCGAGAGCGCGGATGGGCTCACCGTGACGGGAACACGTTAGAGACGAAGGGATCCGCTCTTGCTGCCGTGAGGATTTTCTGCTCTTGCTGTAACTATTTACAACTACGTCTGTTGTATCATCTGTAGTGTGTTGTACAACTGATGAAGATCATTTTTGTGTAGACCAGTGGCCACTCCAGCAGTACACTGGTTCTTGTGGTTCTTCTACTCTTAGTTTTAACTTCTGAACTCCAACATCTCCAACTCCTTCTTCTACTTAGTTGTAGAGAAATTTAAAGTCACATTTAAGTAAGTTTAACTACAGCTCAAGCTCTCATCTTGATCCATAACAACGGCGCCACGACGTTCAGCCACGGCAAAACGTTGTCCCTAGCAATCGCCTGCAATAGACGCGGTGCAACTATGAGACATTGCAGAGCCTGGGATATCGAGGAAAAAATGATGCCAATATGAACGGCGTAGGGAAACGGTGACCAAGCGATTTCCTCAAACACGTAAGCACCCTTACCACCTGCGAGTCGTCGTCGGACTGCAGCTTCGTTAAATAGAGAAGTGTCCTCTTCGTCGGTGACGAAGGATGAATTGTTTTGTTCATTTTGGCCATGATCTGGTCGTCTTCTACCTTGTTGTTTTGCAAGCCTCCTCGCACGTAGTCTTGATATCTCATCTTCTGTCCGTCCCGACGTTTCTCGAGTTCCGCTACGCTCCATCGGAAACGCAAAAAGCCCTGCCAATCCAGACGCTGCAGCCGTAACTGTTTCACGCGTGAAGCTCGAAAGCACCTGTTCTGTCGCAAGGGATAGCAAGCCTGGAGCACCACTGTCGAATATGTCATCGTCATGTTCCTCCATCAACATGCTCCTCCTGACTCCACCAAAGATGCTGCTGCTACTGCTCGCGGCACTATTTCCGACTAGGACGCCTGGCATTAGTACGTTGGACGAGGAGGGGTCAGCGCGTCCTCCAGAGAGAATAGCAGCTACAGAGGAAGAAGCACTAGAACCAGTAGAGGTCGGATGCTGAATCGCATGCGATGAGAGACTTCGAAGATGCTCATCGGCACTACTCGTCCCTGTAAGTGTCTCAGGTACAGCTCCCGCTTGTTCCCCTACTTCTCCTAGCAGTCTCCCATCCCCCGCATAATTCTCCCAGTCACCGCGAAGGTAGCTGTATCTCGCCACCGAACCCCACAGGATCATGAACGAGCTGTACATGAAGAGCGAGAAAATGATCGCACCCAAAGTCCCAACCTTCAAGTCTCTTGGTGGATTCCTCAGGATGTCAGCACGATTTGCACCTGACAAAATCCCCGTAAAACACGGGAAAAACCAGCTCATCACCACTCCGAACTCAATGCCATCGTCGTAATGAGGCGGGAAATTTCCTTCTAAAGTCGAGCCGGAAAGACCGGTTACTTCGCCAGGAGGACCCGCGAAGTCCTTGCTAGTGTCCACCGTGAAAAAGCCAACGTAGAACATCGCAAGCGTCGAGAAGACGACAAAGACAAACACGACGCCCATTTTGGTAACGAATTTGATGCCCATGTAAACCATCATTACCATGCCGAAGAGGCGATTAAAGCGGGAAGGACAGGGAAGAACAGGAATTGAAGATTATGGGGGAAGGGAAACCAAAATTCAAACCTTGTTCCACTAAGAAGACCGCAGTGCTGAGGTGCAGTGCTCTTATTGCCTGCAACTGGTACAACTGTTCCTAGTATCTGCTTTAATCATCTAGTTCTAAATGTTTTCTGTGCTTTAACAAGTACTACTGATCAAGAATGACAAGGTCGTAAGTATAATCGATCCAAACAGCTGCATGTGTCCCGGCATTTCCTTTAGGCTCGGTCGCGCGATCACCAATGCTTCCACCGCACCCAACGTCTCTAACACTGCTAGCAGACTTATGCCTAGCCAGTACAGCAGTCCTACAGTCACACCAATTGCAGGCCCCATCGCACGTGATATCATGTAATAAGGGCCGCCTTCGGACACGAAGCCACCTGATGAAACGACCGCAGACATAGACGACGCTGTCAGAAAAGCCATACTGAACGACAAAAAGACCGCAACTAATGCCCAAGAGACACCAGCATTTCCCACGATGAGGTAGAATCGAAGAAAGATGAGCACGCCCCACATATTTTCGCATGTCGGGACGAAAACGCCGGCAAAGGCGCCCACCTTCTTAATGTCCTTCTTCTTGACCGAAGGGTAGAGGTAGACAGTGTCGTCCGCATCCTCCTGTTCTAGTCCCTGTTCGCGGTGCAGCTGCAGCTCCTCTTCCGCCTCTTGACGGAGCCTGGTTTGAGAACGTTTCGACGGTACTCGTACTCCAAAAACAAGTGGGTACTTCTAGTAGCATACGGTGACGACGTTGATGTAGTGGTGCCTCTACTACTTGCTACCTACAATCATCAAGCTGACCACCAGCAGTAGGTGGCTGGATATGGATTCCCATTACACAGCAAATCGAAATGATTGCCCTCTTCTTCCTTGAGTCAAGAACGAACTAGTCGCTGAAAGCAGTAAGAAGTTGAACCTTAGGAAAGGCGATCCTGATGATGATGATGATGATGATGATCATAAGATGATTTCCTCGTCATCAACCACATAATCATCAAAAACAAGTAGTACACTGCACTCGCGTAGTTCAGTTCCGCCGTGGTCATCGTCCCGATTTGCGCCCCTCGATCGGAGGCGCTAGAGGGGCTTTCTTGGGGTGGCCGCCCGCTGCTGGGCCCAGCCATAGGACCACTGTCCGTATCGCCTGGACTCTGAGGGACGCTTCTGCGCGTCATTATGGGCTCTAGCGCAGGCGGTCGCGAGCCAGCTGACTTAGAAGAATTACGAGAGGCCATTTTGGGCTTTGTGCTTTTAGATGAGTCGAAGATGACGCGTAAACTCCATAGTAGCTTTAGCTACGGAAACACATCATTATTCTACTTGTTTGCTCATATATCTGTTCGACGAGTCTTTCTTTATAGTAGTTTCTGTTTTGAAAGTAGACAGAGTTTCGAAAAGAAAGAAGAAAACACGTTGTAGTGACTGAAGGACGTTTTTTTAGGGACTTCAAAATTTTAAAATCAGAGACTGCTTGTACTTGTCGTGGGTTACTTCTAATGCTACTCATCTTGTCGCTCGCTCTTTCGCTCGGTTGCCTTATTTCCATTTCGTGCTCGTCCTGTTTCGTCCATGGCAATAGATTTTCCCGATGGGCATCTCGACAACAGGGGTAGATAATAACATCGTGACGATGAGTTATTATCCACATCTGTTGTCGCTCTTTTTTAGGAGACTCAATTTACCGAAAACAAAGTTGGACTTGTGATGAACTTGTTGTAAAATTTCGGACTGACACGGACACCGAGGCTGGATTGAAGATGACTGAAAAAAAAAGATGCAAAACTGCCCCAAGGAGGACACTTTGGAGCAGACCGGGTAGAGACCCAAGGCCGCACGTAGTGCTGCGCATGATAATTTCGGAGTTTCAATTCGAGTGACACTCGCAGAGCTCTTCTACTTTGGGGTGGGGACTACAATTGGATATCTCCTGGGGGTTGAGAAAAAGTACACTTTTCGTTGTCTTCGTGTTGATAGCCACGAGCGTGAAACTGGCTTCTAGTGACTCATTCATTGTTGCTAAGCATCACCTTCATCATCTGCTTCTTCTGCACTCTTTCGTGCAGCCTGTTCTTCGTCCACAACACCTTCGCGTTCGCTGACACTTCCATTGGCAGCTTCTTGTTCTTGTGAAGCTTCAACAGGTGCTTCTTGTTCAGCTTCAGCTGTTTCTGGTTCAGCTTCTTCAACTTCAGCTTGCACCTCATGAGTCCCTTCAACAGCTACACCAGCTTCTTCACCCTGGCCCTGTGCCTCCTCTTCCTCTTCCGATGCTCCTGTATCACTTGACCTGCCTTGTTTCCTGTCTTCTTTGCCATCCTGCTTTTTGGACGACGGATCCTCTAGCAAAGTAGGATCCTGCCAATCTGCCGTTAGCAGTTTTCTGCGCTTAGCAACGCGTTTAAGCTTCTCGACTTCCGTGCGGAGGACAAGGAGAGCATTTTCGGTCTTGAAATTGTCTGTCAGGTACTTCTCATACTGAGCCCTCAAGTTTTGAAGCTCACTCTGCCCAGCAATTTGAGCCAACTTCCTCTTCTGGTTGATCTGCTCGGATTCGCGTTTCAGAGTGGCAACCTGGTGAGTGAACAAGAAGGTAGCAGAGGTTTGGAAATTATGCTTCGAAACAAAAAATGGAAAAAAAATCCTCAGAATGCTGAGTTTTTACATCTTCTGTGAAGCCTGTATTAAAGCAATCAATCTTCAATCACATCAAGAAATTTTTGACAATCAAATAAATCCTAATTCCATACCTCATGCCCCAACTGCCCTTCCACTGCTTGATTCGACTTTCGCAATTCCGATGCAGCTTTTTTGCCATACCGCAACAAATGCTCCAAGTTTGCGAGACGTAGTTCGTTGCATTGCACATTGATCTTCGCTTGGTCCAACGCCTCTCGCCAAGCTTCCTCTTTGTTTCGATCGAACACGCCAGGTCCATCCATGCTCATGTATTGCTTCTTGTCAAACGGAGCCATAGCACGACTTTCTGCGAGTCGTTGCCATTCCTTATGGAGGATGTTGCGAGAAATGGAACCAGTTGTATCTCCTGTGCTGTCTTGTACTTCCTGGTCTTGAAGACTATTCAAGAACTTGTCTGGTGATGAAGATCTTCCTTGTCCTTGTTCGCTTTGATTACTCGCAAGACTACTTCTTCCCCTCTTCCTCTTAGAAGGAGACCCATCAGCCTGTACTACTCGGTCACCGGTTGCGGAGCTGGTGTTAGCACTGCCCATTATCCTGTCCGATTCTGAGCCGAGACTTGCGACAAAAGCTTCTCCAACCGAACTAGAGCATCCTACTGGAGCTAAAACACCACCGTAAGTACTCTTGCCACTGGCAGCAGCTCCTGCAGTAGTAGAGCCAGTTGGTGTACTATCAGCACCTCCACCTGCTCCACCAGAAGCAGACACTGACTGCCGTTTGATCCCTCGTTCTTTCTCAATAGCTCTAGCTTCTTCAGCGATCAAGTCTTTGACGAAGGTTGCTTCGTTGCTATTCTCGTCTCCAGCTGTTTCGATGTAGACCAAAGCATCAACGAGATCGTGGTCTGCGTTTGTCTCAAACAGCAAAGTCCCAGCATCCTGGAGAACCGCAGAGCCAACAGCGCTGTTCACCTTTAGCTTCTTCGCAATCGAAGTGGAACCGATCGCGGTGGAACCAGACATTTTGTTGTTCTGAGTGGAGGATGGTGAAAGTCCTCTAAGTCTTGATAGAAGTAGAGGAAGTTAGTACAACTCGTCGAAGATATTGATTTAATATGAAACGAATGCGTTGGCTTCACACCTTGGTTGACAACAACAAAAAATAACGGATTTTTATCCTAGAACTACAAAGATAAAGGATGAAGAGCGTCGGTCTAGGTCCACTGTTTTCGGGAATGACGAGAGAATACAAAATTCAGAGGACCACAATCAGATCATTCACAAGAAACACGCCATATTGTGGTAGGAATCTTTGACCCAGAACGTCGAAAGTCTCCCGTTGTTCTTGAGATTCATTTGTACTCACGAATAAGAGCTCCGGAAAGCAGATGACATTACTTGATTCTGTTTTGAACGCATTTGAGTTTACTTTCACCAGATTTGAATTTTTAAATGAGGTAGATCTAGTAGAATGACTACACGACTGTGTGCAGTGGAGAAGCTAGTCTTGTTCCTGCCTAAACTACTGGAGGAGCACCATGACATGATCTTCCGAGAACACAGAAGTAGATGATAACATCGATTTTTACCTCTTTTTCAACCTCGTCGAAGATTTCCTTCAACATCATCTTGGCCCGGCTCTTTTCAGAAAACTATGAGCAGCATCAAGAAGAGGAGTCTCCTCTGAGGAGACTCTGTGACTCACTACTAGGAATAAGAAACAAGAAATCACGCTGACATCTTCAATCTCTGTGACATTGGCTTGAACAACAACGAAACGTTCTTTCAGACCGAAAAATCTCATATTTCTACTTCTCCAAAATATTGAATTTGAAATCGAGAATCTACTAACTTTTTCATCAAAATCAAAGCTCACCATCTGTTACAATGATCAATCGTTAGATCTCAATCTGCAGAACTAGAAGTCAAAAATTTTTATCGTTTTTTTTGGAGTTATTTGTTTAATAATTGCTAAAATATTGCTTTTGCTACTACTTCTCAATTTGCTCTACTTAATGCTAGTATCTGTCTGATCTATCAAAAAAAGAACTTATCGAAAATTAATGGCAACTAGACTGGGTTCAGGGATGCGGTGCTTCTGCTAGTGCCTCATCAATACTCTTCCAATCTAACGAATTGAGTCGTCTACTTTCTTGTGAAAACCTCAGGATTGCCAGGCACCTGCGTCGTATTGCTTTTGTGCACCCCATCGCATCTTTGGTGGAGGTAGGAGTTGACCGCCAATACCTCTCGTCCATCCCTTAGGAATGCCACCTTTAGGCCCGACGACGCTTCCTGGTACCGCGTGCGGATTTCTAGTACTATTCGATGCCCGGCGGGCGGCCGCAGAAAGTGCAGGACCATGAGTGTCGGAGGTTTCCCTTGTGGGTGCTGAACCGCTGCTTGGTGTTCGGGTATGAAGGTCCTCGTCGTGGAGGAGGGAGACTCTAGTATGTTTCTGAACTACTTGAACTTGATGAATTCTCAGAAGGGTAGTTGAAATTGAATTAGCACGAAGACTTGATGAAAACGATCATTAACAAGACGAAACTAAGAGACACAGCAGCTCGGAACAAGTAAGTACGTAACACATTGAACAACAACATAAGTAGATGGTCCTCCTCCTCCACATCCTCGCGCCCGTTCCAAACGCTGAACAATTTTGATGTTCTCCTGTTGAACCCTCTGTTGCTCGCGCAGTCGGTTGATCGTCACTGAACTGTTCTTAGGACGAACGATTCGTGCGGAAGTGGAGGCTGCAAGATCAGGGGGTTTTCGAGACATTGTTTTTGATTTTGTGAGTGGGAGAGAATGGACGTAAGTATTATTGAACAAGACATCAAAGTTGAAGAGAAGAGAGTTCATCTTCCCATCAAAAAGAATTTTTGCGCTATTTTTGAGATTAGAAGAAACAACAATAACAAGTACCAATCGCATCTCTTGGATCCCTGTCTTTGATTTTCACCAGACGGTTCAACAGGTTCTTGTTTCCTTTATTGATCTGTTCGATCTGATAGTTGTCATGCGACCAATTTTCCCTAGGTGGAAGGGCGCTACTGGTTCCTGGTGGCGTCGTTGTAGTTGGCTGCCTTCCTCCTGCGCTAGCAGAACTTGCTTGCTTTGCTGACATGTTGCCTGAAGGACCTCCTCGTCGTGTGCTCTTTCCTGCACTTTTTCCGGAAGAATTAGACGAGAACTGCAGATGAAGATGGTGGTGACGAAGTAGATAAAGTTAAAAAAAACGATGATGAGAAAAAATCAATATGGCCGCGCAACTTCTACTTTAATGAAAGCCAAAACATGTAATAGGTGTAAACAAGACGACGAGTTTTAATGGAGGACGATAATGTTAACGACAACGAAATTTTTAGCATAACTTTCCCTCCACCTTTCAGTGCTCTCGAAGCTTCGATCGTGTCCATGTGTTCTGCCTCTTCAACCATGGCAAAAATTAGGCCTCTCCCTGATTCATCCCTGTAGAAATCCCTCAAGCGTATGCGTATGCGTCACTATTCCCCTGGTATTGGGGCGCATGCGCACAGTTGAGGGATTCCTATTCCTATAGAGATGGACGATTAGGGGAAGCCTTAATTTAAGCTTGGCATTCAGTTCCATAGCCTTAAGGAATTCGGCCTCTTCGTCAGGCGTGAACTCCTCGTCAAATTCCTCATTTTCATAAGGATCATCCTCAACTCCAGGCGGGAGATGCGAAGAAGGCATTGTGGCGGCAGGCATTTTCGTGTTTTCAAGAATTTGATGATAAAGTTCCCGATGTTTGTTGGAACCCTACGCAAACTAAGTCATGTTTATTGATGTTCTAAAATCAAGATGAGGAGTAGATTAATACAATGTAATGATCATCTTGTAAGTTGACAACGATTCGAAAAACATTGACCGTTTAGCTTCACCGACATCAACAACAAGAACTTTTTCATCTCGAGCAAACTCTTTTTTTCATTGGCGTAGGGAGGACTCATTTGTTTCTGACACCTTTCTTCGACAACTATATAATTAACGACACTCAGGAGACGTTGTGATGTATTAACGATAACAAATATTTCTGGGGACATTGCTCTTGCGTAACGCACGACGAGCGAGAAGATAGTTGCCACTTTCAAATCTTCCGAAGATGTCGTTCCACTGCGCAATACAAGTAGTAACGATACCCTCCTCAGGTCGTGGATATTAGACTGCAATGCAAATAGCTGTTCGTGACTCATTTTCAGCTGCTACTAGCATGAACTTCTACTTTTCAATCTTACTTGTCCTACGGTGGGGAAACATTGGCCTTCAACATTGCTTGAAGCGGGAAGATGAGGTGGCACCTCATCAGGCTCTTCTACTGGTATAGATATAGAGGGACCTGTGGTATCTCTTGGACTATTCATTTTACTATTATTTTTGGTTGCACTTGCACTACTAGTACAACTAGTGTCTATTTGTATTTCGCGATCACCCGGCGCGCTCTCTATTGTTATTGCACCTTCTCCTTGTTCCCGTTCCCTGCTGCTCTCAACCTCGAACCCTACAACATCTGTTTCTCTCTCCTCGATTTCAGACTGAAATATCGCATCTGCTTCCATCCGCTTGAAATCGAACCTCGAGTGGAGCAGCTCCTTGTCTATGCTGAGCTGCGTCTTCTTCGCATTCATTAGAGGTCCGTCGCCTAAGTTCATACAACCGCAGGAAATGCATCATCCCGTCGATGGCCTAGTGTGGTCGTTCGGGATGCAGTATGATGAATTTGCACGCGCAAAATTAAAGGTGTCTCTTTCTTTGACGTCTTTTCTCCTTCGAAAACAGGCCATAAATCTAGGACATATTCCACCACTTCTTTCGATCTGTACAACTTATCGACGTCCAACTGGATTTCCCGATCATCCTTCTGTAAAATCTTCAAACTGGCACAAATTTTTCCCAACTCTTTCTTCAATTCTCGCAGTACCTCCGCAGCGACGTCTTGGTTTCCAGATTAGAAGGGGTATGAAAATAATGATAAGGAGCGGGGACGAGGCACGAACTTCAACAACAAGGTGGAGCTATTAATTAATATAATCTAGATCTAGCAGGAGTATAAAAATAATTGGATGCACAAGTAGATACAAATGAGTGGTTGGAGTCAAATTGGATGCACAAGTAGATCCAAATGAGTGTTCTTGGTTGCATCAAGTGTGGCGAGGACAACAAGGCCCACAAGGATAAGTAGCATTTGTTGTTCCTTATCCTTCTCTTCATCCACGTCAACTACTACAATAGCTCAACACATAGTTTTTTTGACTAAGTGCCACACGCCTGCCCTTTTTGAGTTCCGTCTCCGTTCTCTGCTTCAACGAAGTTTTTCTCTGAATCGCCTCCTCAAGCTTTATTCGTATCTCTTGCAAATCGGTCAACTGCTTCAAAATGCTGAGTGTCAGTGGAGATTTAGATTTATATATTTGGACTAAGACTATAGGTGCTTCTCTTGATCTTCTTCTTTGTGTTTTTACAAGATCTAGAAGATCATGAGGAGTAATATCAGGAAGATATGGGAAGATCCATGGATCTTCAATTTAATGATGATGAGAGATCCATGCGAAACAGAAGTACTGTATCCTTTCTTTTTCGGTCCGCGATATTTCTGTGCTACTACATATCTCTCGAAGTAAGATATGACCGATTTATAGCTTTTACTCTTCATTTGTCTTTTCCATTCTTTCAGTACTTCATTTACCAAGTGGTAATACAGATTCATGGTCAGTGAACCGACTTCCACACGACATAATTGAACCTTTACTTCACTTAGCTAAATCTTAGGTGACATAACATTCAAAACTAACAAGCTCCTTCCTATAATATTAAACAATAACAAGTACTAGTACAACTACCCACTGGAAAAACGGCGAAACAGAAGTACTCTATCCTTTCTTTTTCGGTCCGCGATATTTCTGTGCTACTCTCCTCTACAAGCGCTGCCACCTCGGATTTTATCGCACGATCCACATTTTCTATCCTCGCCTGCAGCAACGTCTTGTAATCGCTAATTCGAAATCGGAGTTTCCTATTGATCTCTCCTTCCCTATGTGCTGCTGCGAGCAATTCACTGTCGGAAGGAAGCTTTTTCTCTTTATCGTACGAGGATGATGAAGACTTCCGGATGGTGGAAGAAGCGGAGGCGGAGGCGGAGGACATCCTGGTCTTTTTTTGCCAAGTAGAAGATAAGGGTAACTTAAATAATTGAAGATGAGGATCTTGTTGATTTATCCTTTCGTTGGTCTATCAGACCGGAAACCGACCACGACAATGGTAGTTCCTTTGTCACTTCTCAAGAATGGAGAGTGCTTCTCTGTAAGGACACAGAGCACAGCATGTTGATGAACGACAATGGTAGTCGTAAGCGTAAGGGGAGCGCTTTTTTTTTCCAACGTAAAGGCTTCTCGGTGTTCCACAACTAGTGCTCGCGCTAGAAGAAAAACCGGCAACAATTTGGAAAAGTTTGATCCCCGGCGATTTCCTCTCTCGCTTTCCGAAGCAGCCTTCTCCATGTTAAGTCTCTCGAGTAGCTCTTCACTCTCAAGATTGGAGACTGCTTCTATCATGTCCCGTCACCGAGTATGTTGAGGAAAGATCTGCTCGAAAAGAAGTGGAGGAGTGAAGGACCTCCTGATTCATTAGAGATTTTTGATTTCGGTTCGACCTGTGGCTGTAGAGGACAATTCGACAATCCTACAGATGAAGATGAGGTTGACTTTCGCAGCAATTGTAATCAGTCATGCACCAAAGCGTGGCTGAGGACTTCTTTATCCTCGTCTTCATGCGCTACTTCTTGTGTGCTGTCATCAAGAGCAGGAAGACTCTGTGTGAGTGTATGTGAATCAACAAGAAATCCCAGCACCATGTTGCTTCCAGTTTTTATGTGCTGAATCATGATGATCAGAATGAATGAGTTTTTAGAGTTTGTGAGTATATTCTCCTTGTGCTAAGGTCTGGGCCATTTTGCTGTGATGTCTTCAACATCCAGTTTCGCTCCAGAACAAAATTGAAGATGATGAAAATGATAGATAAAAACGTGATAAATACAACTTATGTTGAATGTTGTTTTCTTGGTTACTTTTTCATAGCATTCAAGCGTTTAGTAAGCTTTGGCTCATGATCTTCATCTGTTCTTGGTACTACTTTTTAGAAGAGACAACTTCTTGTACAACAAGAACTACTCAAGGACATAACAAAGAGTTTTGAAAATGCACAGCCGGATCCAAAAGGCAAGAAGGAACACCAGTGGCTTTATCATGTCCTTCAACTTCATCAGCATCACCTTCCACCTCTTCCACTAAACACGTAGCGACCAAAGGAAAACAACTGTCGCACCAAATTCTTGGACACAAAGCCTCCAGCGACTTTCGCAGACGTGACAGCAGTTCGTCGCATGGCTAATTCCATCGCCTTCTCTGCCCTGTCTCTGGCACTCCTCGATGTATGAGGGAACAAGAGAAGAATCCTGTAGTTGCTATGAACGGCTCGAAAGTGGGTGCGCTCTTCCCACTGGTAGCGCAACATGATGATCACGCCAGCTGCCAAGCCAGAAGCTCCCGCAAAGATCACCGCAAACTCTGGAAGCCCAGCATGCAAAATTAGGCCCTTGCACAGAGCCCAAGCGACGGGGATGAGAGTTAGAGATGAGAGAAAAGATGTAGTTGATGCGTCAACATCACTGTAATGGAAAAATGATTGTGAGCGATCACTGTACTACGTACTTCTCTACGGACGATGACATGATCGTCTCTAGTATTGATCTCGTCTCATCTAGTTCTTAGTGGTCTTTCATGTTTGAGGATCCACCTCCCGGTGGAACAACAGGTTGATCCAATTTTTTCTACAAGTGCTTGTCCGGCTGTACCAAAAATAGCTAGAGTAGAAACTAACATCTTAATGTTAATCTTTCTATGACTACATCGATCTATCTTCTTCATAATGCAAATCCCAACCCCACTCCAATTTTCCTCGTTACCAAAACAACCAGGCATTGTGGAGGTGTCGGACTTATGTTGGTCAAGAAAGCCACAGTCGCAGACAAATTGAACATCGCAAAGACACCTGAGCAGAGTGCCAAGACGCCACCGTAGATCGCCGTCTTCGCACCAAGTAGTCGCAGCAAAACCGTCCGCTTCGTCAAACATTCAAACAGGTGCTCCTGAGCTCTCTGGCCAAGAAGACCCAGAGAGAAATAGACTGTCTGAAAGCTCAGCAAGCTCTCGTCAGGGGAAATCAACTTCAAAGATTGCAGCGTGGTAAAGCTTTTTGGTATGAGAAAACGTGCGATGAGCTCTTCCCAAATGAAGAACGCGATCAAGGCCCAATAGAGGATAACTCGAACGCTTAGCGCCTGCGCCTTGTACACGATCCACCAAGGAGGCGGTGTTTCGTCCAGCAACGCCGCGCGCTCCCTGTCGTCGCACCAGCGGCCGAACCAAGCCAACAGCGCAACGGTACCCAGTGGCATGAGCAAATAGCCTCCCTTGTCATGTTCCAACAACGGCGACAGAAAGTCCCGCGTTCCCAGCCAACAGCCGACACCAGGAAGAATGGCGTGAATCCCGAACACGATCGCTGCAGGCAAACTACTCAGTGTCTCAGTCACGTACGCGTAAAACCGTGGCGCGCGATGCACCACAGGGACAGAAAGCGCAAAGGTGAGTCCCACGATGCACAACACCATGCCCAGAGTCAAATCGATTTTGGTGATCAAGGAGATCTGGAGGACTGGGAGAATGCGAGTGAGCAGAAAGCGCGTCACGGAGAGCATAGTGGGTAAAAGCCATATGAAAAGGCAAGCGCCGAGGACGATTGGCGTTTCGTTTCTGGGTTGAGGCTGGAAGATTGCCGCAGCAAGAGCTTCTGGGCTTGCGCCTTGGTTGCTAGATAATTGCCCCTTTCCCTTGTAGGAGACCAAGTCGTCGACAATATCGATCAACCGTGAAAATTTCGTAATGCCACTTGCTAAAATCACTACTTCCTTCACCACCGCGCGAGCCACGGCACCAGTAATATCCGCTAATTCGTGGATCTCTACCATATCACTGAGGTTTTCCACACCCGGTCCAGAAGGTTCGCCTTCATCTGTCCTCCCCATGCCCATACTGCCACCTGGAAAGGGCCCGCCTCCTCCGATCATGTCGTCACGATGATATAACGGACTGGCTGCTCCTCCGTAGGTGGAACCAATCATGTCTCCTGCGTGGGGTGAGCGCGCCATGAATCCACCACCGCCTCCACCCCCCGGTCCGCCACCTGAGGACGATGATCCTGATCCACCTCCTCCTACTGATACCTCACCCTCCCCACCTGTTCCTCCCGGACCAGCTCCTTCTTGTTGCTGTTCGTTTTTCCGGTGGATATTCTCGATATTTTGACCAGGAATCAAGCATGTCAAAATCAATGCTTGTGCCTCGAGATCGTTCTCCGTGTCATGACCGTAGAGCTCGGCAATTAGAGCGCAGTTTCGGATTCGATAGAACAAATCCTTGAGAAACACGCTGCTGGCTCCGACAACAGGGACTAATCCAACAAGAAAATCGACAACCTTTTCGGCATCAATCGTGTTATCAAAAAATCCATTGCCGATAAAACTCGACGCCCCAAAAGAATCTCCTCCTCCTCCTTCATCGGAACTACCTGCTAAACCCGCTCCAGCTCCAGAACCGTCAGGCGAAGACGCACCAGCACTTCCATCTGTCGCAGTTGTGACACCATCTGGATTCTCTGCTTTATCGATCAGTATTTGAATCGCTGCCTCTGTGCTTCCATACATCGCCCTATGTGTTCGCGCTGCTTCCGATATAGATTGGATTCTCAATCCTCTGTCACTTCCGGTCCCCTTCAATGCGTGCGTGACAACAAACCTCAAAATACTCTCTAGATGCGACTGTAACTGCTTAGACGTGTCACTGCTCTCCAATTTTTTAGTGTCCAAACCAGAAACGTCTTTAGGATGCTTCGCCGCCGTTGCTTCTGCTTGCATTTGCTTAAGTCTTTCGGCAGAGAGGGTCTCATCACCTGAATCGATGCGGATGCGAGTCATGGGCCTGCTTCCACCTCCTATTCCAGTCTTGGTAAGATAATCCTGTTGCTGTTGAAGAAATTCAGCGCGAGACATTCTTGCGGGGCTCATACCACCTTGGATCTGCTGAACGTAATCACTCTGCTGTGTGGCAGTTGTGCCGTAGTAGTTACGACCAGCAAGTGAGTCCATCGGGTTGTAATCACCACCTCCAGGACCACCTATAAGGAGGCCTGGTGTCCCAGGCGAAGGAGCTCCACCAGTGGTTGGATCCACTACACCTGAATTCGGTGTAGGCATATTGCCGATCAAACCACCGCTACGTCTCTGCCTCACACTTTGTGCTTGCACTGTCCCTCCTAGAGGTGACTGATGTGTGGTTCCTGCGAAGGAGAAGGGTACAACTTGGTGAGACCCGGTAGTGAGGTCACCTGGCAAAGGACCTTGATGTCCTCGAGATGAGTCAAGGTGGAAAGCGGAATCTAGGCCACCTACTCCACTTATCGTCCTTCTGCCTCCAACTCCAGTCATACCTCCTACAATAGCACCTTTCCCACTTCCGGGACCTATATTACCTCCAACTCCTTGACCTTCTCCAACATCACCTCCTAGCATGCCTTCTATGCTATTTGTTTTGATCAGTGGTGATCGCTCAGACCAGCTGCTCTTCAAAACTCCGTCAGAGGCCACACCTCGTACTTGTACTTGGTACGTATTTCCAGGGTCTAGGTGGTCCACGGCTAATATGATTTTGGAAGCGCCGCTTTTCCTGACGGCTGCATCGACGACGCGAGACACCTCTGGCGAGCGCTTCTTAGCGTGATCGGACAAGAAATGGAGACGGACTTCCCAAAATCTAAACCTTTGCATTTGCTCAGCATCTAGGACAATGGAAAGATTCAGGGTGTGCGCTTCCGCATAGACAAGCTGGGGGGCGGCCGGTGGACGGAGAGACAAGGTCGTCTTGCATGCTTTTTCTGCGGACCAAGGACCAACGCCCGCTGCGGTCTTAGCCCGAACTTTCACGAAATAGTCAGTTGCGCTTTCGAGATCCACAACCTTCAACTTTCCATAAACGACGGCAACTGCCCAAGGAGGCTGCTGACGTTCGACCTCACGCAAAACCGCTTCTTGCGCTGGTGAGAGAGGCAGAAGTTGCTGCTGCTGACGGTTGACGTCACGTGTTGTTGCTGTGGCAAAAACATCGTCATCCCTTCCAAGCTGATCCGGCAAACGTCCTCCTGAATAACCACTCGCCGTTCCGAAGTGCCCAAAAGGCTGCTGTGCTCGTCCTGAACCCCCAAAATAGTTCCCGTCATATTGACAAAGTGCATCATCTTCCCCATGATGTCCTTCTGCTATCATTGCAAAGTGCTCCGCTGTCAAAGCTTTCCTAGCCTCTCTCGCGACTGCTACTCCGTTGTCCAGAACCCTGGTATGATGTAACAGCATGTTTCTCTCCACTGTGATGGTTTGGACTTGACCTATAATTCTGTCGTTCTTCTTCGCATAATGCTGAACCTCGAAACCCTCTAGTCTCAGACGATTGAGCAACATCGGTTGCAGTTCTGCTGCGCACCAGCAGAAGGTCGCACTGGTCATCGTAGTCTCAGTGATTTGCAAGCGTGCAATGACTGGCGCAGATCGAAGTGTCGCTATCGTCGGAGAGTTCTCGCAGAAATGACGCTCAGTAAGCAGGTAACTGCTACCGGAAAGCTGAGCAATGGTGAAATTCCTCAGCACGGGAGGCATTGCGTGGTAAGCAGATGCGTTTTTGGAGGTAGCAGGTTGGAGGTCTACTAGTTGTTGCTGTTGAGGTCCACCCCGGTTCGGCAGAAACACTGTTTGATGGAACTTTACGAACTCTTGTTGAAACACCTTTGCATTCTTTTGCCACAGCTGGGAGAGCTGCCACTGTGTCACTGGACGTACTTGGAAAGCGTAAGCGGTGCCAGGCAATAGACCTGGAACGATCAGATTCGTTGTCTCAGAATATCGATCGATCCCACCGTCAGCAGCAGCATAATCGGCAAGGATCACGCGAACACAGGCAGGCCAACTGCTGTGCTCTGTAAAACGATGTGCGAACTCCATTCTGGTAGTTGAGGAGTCGTCGTTGAAGACCTGACTCATCTTGAGCACAGAAGCAGACGCACCAGGTAGATTCTGTTGTTGACCCCCAGATGGACCAGGTTGCAGCTGTCCGAGTGCCCCTCTCGTAGTGGTCTTACCCACTTGTTGTGATGTGCCTTCCGATTCTGTCCCGCTCTCTCCGGAACCTCCACCCGCACCAGGGGCACCAACAAAAAGTCTGTGCCTTTCTTCCTGATCGTCGTAGGTCCGCACAAAGGCACGCTCGTCGAAATGGAGAGGATTCACCACATGATTGAGACGAGCCGCCTCTTGTTCGGCGGAGGACAGAGAGGAAGTAGACGTCGGATTCATCGAAGTAGCACTGGCGAAACTCTGTGTCATCGTCCCCTGTACTTGTTGAGGACCAGAGTGGACATGGATTTCTTGATGCTCCCCCTGTTGACTACTTAAAAAAGCCTTCTTCCCTGTATACTCTTGCGAAATCAGTCCCTCTCGCGTGGAAAGCATTCCTCCTAGGATCTTAGTAGCCCAAGTTCGGGATAGGAAGTTCCAGTTTCCGAGGATTGCATCGATGTAGGCTTCGACGCCTTCTCGCAAGTCCTGTTCTGTTTCGAACAGACGGCCACTTTTTGGGTTTGACGTACCTCTACCTCCAGTGGTCGTTGACGAGGCTGATGATGAGGAGCCGGTAGCGACTCCTGCTGTACTAGTGTCATGCTTTGTGGATGCCGGATCAGCGGCGGTGGTGGTGGATGATGCGGAGTTAGTTGTACCAGCAGCTGCAGCAGCGGTAGAGCCTGTTGCTGCGTTAGAAGCTGAAGTAGCCGCTCCAGCACTCCCTTTCTTCGACACCCCTCGTCCACCTCCTACTGCTGTAGTCGGCAACAGTGGCGACGCAAGCGTATTGTAAGACGCTAACAATGCTTCCACGGCTTGTGCATGTGCAGCCCCGTGGCGACTGGGTATTCCGAAGCCTGGTGAACGCATGCATGCTGCGCCGCCAAAAACTGCCACTAGTTCCCCCTCGCTGATCTCTTCGAGGAGAACCTCTGACTTACCGATCTCATGATTCGCCGTACACCGAACGCTCTTCCACGGTCCTAGTTCCCTCTGCGTTTCAGGATCAATCTGCCGGTACCGCACTTCATACAGCAGAGGTGGGCTGTCTACGGAGAAGACCTTGTCGAAGCCTACTTTTCGTGCTCGCTCAGCAAAAAGCTCGCCTGGGTTCTGAATGACAGTGGTTGGATTCTTATCCGAATCACTAGTAGAATGACTGGTTAAAGACGACGTGCTTCCGTGACTCGTCATTGCACTGTGGTTGTCCTTGTTTCCTCGAGAGAGTTGTAGTGCATTGCTTTTGAAAAAAGTGCTAGTTGTGGCTCCTGGTGTTCCTGCTTGCCCACGAGGATTACCAGATCTCCCCTTTCTGCTCTTGCCGTGCGTATTATGACTCTTGTTACCTCCGGCGGAAGCCGACGTCATGGAAACTGCTCCACCGTCGCCACGAGGTGTCGATGCTGCTGAGCCGCCATCCTGATCGTCTGGTGGCGGAAAAACTGAACAGTTGAACAGGTCTTCGCCATGAGAGGGAGACGGAAGCAAAGTCGCGCCTGTCTTCTGGACTGTACGCCGCAAAAGCTCTGGTAGATTTCGACCGCCGTTCAAACACGGGATGTTGAATCCATGATGCGGTGAAGCCGCTGCTCCGAAGAACGACGGATCAAACGCCGCAAGAGCCCCATTTGTTGTAGTTGGTAAAACTGTGAAATTTTTCCTCACTTGCTTCGTTAATGCCTCTGGGTCATGCTGGTTTGATGTTGTCGTAAAGGCAATATCCTCCTGATGATCCTCGATCACACCAGCAGCAGCAAGACGAGTTTCGTCATGTCCGTCTTCAAGATGTCCTCCGCCCCCTCCAGATCCAGAAGCCCCACCTCCGCGTCTGGTATTCAGTGCCTTCATCAACAAGCGATCCTCTTTTGTGCTCACCAGAGGACATCGCCAAGACAGACCAACTGTTGTATCTGTGAAAATTGGCAAGGCTGCCATTGCTTTCTTGATCCCTGCTTCCTCTGGCCACTCTCCTGAGGGTTTTTGAAGGATTGAATTACTGAATTCCCACACAGGAGCGCGGGTGGAGACGACACCAGTACCTGCAGATCCTCCGCCCAAAGCGCTACCAAGAACACCAGCAGTTGGAGGCGGCGCGGCTGGGTTGTTGATTCCGGGACCTGTTCCAGCAGAGGGTCTCGGATTATTCGGCAACAATGGCGGAAAAATCTTTCGCGCTGGACTGATTGGTGACACTGTCGCACTAGCACTTCCTGGTGTGCCAGCGGCGGGATGATGCGTACTTACACTGCCACCTCCACCTGCTGCCGTATCATAGTTATAAGGAGAATGAAAGCCACCTGGTGCCCATCCAGGAAATGACGCACCACCTCGTCCGAAGTGTGTTCTTGAGTCATGAAGACCTGTTGTTGTACTACCACAAGAACTTTCACCCGCCACACGGAAAGTCTGTCCTCCATTAAAGACCAGCGCTAACTCAGACCAATTGTTGTTGATGTCTTGCATCCAGTTTGGGAGAACCGGTAGTTCTGACAAAGTTTTCTGCAGTGTGATTGCTGTCACTGGTTCCTTCACTAGCTTTGACACTGCAGTCCTCGCGGCAGCAGCGGTAGATGTGCCGTGGATAGCGGACAAGAGCTCACGCGCACGACCGTCAGTTAAAACGATTTGACCACTTTGAAGGGAAAGTACTCCGGTGTTTGGATCCTCCTCGTGATGAGGATCATGGTGCAGTTGATCGCCACCATGTGATCCCACGCCTGTAGCTTCTGATGCGGTAGCGACCGTCGTCGACCCAACACTTCCGCCACCTGCAGATGCCACTGACGCAGCTTCTGATGTTACTCCACCATGGAGCATGCTCGACGAAGCAGGCGTTGCCCTCTCCACTTGATCACGAAAATCGCGCACCACAGTGTCCCGATGATAGCCAAGATATTTTCCCGCACCTGGAACGCTTGTGTCCAGTAACTGTGGCAAACTCGTGATCGGGGCCATACGATGCGTCAGGATGATCTCGCTATCTGCACTCCACTTTCCGACACCACAGAAAGTTCGCGCCGCTACTTGAAAGACGTACTTGCGTTCGGGCTGTAGGTTTGAAACCTGGAAGAAAATTCTCAAATTCTTATCCGGTTGGGCCCACATGTGCATCAGGCTATTCCAAAACTCAGCTTGGGTTTGATAGAAAGGAGGCGGTTGAAGATGTGGATCATGTTGAGCATCTACGACTCCCTCCTGATCATGGAAATTTTCCAGCTTTTCTGGACGCAAATCAGCAGCAGCACCATCATCATTTTCAAGCAAATGATCAAACAACGCCCTATCATTCCGACCACCTCCTCGAGGAGACCTTTTGTTCGCGTGCCTTTTGGTGGAGGTCGTGGTTGATGACTTTTGATTTTCTTGATGTGTACTAGAAGTACCAGAGCAAGTCCCAGTTGTTCTTGTCACATCAGCGCACATGCTGACAAAGTACGGCGCTTCGCAGGTCATCGACCCTGCTGGCGTGCCGCCACCCACGACATGAAAGACCTTGATCTCTTCTTCGAGCCAGCTACTTCCGTACACCGTACCCGGTTCATAGTGTCGCACCTGTAAGCCGCACAAGTCGGAAATGAGCCGTCTATTGTCCGCATCAGGAGCTATCTGCAACTCAGCTGATAAGAGTACGCGATTGGGCCTCAGCACTGCAGTCACTGGTCTAGAAATGTCAGGCGCATGACCTAAAGTTTGAAAACTGAACTCTTTGGAAAAGTTCCCCACTCCTCGTTCCGTAACAGCTGCAATTTCGAAAATATAGCTCGCTCCCGGAGTTAGATTTCCCACCTCCGAGACTATCCAAGGCTGCACGTCTTCAGGAGCAGCTGCACTTGCTAAGCCGTCTTCAGAGCCCACCAGCGAAATCTTCTTGCTGTCGACCACCCTGTTGTCGTGCTGAGGCAGTTGCTTCATCGAAGATGGTTGGCCACTTTCATCTCGTCCAGCAGCATCGGATACAATTCCGCCTTCTCCTTCAACATCATTCCCTGTTCCAACCGATGCCGTGTTCTTAGAAAGGGTTTCACGGCGAAACAGAAGTTCGTTCGAGACTGGTTCTCGCGACGATGCAGGCACTAGTGATAACGCAGCTGCCAAGGCACGCAATCCCATTCCTACGCCACTAGGACCAAAGGATGCTCCTGGAGATGCGACACTAGTGCCGGTTGAGGTAGGGTCTCCTGCTGTGCATGTAGTACTTGAAGATGCAACTAGTATTGCGTCCTCTGGTGTCGTTGCAGTAGCTAGTGCACTAGTACCAATGCCCTGGTGCACGTCAACTAAAACCTCTTCGTCGAGAGGCGACCCCCCGTAGAGGTCTACGCCTCCAGGCTCCAAGAGGTTGCCGTAGTAATTCTCAATGCCTAAGACTGGACTTGCCAATGTGCTATAGGGGCCAGCAGACAATCCGGGAGAAAAGGGCAACATGCCTCCAGGTGTCGTCAATTTGTCGGGACTACTTCGAGCGCCACCACTTCCGACTGGACCTACAACACCAGCTCCATGTGCAAGTGCATGGTGCTGAGACTGACTTACTAGTGTATCATCTGCTCCAGCTGCACTTTTTGTTCGACCCAAAGCTCCAGAGGTTGCCGACGAGATATCTCTCGCTTGCCCGCCAGTTGTCGTACCTCTCGTAGAGGTTGTAGAGCCTCCTCCTTCATCCACACGACTGCCTCCTTGTTGCTGTGATTCACTCTCGAGCAACAAATAACTGGGCAATTTGTGGGACAAGAATGCTGAGCTTTTCCCTCTAGCTCCTGATGTGGGTGATGACGATCTCTTATTTTGAGGCTGCGAAGAGCAAGAGGAAGATAGTACCGAAGCTTGATCCAGGGCTGAAGAAAGTACTGGTGGATCTCGTCCGGGTCCTAAAACAGGTGTTGTGACGGTAATTTTCGTACTAGCACCAACGGGGTCCACGCGAATTTCACTGGCTAAATCGCCTCCATCGAGGACTTGCCTAACACTGGTCTCGCTGAGATTTGAGACCAAGTGCAGATTGCTGTAGCTGTACACGTGCTTCTCCTTACTCAACATCCTGGACGTCTGAGCCTGACTTTGACTAAAACTGAAGTCGTCTGCTCCGCTTCGCTCCTGTTCAGTTGTTCGGCTTGGCGCAGAAATACCCCTTTGTATTGGAGACATTCCTGGATGTGGATAAAGCTCGTGCTGGCTGGCTCCAAGCGGCGTCTTCTCTATTCTAGAAGAAGAAAAAGCATTTGTTCTTGTTGTGCTGGACGTCTGAACAAGATGTTGGTCTAAAACATGGTCTAAAACATGTACTAAACGACTGTCTGAACCTCCTCCTCCTCCGCCTCCAGCCAGCATTTTCATTTTCGATCCCGAAGTACTAGACGGCGAAGACAGAAGCTCTCGTGGCACTGCGACGTCTGTAGTTCGAGCCCATGTCGTATCTGCCTTCCGTTTATGGCGTAATTGATAGCCTGTGATCTTATTCAAGCCCAGGTGTGCTTCAACCAAGTCTTCGCGGTCAAAAGCTGGGTTCTCCCACTTGAGAACTAGACTTGTTCGGTTACGCTCGTGCAACTGGAGACGCACAGAGTGCATGGTTGGCGCAATCTTTTTCGTGCGGACAGAAATCTGTTGCCACTTGCCGAGGTAGCCGTCACCTTCCGTCACAGCTGCGATTTGAAAAACATACTGCGTCTCAGGTTGCAAACCAGTCACGTGAGCGCGAATTTTAACGAACTTTCGCATCCCGATTCGACCTTGCCACTGCGCACGTCGCTTACGCCGCGTAGCATCATCATGTTTGGGCGCAGAGTGGTAGTAACGACTGCTAGGATCATCTTTATCACTTTTTCCTGTTGTAGCTAGAAGTACCTGTTCAGAAGACGTAGTCGTCCCTGTCAGTTGTTGTTTGTTGTCAGGAGTAGTCCTCCCTCCAAGATGCCCAACCGCACTGACATCTTTCGCCTCACCTGTACCTGCTGAGGTGAGCCCACTGTTGAGAGTCAACGCAGTCTCCGCAGTCGTACTTGCGGGAAGAGAAAGCCGGACCATCACGCGAGCCTTATCAACATTCTGTAAGCGATAAGAGTTTTTCAGAGAGGTCTTATCCAACTCCATGCCCAGGCTGGCTCGTCCGGTTTCGTCTTTCATCTCAACACCAGTTTTCTTGTTCGACGAAGATAAACTACTTTCGCCTGCTCTTCCAGTTTGATACCTCCTAAACGATGTGTCGTCGATGCTCAAGCGTTCAGGTTCGGACCAGTTTTTCTTGTTCCCAAAGTAACCTGGGATTTCTAGTTCACGCCTCAACAGCACGTCTCCAACCCGTAGACGTTTGTTACTGCGAAGTAGCGACACACTTTCTTCTGTCGGATCCGGTATCCAGAGGTCGAAAAAGCACGTGTCATGCGTAGTGCTAGCAACCACATCCTCCGGTCGCTCGATTTCCGGTAGCTTCGACACCGCTGCATCAACGGTTGCACAGTCAGCACTATTTTCTCCAAAGTCCGACACACAGCACAAGCGCAATTGCGCACTCACAATTTCCTTATCGAGGATACGCAGATTGCCCACAAGGGTATCATGAGCATTTCTATTCGCCTGATTTTGTTGTTGACCAGCTACTATTGTTGTTGTAGTATTTGCTAAAGAAGTAGAGGTTGAAGTTGCAGCGCCAGCACTAGTTGCGGGAACATTCTTTGAGGACCACGCAGCACCCATGCTGCCCACCTCTCCTTCTTGAGTGCTAGAGTCGTCAATTGCGGAGAGTTGTCGACTTGTCATGCTTCCAGTGGTATCAAGAGAATCACTACGAGCGTGAGACGAAGTTCGTGCTGCCCCACCAGCCTCTAGTGAGAGGGATCCTGCGGTGGTTTCATGATCCGTCGTGTTGTTCTCGTGGTTTTTACCTGTTGTAGCTTGCTTTATTTTTCCATCATTGTTCGTCGCAGCAACGGCTGCTACAACGCCTTTACTCGACAAAGATCCGGCACGTGCGTCAAGTGGTGCTCCTCCGGTGGCGCGTGTTTCACCACCAACAGCTGGCCCTGCTGCTGCTCCGCTTGTTCCCGTAGCTGCCTTCACGACAGTGCCAGACGCATCACCGTCCGTCACAGGAGGGATGAGCGGTATCCGTACCGCGTATTGGAAAAAATCAGGCCCGACGTCACCACGAATCTGTTCGTCAGCTAAAGCCGCAGCTTCACTCGGTCGCGCACCATCTATGACCAAGTGGCTACTTGCGCTGACCTTCTTATTTGAGGATCCCGAAGACGAGGGCAGCTCAGTCAACAAACTACTGATTTGGTTAGTCTGATGTTGTGGTTCTGAGGAGGCATCGCCAGCACCGATGAACGAACCAGATAACTGAAATGCCATTCGTACTTGAGCTGATATAGGATCAGCAAATGACTCATCCATGATGCTCTTTCTGCCTCTGAGTGGCCTGTCGGGTGATATGCCATTACCAGTGCCAGTCCCAGGTTGTAGTTGATGTAATAGTTGGTCACCACCACGCGGACCCTCTCCTAGTCCTACTTTTTCTAGTGTTTTCCTCACATCAGCTGCTCGTGATCGCAGTATATCTCGCACTTTAGCTCCTAGTGCCGCAGCTTCTGCTTCCGAAACAATGATGATGCCGCTGCTGTCGCTAGGAGGCCTCACAGCACGTCCCTTGGCGTCCACCGTGCTGGTGAACTGCAATTTGAACTCCCGTACAGGTTCATCAGTCGGCCTTTTCCGGACAGAAAACCCGACAAGCGCTTCCTGGTGAGAACTGCAAATTTGGATGACGCTCGATGTGCTTACGCCAGCTGCAATGCGACCAGCCTGCAACCCGACAGGCTCGGAAAATTCATGGATTTTCAAGGTTGAAAGATCTATAGCTGGCTTCCCGCCACTAGCGTGCCTGTCTGCACTTCGTGGGGTCCTTATCTGACGAAGATTCCTCCTCGTTTTCTTGGCGGTTCCCTCTACGAGTCCACCTCCTTCGCCTTCCTCAGCTTCACTAGGGCTTTTTGACGGAGATGAAGTACTAGAAGAGGGCGCATCTTTTAGAGGCGACTTGACCGAACCACGTGGGGACCGCGTATCCTCGATGTCCTCCGGTATTGGCGACTTCGAAGCAGATGTGCCTGTTCCTTTGATTCGCAGTTCTCTGCTATTTGGTGTTCTCGGAGAACGTTGCCCCTGTGGAGGTGCACCAGAACCAGCTGAAAGTTTCTGTTCTAGTGCTAGTGGTAAAGGAATTTTTGTTTGTCTCGGAGGGTCTAGCGCGGCTATGCGGACTAGATAGTGTTTCAGAGGAGTCAATCCGACCAACCAAAGAAAAGCTGTCCTAGACCTTCGCGCCGTGCTAGAAGTGATGTTGTCTTCATCGCTGTTTTCTTGTCCATCTTGTCGTTTTCTTGGAGGAGAGGTGCTTGAAGATGAAGGCGAAGATCCTCCGCCTCCTGTGACTCCACTATCTTCATTATCACGACTAGTTGTACCTGTGATAGGGGAAGAGCAGGTCACCACTGCAGACCGTGCCCTACTAGCGCCTTCCGGCTCGGACAAGCTCGTTGGATCCCAGTCTAGCAAGAGATCAGGCACCACGACTCGTGATTCTTGTCCTTGTGGCACCACGATTGAAAACTCACCCGCGCGAAAAGACAGCGAGCTGACGTCATCATTATGCCCTTGTTGTCTAGCTCCATCTTCACCGCCAGCGGCGTGATTTACCACCCGCACTCGTTTTTCCCGCACTTTACCAGAAGTATCCGCAAAAAGTTTTGCGACTTTGCTCGACGCAGATTTATTCACGGCCATTTGGTATTGGTACGTCGACGACGATGAAGATGAAGTAGAAGAACCAGTGGTGTTACTCGCTGCTGGTTGTTGTACCATCAAACTTGGATCCGCCTCTACCCACTGCACCAAATAACCGCAAACGTCTCCCCACTCTGCCGATGATGTTTCCCAACTGAGCAATGCCCGATCACATCGCGCTGGTGCCGCAACGGCTAGTTGAGCGGGCCCTGGCAGTCGCGGAACTGTGGCAAAAGCCTGATACTCGGAAAATACAAGCTTGCCTGATGCTTGTGGAGGTTCTGGCGTAGTTGAGCCGATTCTTGGCGTGGACTGAGGCGCTAGCCCTACAACTACATCACTTGACGATCCTCCTGTCAGAGCAACAGCTGTCGGAAATGCTGAGTCTAAGAGACCATCTTCTTTTTGTTCCACACCTTCAGAGGACTCAAAAACGCTTCCACCGAGGACAGTTCCAACTCCAAGAGTACAACCTCCTGTAACTCCTACGTCACTCGATTGCTGCTCAACAACATCCTCCACCTGCTCTTCGATCACTTCAACTGCATGCCGTACATCATATGCCGTTGCAGGTTCTAGGTCCGGCAACACGGCTTCTTCCCCACGCTTCAGATGGAAAACCTTCGTCGTTGTAGCTCGAAACGCTCGCAACACTGAGTAATCGTGACCTTTGAAATACTGAACTGATATTCTGTACGAGGTGGACGTCGACGTGCTGGTGGCGGGAGTAGAATTTTTACTAGTTTCCCCTCCGTCACCAGACGTAGTTGAAGTAGATGAGGGCTCGAAGGAAAGAGCCAGGGTCCATGGTGTTGCCTGAGAGAGCCGCAGCGTCCCAGGCGCTGCAGCGCGCGCTATCGGTGTCACCATTTCGTGGTCGGCTCTAGGTCAGACTCATAAGGAGAAGCAATGCTGTTCTTGATCCGCTGAGAATGCTTTGCTTAATGTTAATTCGCCCATGTTGACAAAGCGAGGCCAGGCCGACGTGGTGCTCCTTCATTTTTCCGGTCCTCTGATTCTTTTCAACACGAACGAAGATGAAGTCTTCATACAATCAAATCTTGGTTTACTTACACAGGATGAAGATTGAGAAGATACAACGAAGTCTCAATGGGATAGAAAACATACGACGGAAGAACAGAATCTATAGAAGGAGGGCAAAGACGGGGAGCATGAACTTTTTATCATGGAGGGATGGGCGTGGGTTTGACTGAGGAGCAATCACAATGATAACCTGTTGTCGGTACGCCAGCACAAGAGTTCGCCTTTTACCTCCTGTCCATGTCACTACTGACGAGACTGAGTGACATGATAAGTGTAAGAGTCACTCAATGCCTTCAATCTTCTCAATTTCTTTCAAACGTTGATACAACGCTGAGGTTGCGCATTTTCACCCTGTTCTCGACCACAAGTGAGATGTAGTTTCCTATGGTACTATCAAATTGTTATGACAGAAATCAATAGGATCATGCACCATGATCTTCTTCGTATTATTATTCATCATGATTCATCTGCCAAGTAATCAAAAAAACAGTAAACAAAACAGCATCAATATGATAGAACAACAGCATCCGACTCTATGCGAACGCACACAGCAGCTCGTCTCGTACTAGTCTTCTAGAAAGCGTTGCCAGAAGTAGCACGACGTCCTACTATCCCACGTCCACGTTGACGTTACATCAACATAAGGAATAGCAGATTACTTCTCTAGCAGAGACTTGTGCATAAACGGGCGTGACGACGTCAGGTCGTCGCAGTCTTCCGTTATTTGTTTCTTTCATGAGGTTGAGGCTTGTAATTGAGAATGCGTAGTTGCTGCGCAATGTTGGTAGTTGTTTCAACAATCTTAGTGGTCACTGACACTGTTGATATTCATCATTACATTTTTCATTCTCTGAGCAATCTACTAGCTATGCATGGCAGTAAAATTCTTGAAAAATATTGCTGTACAGAATATACTTGCAATAGTTGATGCTTTCTTCATAGAGTACGAAAAATGCTACTTCATATCCATGCAAAGAATGATTAAGGTCATGAACATGATCGACATGGATTATGACATATACCGTTTCTCCTATCCCTGTGTTTTTTCTCCAGTCTCTAGTAGCTATACATCAAATTCAAACTGTACATTTTCATTTGCCAGACGAGTGCCCTTCTATATGCCGAAACCTTTCCTCTTTGAGGATATTCGAAAATACAAAACCCACAACAAGAGTCGACCAAAGTACAGTGATGCAGCCGACTAAAATCGAAATTCCCGTCCCTGAAGATGTCAGGTAGGTCGATTTCATTTCCGTGAGTGGTGAAAAAGGCAAAGTTCCACTGATGAAGAGCAAAACCGCGGTAAAGAGGTATTGCTGGGTTGATTTCTTGGTCTTGTTGAAGATTGGTTTCAGGCTCAACTTCATGCGACGAACTAGGAAAAACGAACTGCAGACCAAGGAGAGGTCATCCATCCGGCAGTAAAAGAATCGTGGTAAACGGGAGTAGCCGTTGCAGAAACGCATAGCCCGATACGCAAGTCGATACGTACAAGAATCGACAACCACTTGCTGTGATCCATGAGGACCAAGCGCAGCGCTTCTTTGATGATGCTCGAGTAGAACATTGTGAGAACGTAGCAACTGCCCACACCGCAGAACAGCATGCGAAAAAGCGAGAAGCGCAAAGAAACTGTCGATCAGGCTTGATGTAGAAGTACCCGCACCTGACGAAATATGAAGATTTATTTTTTTTTGTATTGAAGATGCAACGAATTATGAAGATGCAATCAGGGTCACTGTTGAAATGCACGTCGTAGGTGTACGTGTAGCAATCTACTTTCGTTTTCACCTACCTAACTATTTTGAGTGCTGGAAACAAACAGATTAAAAGTACCTTCTCCATCTCGATCTCCTATTCCCACCATCACCGCCAACAGCGCATACATGCATCCGAGAGTCGCTGCACTAGCAGCACCCAAAGCTCCTTTTCGGTCTGCTCTGATCTGTGCTGTCAAAAACCCCAGAACCCCTGTCAAGCCTCCAATTGTAAACAGCAACAATCTCGCAGTCACACTCCAAGCCCAAAGCGGTTGTGTAACTAGTAGTAGCATCAGGCCAGAATGTGCGGAGAGAATAGCATAGCCTAAAGCACTACTAGGACTCGGACCCTCCATTGCGCGTATAAAAAGGCCAACAAAAGGAAACTGACTTGTCTTCCAGCAAGCTCCTAGAATGAGGAAGAGAGCGGCAAGAGTGTCGCTTGTTGTGGTGGTACTGCCAATCTCTTCTACTGGATGGGCTGCAGAAGTTGTTCTGGCTCCTATTTGATCTGCGTCAATCGTACTATTACCAGGTGATAATGCAACATCAGACTCAACACCACGACGAGCACCAGCGCCACAAGTACTACGAAGTCCGTAACTGATCAAGAAACACAGATCGCTGATCTGATACACGAAGAAGGCAAAGGTAGCGTTCTGACGAACTGTCGGTCTGTCCGAGTATGCGCCAATCAGGAAAGTCGAAGCATAAGCGATGAGACTACAACCAAGAATTGCAGTGCCGAATGATGCTGATGATGATGTTGATGATGATCCCCGTTCACCAGCTGTTGTCCTAAAATCTCCACTAAACACGATCAAATTGAACCCGAGCAGCATCAGAACTGCTAGAAACGCAAAGCGATCGTACATGAAATCGCCATGCAGATAACGTCTTGAAAAGGCGATGACGCAAGCTGTCAGAAGCGCAAAAGCGATTCCTGTTAGGTCTTGCCAACAGACGATAAGTCGTGGAGAGAAGATGAAATCTAAATGAACAAGGTCCAGTATGTTCTGAAGACTCTTCGCCCGTGGAAAAATATACGCCCCTGCCATTCCAATCCAAGTCAACGCAGTGACTACACGTTCGTAGTTGACCATGTTTTTTGCGTAGGCAAGATGCACTGTCCAGGGCACGAATGTTCGAGTGATATTATCTTCTCGAGTCGACGAAAACGACGACATATTGTATGCACCCTTCCCCAAATCCTGACGAGTAATATCGACAGAACAGGAGACGTTATTCTTGTTAGTCGTGAGAGGGGGTGGTGGATTCTGCTCTTCAAGACTAAGTCCATCATCTCTGCTGCTTTGATGAGCACGTTCTTGTTCCATATCTTCAGATGAAAGGCCAGACACAACTTGTTGCATTTTTCCTTCTTGTTCTGCATCAGCATCTGGAAAGCGAAATCCTGCTGTAAAAAGTATAATTTCTGAGAAGTCCAAAGGCCACGCGCCAGACGTACTACTTTCATTTTCCTTCATCATCTGTTCAATTTTCCTGTACATTTTCCCAGTGTTCGGATCTCGCACGACCAATTTGACCCAGTCATTCGCCACGATCGCACGCAATTCAGACCTTCGGCCTAAAACGGTCTTTACCCTGTCCAACGGGGCATCTACGACGTACAATGCCCTGACAGGCACATGCATCTCCGTCATTTGCGTCGGTAATCCCACTAACAGGTCCCCACTGGCGCCTTGAGACACGCCAAAGTTCCCGACCAAGTTCATGCACACTTTTGTTCCTGCGCCTCCCTCCGTTGTCGAATACAGATACTCTAAGCTAATGCCAGAGCAAACGATCAACGCGGGAGCGATCAAATTCTCTAGATTCGACCCTCGCTCGTCATCGTTCCAAGGATCATAGCTGACCAGAAACGCACGTCTCGCTAGAAACTTCCCTTTCGTCAGCAAACGCCGCCCAATGATGACCGACGCGTTGGTTGCATGCCCTAGCTCGGGACGGGCTTCTCCAAGGTCGGTGGCTCGGTCTCGTACATGTTCTAAAGCAGCGCCGGAACCTCCAGATGAAGTGTTTCGCCGACTACATCCGTTAACTCTTTCACGTGCTAGCATAAACCGTTGACATCGTTCCAATGCGTTCCGCTCACACGTACGTTGAATCACTTGTTGTACAAAATGGAGCTTCATCATCTTCCTTTGATCATCAACTACACGCAGATCTTCACCTTGATGGACAAAATCATGATCTTCAACATCGAACAACTCCACGTCATCGCTAGACGTGTCGTGGTATCCCCCAATAAACCACGTGTCTTCCGGAATCGTGATATTGTGTCTGGAGTTTAGAAGCCTTCGAATCACTGGATCATTAGCACATCGTGCCATCAATCGGGCATTTGGTCCGCCCTCTCTGCCTCCACAAGCCCCACAGTTATGAGCAGCGTCAAAGGGGTTATTGACTGTTCGACTTCCGTGACCGAGGATGAGGCAAATCGGAGCGAATTGGTGTCGCGGGAGGTCGTGGTTGGTGGTGGGCTTGTCCTTTGGCTCTCCACTAATCCCAATCCCGATATTGTGAAAAGTTTTCGCCAATCTTGTCGCTGCTTCTTCAGGTGTAAAGGGTATCCTAAAATCCGTACGAGGTGGTTTTCCACAACCTTGATGTCCACTTACGAACAGTTCTAGTCTATGAAACAGTCGTCGTTTCAAGTTCGGACAAAACGACGTCAATACCAAATGCAACAGCGCGAATGGGCAAAGCGACACAGCCAAAAACAACCCTCTTACGGGACAGAAAGACCAACGCTCGATTAAAACTTCGACTCGTGCTTGAAAACGTCTCCAGAAATGGTATCGTTTCGTTTCTGCACTATCTGGCTCAACCTCAAACTCTTCCAGTATGTAAGGAGGATTGTTGCCCTCGGGAGCCAGGATCATTTCATCACCTCCGTCGGCTGCACGATAACGAATTGGGAAATCGAAGAAACCAGGCACGCCAAATGTTTCTATTAGCATGTTCTCATCGTTTTCCGTATTTTTGTCGCTGTTCCATGTAGAAGAAGCATCTCCAACCACAACATCCGCATAGTCCTCAAAATGACGTCGAAATGAGCACTCGCGTTCGTCGATGCAGGTCAGCAGCGTGAGAGCAGGACGAATATTACGTCGGGGGATAGCAGGTGGTAAAGAAGGCGGGCTGAAGATGAGATCCTTGTTCTTGTCTTGCGCATCATGATCGACTACATCTGCATCTCCCTTTCCACCAGTAGTTGTAGTAGCAGTACTACTACTAGTAGTACCAACAAGATGATCATTTACCACTGATGTGGTAACTTTTTCTATCGGTCCATCTTGTGCGACTGGAAGACACGACACATCTTCATTCATCTCCGACGATGGCACCACAGTGCCTGAGATACCGCTTTCAACATGGTGGTCTTCAACAACCACAATCGTGTCTACAATGGACATCGATGATGATGCGAGAGTACTCAGCGAGGCTAGGTTCTTCTTCATGTTTGAACCAGAAGAGGAAGGTTCATTGTTACGGAGCGTGAGCATCCCGGAAGTTGCAGCAGGCATTGGTGTTTGTATACTAGGCGTAGCCGTAGGCGATGGTGTTGAAGTTGCTATTTGATGATTGCTCTCGTCGTCTCCCCATGAGCTATCAGAACAACCACGACAAAATGAAAGCCCTCCACGAAGTCTGAACCCACGACCAGATGAGCCACGAGAACCAGACGTCGAGTCCTCATTTAGACATGCCAAGGTGATCGCTTCATACTCTGCTTCTAATTCAGCCCGCCTAGACATATTTTGGTCCAGATATGCTACTCCACTAGGATTCTGCAGGTCGTGTGAGGCACAGGAAGATGCGCCATGAGGATGGCCGTTCTTGAATCGAGGAACGTTACTCCTGGATGCTAAAAAGTCTGCTAGCTTGACTCGACTAGAAGAAGTAGAAGATCCACCTCCACGACCACCTCGAGCTTCACTGAACGTCGCCATCATGTCTTCCATAGCCTGACGTGTAAAAATACACTGTAAAGCCAAAAAGTCCAACAGTTTTACTCGAACTTCTTGAGCTTGATGCACAACACGTGGAGCTTCACTAGGATGCTTTTCCATCCTGTAGAACATTCCAGCGTAACCTGGCATTTCCCATAGCAGTGCTCGAATCGCTTCTGCATCAGTCCAATCCATATCGAAGGCTTCCTCAAAGCACTCTTGGATAATCGAAATCGCTATAACTCCTCTGCTCTTGTCGTTGTCCACCTGCATTTCCTTTCTTACCTTTTTCGCACACTTTTTCACGTATGAGCTCGAGCCATTGCTGCATTGCTCATCGTCTGTATCGCTTCCTCCTTCCAACGCTGCCCAAAACCACAGTAGGCCACCATTACCTCTCAAATCTGCAAAATCTGGACACCACTTCGCAGCACCTCTATCCAGGAAGAGCGCGCAAATTTCCGCAAGCGCTTCTCTCACGCGGTCCTTTCCGTAAGCATGCAATGACGACACCGTTTGTTTGGCGTTGGGTGATGTAGAGGGGAACGATGTTGAGGCGGACTGGAGCTCCATGTCGTCGAGCACGTGATCAACCTGGTGCCCGACCAAAACTTTTTCGACATCCTTGTCCTTCTGGTCCTCGACGCCTCTTCTCCTAGTAGCAGCATACTTTTTCCTTCCACCCATGCTAGTATCACAATCACTCAGATCATGCGCCAACACCCATGCTAATCTTTCCATAGGAGGCATAAACTCTCCCAGATGTTCTTCTAGAAAGGTCTCGAGTTCTGAGAACCGCACTTTCGCTTGCACCATATCCCAGGGATTGTGGTGAACGAAATTTTCCAATATAGCTTGCCGAGGAAGGGTCTCTGCTGCTTCCGCGAGAACCTCTGAGAAAAACACGATGTTGCTGTTCTTGCGTTCCGCATCGGCATCCTTGTTAGTTTGTGCTCGTCGTGTAGAGAAGGAAGTTTCATCCACCGCCACAGAGTCGGATGGCAGGTGCTTCCCGCTCCCCACTTTGTCGTCATGGTGGTGGTCCTCGTTCTTGTGTTGTAACAAAGGCACAGACAACATTTTCTGGGCGTTCATCTTTGGGAAGTTCTTCAACTGAAATCAAGTACAAGTGAGGAAAAATTCTAGACCAGTAGGACTACCTGCTCTTCTAGCTACGAAAACCTAGATGTTGAATAACAACATGATCATGAGGATGAAAAGCCCAGTCTTCATCAGATGACAGGCAGAACAAATAATTAGCATGATGAACATGAAAAGATATAGATAAAGAAGTTAAAGACATTTTCAAAAATCTAAAATATCAAACAGGAACCTTGTTGTTCTTGCACTTGGATGTGTATCAGGCTGAAACCTATTTGGAACAGTTGTTCCTAAATAACTGACAAGAGAACTACATCACCACAAGAACGACCAAACAAGCGATCATTTAGGTTAGAGGGATGGTACTCATATCGACCGAATGCGGGGCAGCGTCTCATTGGGAAAATACGTGCTAGGACAAGAAGCTGATACCTGTAGTCATGTGCTGCTGTACAAGACATGATCAAAAAATTCAAGACTAGTTGGACTGTTCACAGAATAAAGGTCATCGTCTATGAATATGACATTTATTTCAGGATTATATTGGTCGTCTTGCTAACCGACAGTATCACTTGTAGACATTAGCTGTCGTCTCACTCTCGTCTCTCCTCATTCAGCGTGAAAAAGATGAAAAAACCTACAAGACGACGGCGCGTCAGTTCTCTCACTCTACTTCAACATCTTCAAGAACGTCTCACAGCCTGTCTCTGTCCGTACTACCATAAGATCTTGTTTCAAGCATGACAAATAAACGAGACAAGCCAAGCAATCTCTGTTGTTGGAAAAGAAAAGCCACATCTTCCAACACGACAGGTGGAAGAAACCGTCCAAAATCTTGCAGGCGCTGGAAGAAATAAACTAGGGTGGTCCTCTATTAAACATTGTTGTAGGCAACTACAAGCACAAGATTCTTGTTGGCATTTGATTTTCTTGGAGAGAGTACAGTAAGGAGCAAGTCTTTGATTTTCGTCGGAAGTTCACTTTGGAGAGAGTACAGTAAGGAGGTATGAGTTTTTTGGTCAACAACTAGGAGGAAAATGCTGTTGGAGGTAGATCAAGTCGTATGATCATGATGGATCATAGGTTTTCTAGTAGGAACTGAAAGAGAAACAAAGTGATGAAGATTGAGAATGAAATATATTAAGATGAACCTAAGTAGGACTAACTTTCTAAGATCAGTAATGAAATAGAATTGATGTCACTGCTGCTAGTGGAAAGCGATATTCGGAGTTCTTATTTGTAGGGAGGTCGGTCCGATCACGTTGATGATGAAGTTGGTCCTGTTATTCTTACAAGTTGGTCCGTGTTTGTAACTTCTACTGTTCAACAAATACTTTGCAACTGATGTTGTCCTTAAACGCATTTCTGTACTAGTTGTGATTCTTGTGTTGTTGCTGAATAGATTTTATTCACGTGGATTCTGTACTAATATCAGACTCATTCTAGTGGCAAATAACTGACGAAGATTGATGAGGCTCATTCTAGTAGCAGGAGCAGGAGGTCGTAACTGAAGAAACAGAAGCTAATAGTAGTCGTTGTTGAAATTCTAAATAAACTAGACGAGAAGTTCGGACTACATTGCAGCAAGAAGATGAACACTTCCTTATCTATCATTGTTGAAGACATACGAGATGGAAACTGATGGAGTTGAGTTTGAGTTCACTGGTTTGAAGTTGTATAAGATCTTGTAATGCTTCTATTTGCAAATGTAATGACGAAGACAAGAGAAAATACTGATCAGCAAATGGATACGAACATTTGTCGAGAGAACCTGGCTTTTTTTCACGATGCTGTTGCTGCATAAATAACACTCTGGACCTTATCGTGAGCAAGAACATGGAGACGAGTCTGAAGAAAATCGAAATAGAAGGTGGTCGAGGTTCTTCTTTAGTTTTTGGTTGATTACTTCGCAACTTTTCATGATCAAGTTCTTGTATTGTTCCAATATTCCATCTTTCTACTTCTATGTTCCAAGTACAACTAGTTAATGGCACTATTACTCAGAACAAGTATAAAACAGAGAGCTTCGGCTTCGCCTCAAGCTCAACAACTACTAAAACTACTTCTAGTACACCTAGACCTACAATAAACATGACTGTTCTTGTAGACCAAGATGAACAAGAAATAGAAATAGTAGTAATTCTATTTCTACTAATCCTAAAATCAACAAAAATGCAAGATTTTCAAAATCTAGCATTCTTGTTCCTCGACACCGCCATCGCCCTCCACCACGTCGTCGGTGGATCCGTACTTCGGCAAATCCGGCGCCTGATTCACCAGGTGCCCACGAGTCTCGCGGTACCAGCGGCGCAGAAACCAGCCCAAAAGCAAACCCACGATAAACGTAAAGCTACAAATCTTAGAGTTTGTGGAATTACTCTCCTTGAAGTTCATCTTGAAAAGTAGTCCTTGACCTATTAATTTTCTAATGCAGAAGATGCTCCTGCTACGAGAGAACGCTGAAGCATTGTAGTAATATGGTGACCCTTAAAAAACTGCACGACAGCCATCGTGTCATAGTGCGCCGTGGATAGAGCTGCTCCAGAAGTGGTAGCCGTCACACCAGCGGCCTCTGCGGCATCGCTAGGTGAAATTTCGTCGCTGAGAAAAAAAGATGGATGATTTTGTTCTTTTGTGGTGTCTGTAAGTTCATCTGGTCCGTAAGTGTAAGTAAGCATGATGATGAATTATGATGCATAATTTTTTGTCTTGGTATATGATGTTGATGATGGGAAAGGAAATAATTATGCCTCTGCCTCGCCACAAAGGAGAAGCATCCACGAACCAGAAACTGTGCAGGCGCATAATCGGATGCAAATCCCTAGAAGTGATAGGGAATACGAATAGGACCGACGACGCGAAAAAATACTATGCCGTCTTCGCAGTTCGATCGATAAAGCTTGGCAGAGACCCATTGTCTTTCATGTTCATCAGCGACTCACGCCCCAATGCAGTCCCCCATGCTTCGCTTCTGCCCGAGCTCGTAGTTGTTCGTGTCCTGGATATGGTTCAGTTTGTGGCATAGTTCCTAAACGCGACAGCGACCGAGACGTCTCTAATGATGAAATCAATGATATTAAACGTTCACCACGAAAGGATAAAATTGATTGTGTTTGTGGATAAGTCGAAGAAGCAGAAAGTCGCTACGAAGTGCTGAATCAGAATATATTTATACTCACCATTTTTCTCTCCACGTCTTGTACTCTGGTGCATCTTCCTCGAGAGCCATTCTGCTTGCCTTAGGAAATATATCGGTCCTCAAGATCTCGCGTAAAGGACGCTTTTGCATACTACTTTCAGAGATCTCTGTTGTCGCAGACAGCACTGCGTCCAGATATTTTTCGAGCTCATTAGAAATCTTAGTTATCGAGGGCGAGGGGATCACGCTCACGTTGGTAATATGTTTTGCTCTACTTGAGGTAACTTAGTAGACTTTAGCTGACTCAAGGAAGTTAAGCTATGTCCTTGTGTGTTGGTAATATTTTTACAAATTAGACGATCGGTGGGGAATAGCTTTGCGTTTGCGAACATTGACATTGTGAGAAACATCGTCCATGGAGTTAGCCCTGGAAAATGAGAAAGCAAGCGCTCCCTTATTTTTATACAGACGCAGCAGGCTGAAAAACGTCTGAGGGCGCTCTGCCTTTTCTGGGCGAGCTTGCCCCAATACAATACAATACATATACAATACAATACAATACAACGCAATACAATTTGCCCCGCACAAAGCACTACGCAGACTGCCTACTGGCGTCATAGAGTTACGTCACGACGAACACGAAGCCTCGCGCGGGGCTATACTACTGAAAACAAATAGAAGCGCAAAGCATCTGAACTAGCACTGAGTTGCAAGTGTAAACTTTGAGAAACAACTAGAGGACAAACAATTTTCAGCAAATTGATCAACCAGCTTAGAAAAACCAAAACCCTACGAAAGCGCTCCACTCTATTTCTCACTATTTTTAAGCTGCGGAAAGTTGTGGAAGTTGCGCCCTGGGTTGTGGGAGTTGTGGAAGCTGTGGCCTAAGTTGAGGCGGCTGCTTTCTAAGTTGTGAAAGTTAGTCGCGAAAGCTGTGGCGAGTTGTGCGCAGACGGAAAGCATACGAAACGGCCCGGCCCCACTCTCAGGCTGTTCGAATTTGAACACCATAAAGCCCGCGCTATTCTTCGGAGTCTTATGGCAATGGCGTTCAAATTCGAACGGCCAAAGAGTTATAAAAGTGCGATAAGGCTGCTGCGTAAAACTTAGCCCACAACTTCCACAACTCGCCACAACTTAGGACACAACTACTCCCACAACTCAGGACACAACTCCCACAACTCAGGACACAACGCCCACAACTCAGGACACAACGCCCACAACCTAGGCCACAGCAGGACACAACTGCCACAACCCCCCAGATTTAGGGCCAATCGAGTGAGAAGCGCAGAAGCGATTTCATAGGCGAACGGCCTTCCTAACCAGTTACGGACTTAGTAAGCAAAGAACTCTGGCACGAAGGGAAAGGCCTTTTGGTTTTCTTGGAAAGTTAAAACTTAGCTGAGTCTTGCGTTTAAGCGCTATCCTTGACTACCCCAAATCACGACAAGGAAACCCAAACCATGCACACTCACATCATAACATCTCCAGGAAGTTTCCGCGGTGAATTTTCGTTGGGCGGCGTGATATGCTTTTTAAACGCGTCATATGACTTCAGGATGTAGTCTACGATGTGAGAAGCTAACTTGTCCTTGGGTCTCATCAACCCCCACGACTGGTCACCCAAACCCAATGGAAAGATTAGCTTTACAGCTGTCCGGATAGCGTCAGCTGTGTCATCTACTACAGGAGGCCGCTCCGCAACTAGGAGACTCGCTGAGAATGACAAAGGAGATTCATTAGAATATTTGTTCAAACGTGCAAGCTCTGACTTCTGGTCGTCATATCGATATCATCAGATATATACATCAATATCTACAGGCACAGGCGAAGTTGTAGATGAAAAAAAGTCTACAGCTAGATATGTTGACCAAGATCGTAATCCCTGGAAATATCACAAAGATCCACCAAGATCCAAAAGACAAAGACCAACGAAATGACCAAGATCGCCAAGCAAAAAGCTACCGGAGCACCATCCAACGCCCGACGGGTTTACCGTCGCGCGGGTGTCTCTGGCTTCTCCTCTCTCTCGTTTGTCGTTTCAAGTCTCTCAACACAGTCAAGGACAAAGCACCACCGGAAAGATCTCAAGGAAACCCACAGAGGCAGACCTAAAAGCATATGGTTCCAAAGTCAACGATCAACAGACAAAAGACCTCCAGCGCATTCAGATAGCAGAAATGGCGAATCTTCATAGCTGTAACCAGGTCCATACTGAACTGTTTGCCAGTTCTGGCCAATGATGAGTAACGATGTAGGATGATCGTACGAAATCAATGATGATAGCATAGGCGTTCCCATAACATACGAAGCACGTGCAACATTCCCCATTATGATATCCCAACGAAGAAGCTGAGACTTCCTCCCTTGCAACCCCAATGAATATCCTCAAGGACCAAACCAGTCCGAGGCCCTTAGTCTCAGGCTGTAAGTAAGTGCAATCTGTATCAAACTCAGGCGCTTCTCACCGAGAAACTACATGTGGCCTATCAGTCTGCGTTCGAATGGTCCAGCACTAGCTTGGCCCTTGAGCTTAGTATAGAGTAACGACCCATCTAGAAACAGCTTTTCAAAATGTCCTGCGATACGAAAGAAATTTCGAAGAAACTCGGACAGAGGTCCGACTGGCGGGAATGGCAGCGCGCCACACGTCAGGAAGCGAGCCGCCTCAGCCTGCTTCAAAACTACACGAATGTAGTTCGTTGGCGCGCCGGCAGCTCCTCATGGTATTCCTAACGGAGTTACCACCCGGGAGGACGCAATCCGTCAAAAGTCAAAATGTCGCAGAGCAGAGCTGAGACGCGGAACCAGTGGAGAGGGGGTTTTTGCTCGCTGAATTTGGATGATGATGAGGGTGAAGCTGGAGACGCAATAGATATAGATAAGTCTAGGGGAGTAAAACTGATGGGGCGTAGTCTTTCAACTAGCTCCATTGCTGCAAGAGACGAAGTCAGCTCGGTTGATAGTTGTGCAAATAAGTATCTTTATTCAAGACACAAAGGCGACTCTATTGATATAACTACGAGAATTGGTAGAATTACTGGTAGCGCTGGAAGTAAAGATGGAAAAGTAGGAAGATTGAGATGGATCAAACACCTTAGGGATCCAGCATGGTGCTTATTATGATTCACCGCCAAAGGATATAGATCGCGCCACGCCTTGGCTAGGTGAAGGGAACTGCTCGCAATTAGGATGGGAGCCCAACTTCAAAGGCGTTGGCGGTTGCCTCGTGCATACGGACACCAGCCAAGCCATACCCATAAGAAGCCGCCCACGCCTGCAGCTTCCCACACTTGCGCGCAACTTATTCAAAGAAGAGACTGGTAGCGGTTGCATTTGTTCAACAGTAGAAGAACAGAAGAAGGAGTCAGTAGCTGTCATCTTACAAGACTCGAACTTCATAGAAGGCGCGGGCGCTTTCATATAGATGGCCCCCAGGTAAATTGTCCTGAGTGCGATCTATATAAAGGCCAACGCGCACCACATGCAAAAGCTCGAGAAGCTTCGAACTACAAACCGGAACCGCTGAAGTTGTTAGCTATCGACTTTGCTGCTGGATTCAGACCCGTATCAGTTAGATCGACGAGATGCATATTAGTGGCTATCTGTGATGTACTTAAGAAGGTGCTTCGTCGACCGCTTAAGCTGAAAAGTGACTGCGTGGAGGAAGTACAGTAGAAGAAGTGACCAAAGGCATTCGCCCAGGCTACTCCTTATCTCTTGACGGCAAGGCCGTGCGGTTCCTCCGGAGAGATGGAGAGCCTGCCCTGAGCAGTGACGACATGGCCAAAGTTATGCAATCGCTGCGAGTCTCAGACAGTCCGGCTGCTCCTTATAATCCGGAAACGGATGGGGCCTGCGAACGTTTTATGCGGACTCTGTTCGGCAGTGTTCGCACAATGCTGACTAAAGTTGATAAGCGCCTCTGGCGTTACATTACTGCGTCGAGTACGCTGGTGACTGCTGGGACCGTTTGCCGCATAATTGCGCAAAAGTGCCTCAATATGATGGAAAGAGTCCAACTGAAATCGTGGAAGAAGGGACCGGTAGAAACTCGTCGAAGAGTTCAATCGGCATGCTCCGCCGATTTGGTTGCCCAGTTTACCTTCGTGAACAACTTCAAGCCAACACCCCTGAACCCAAGCTCTCGGCCAAGTACCGCCGTGGCGTCTTCCTTGGACTCTGTCCGAAGTCGTCTGGTTGGTTGGTTGGGACTTTCGCCCATGACGATCGTGGCAAGCTTGGACATCGATGGGCGGAATACTCTACCCGAGATGTAAAGTCCAGGGAGGAATATCTAATAAAGAATACTGATTGGCTTTTGCGAGATAAGAAGGGCATCTACATAGAGTGCGACGAGCTGGAAAATCTGCAGAGTGGCGCGCCGTCGCTGGGCTCCCCCTTGCTTGGACAGTCAGAGCTAAGGCTGGGCCATCAGTCGGGGTTCTCTGGCACGGAGCACATTCCAGGTGGACCGGCCGGAATTCCCGAAGAGTTGTCTACTGAGACACTGGATAAAGTAGAGGAATCCGACGCGGCTGACTCTCCTACAGGTGTCCCACCTGAGGAGGGGAAAGCTGAAGCGAAGGATCGCGAGACATCTGCGCCGCTTAGTCCGTCTAGGTTGAGGGCACCTTCTCCAGCGCGTGCTGTGGCAGGCGAACGCCATACACACGGCAAGAAGCGTGGCCGACCAAAAGGAGCCAAGGACAAGGCAGGCAGCAAGGCCCGAAGAACAACGAAACAAGTAGAAGAACTGGGAAAGAGTGCGGCGCTGTTCGCTAGTGCAGTTGGTGGCATGTGTGAACTCGACGAAGGTGAGGAATTCGCTGAATCATATGCGATTTCATCCGCTGCCCAAGCACTCGAGTCCCCCGATGCCGATAAGTGGCGGGAGGTTATTGAGAAAGAGCGCGCGAGACTGCTAGCCCTTGAAACGTGGAAAGCAGCTTCTGCCTTCTGGCGAGGAGCTTGCGACCGCGCGACGGGCTCTACCAATTGCCACAATTCTAACTATTAAAAGACGTGGAAGATACAAGGCTCGCGCCTGTGTCCTCGGTAATCTAGACCGATCAGGAGAGCTAAGCGCCTTTGCCCCCGTAGTTTCGCACGCCGCTAATAGGTTCGGTTGCCCCTGGCTTCTGCTGCGTCAGAACAGGACTACGCGATCCCGTTCGATTTAGATTCTGCGCCCCTCAGTGCTGAACCCGATCGCGATGCCTTCTGTCGTCTCCTACCCATCTGGGCGGAGAAGCATGGACGTGAGACCGTGAAGCTCAAGAAAGCTCTACACGGCTTGAAGGATGCAGCACGAGCATGGTTCAAGAAATATCGCGACACACTAGCGAATCTTGGCTGGGAGCCGTGTGATTCTGCGCCAGGCTTATGGAGAAAACCGAGTAAGAGAGTGCCTGAGAAGTTCCCCAAGATGTCAGTCTATGTGGGTGACAATCTTGCAACGGGTCCCGATCTCGATGAGCTCAAGACTGAACTAGAGCCCATCTTCTCGCGTGCCCCTGGCCGTGCGATTGATGTGGAGCCCGTTCCGACCCCTTGGGGTCAAGCGTGGCGAAGGTTCGACTTGACTCCTTAGGTGCCATCGTGTACTACTGCCGTGAAGCTCGAACTTTTCGACTCAATATGGAAGAGCACATCGATAAAATCGAAAAGAGGCTTGAAATCCAAGCCAGGCCTCCGGTTTACTCGCCCAATTTTGACGAGTCGGCTTTTCTTGAGGAGGGGACCAAGATAGTCGAGGGGTATCCCTTTCCTGAGGTAGCTGGTGCCTTGCTATGGGTAGCTGTGACCGCGCGCCCGGGCATCTCTGTACCGGTGGCGGCGTTGGCTAGACATGTCAGCAAGCCCACGCCAATAAGAATGGCCAAAGCAGCCAGGAAAGTGCTGAAGTATCTGGCGACAACGAGAGAACAAAGACTGGAATACCCACCAGAACAAGAGGAAGAGCCCAATCGAATCTATTCAATCAAAGCCATTACCTGAGGGCAGAGATATGCCAGAGGTGAACATCTTTAGCGATGCAAGATTCGCCAACTGCGTGAAGAATATGAGAAGCACAAGTGGGCCGATCATGTATTTCCAAGGCGCTCCAATCGCTTGGGGAAGTAATCGGCAAACTGTCCGTGCCTATTCTACGGCTGAGAGTGAATACATTGCATCTTCTGACACAATTGTCCTCAATGGACAATGCTGCGGTCTGGATCGACAACCAATCCGCGACCACAACAGCTAAAGCAACTGACACACGCCCGAAGAGTCGCCATTATGCACTTCGCTACTTGCGAGTGTGTGACGCGGCGAGTAAGGTGCTTTTCTGTCCAACTAACTTAAAGCCAAGTATGATGATTGTGATTCCTGTAGGGATCATGGATCTTGTGATATACTGAGTACCAACGTGATCGAGATCCTCCCCGCGTTCCGCCTCTTAGGATCAAGATCAGGATCACCACAAGGATAAGGAAGAGCAGGAAGACCACCACCAGGATGATCAGGATGAAGAAGGTCAACACGATAGGAGTCACATCGTGAGGAAGTTCAACCGAGTAGCACGGTCCAGGAGAAAGGTCAAGAGTGAGAAGGTTCAAGAAGTAGCTAGGTGCTTAGTAAGCAGCAGAACAAGCAACAACAACAACAACAGCCACGACATAACCTAACTGCATGCAGGTTATGTAGAGTACCGGGCTAATCCCAATGGAAGTTCATAATCAACAAGTTACTAGCGCGGCTTGGCGTTGCATCTAATCTGCGTTCGCACTAGGTGGGCTATTGGTCTAACAATCTCTAAACAACCTTACGCAAAATTTTTCTTCCCTACTAGATAAAATTTTTTTTTGTGTTTTTTTGAAAACATGACGACGCCAGGAGGGAAGGACTTCGCCACTTTGCCAGTCTTCGACGGCAAAGACGAAAACTGGTCGGCTTTCGAGATCAAGTTTCAAAATATTTTGGAGTCACTCGGAATCAAGGAGGCTCTGCAGAGAAGTTTACAAACGCCAGCGGGCGACAGTCTGTGGGATGAGGAAAAGAAGAAACAGGCCGCCCGTGTGTATGGTGGCCTTCGAAGTGCCCTGCAGGGTGACGCGGAACAAATCCTACTACAGGCTAAGCCAGAAGACCGAAATCCGGTGGGTACGGTGAAAGCGTTAGCAACAGAGTACGAAAAGAAGGCCAAGGCTTCTCGCTTGAACGGTCTAAGGGAGCTGGTTTTCGACAAAATCCAGCCGGAGGAAAGTCTTCGTCAGTACTTCATTCGAAAGCAGAGCATCCTTCAGAACAAGCTTGGTGGACAAGTTACCACGCAAGAACTAACTTTGCTCGGAACGTTTTGCAACTTGGAACAAGAACTAGTTGGTTTTCTGATGCCCAAACTTCTCAGCAAGGCGGTAGATTTGGATCAGCTGCGAGTTCTTGCCGAAGAATGGCAAGCACAGCGGGACAGCCGTGGAAAAGAAGAAGACGCGCATGCGCGCTACAGTGTGCATGGCCGTTGGGTACGACCAAAAGGCACGAGCAAAGGAAAGGGCAAGAAAGGAAAAGGCAAAGACCCTAAAAAGGGTGGGAAGCAGGACAGCGGCAAAGGCGGAAAAGGCCAAGAGCAATCTTGGTGGAAGCCGGTGCAGAAGGCATGCTTCTGCTGTGGAAAGTACGGGCACGAAAAGGTCGCGCGCCCCTTCAACCCTAAGAACAAGAAGAAAGAGGAAAAACAGTGAGAAATCACTGGGGATGGAAGAGAACTAGGCGGAGAAGGACGCCTAGCAGTCGAAGAAGAAGAAGATCTTCGACTGCATGAAAAAGACGAGGGAGAGCGTCTAGATGTCGCCGGAGAAGAAGGCCAACGTCTGGAAGAAGAACAACAAGAAGAAAGTGCCCCGGCACACTTCAACTACACTAGCAATAGCGCTAGTACCTTGCAACCAGAAGTAGAACAACAAGAAAAGAGCAACTTGCATCCTGAAAGTAGAGAGAAGAACTATTTGCATTCTTATCGTGGTTCACCTTTACAAGTGCAACAAAATTACTCTCCAAAAACACAAGCACCACAGGAAAGCGCTGCAGCAATGGAGTACGGAAATGCGCAAAAATTTGGAATCTTATGGGAAGTCAACGAGTACGAAAGTCAAAAATTTGAATTCAAACGGTAACAAGCTGCAACAAGGTAAGAACAACGAAGCAGCACAAGAAGGAAAGCGAAAAAGAGGAGAAGAAGCCGAAGAGCATGGTGGGAACACCATGAAGAAAAAACGAAGAGGAGAGTTAGCTAAGTGTTTAGAAGTTGCGTCTTCTGATCATGAGGGGCCGTCGGGTGAAGTGGTCAGAGCTGAAGAGAACAAGACAAAAGAAGACAAAGATCATCAGAGACCTTCGGGTGACGTGATTGCTAAGACGGACATATCATATGGATGCATTAAATTTAACGAACTTCAGACCAAAAGTAAAGGACCTGGACCGGTTGGCCGCAAAGTAAGCGCGGTGGTTGACAGTGGTGCGAGTCATCACTTGGCGGGGTATCAAGAATGCTTCAAGTCCATTGACTGGGCGAAGCCTATTAAGCTTACTGTCGCAGACAGAAAACTCGACGAAGTCGGTTATCGAGGGGTCTCCCATGGGAACTGTTTGGGGTTGCAGAGTGGTACACACCACCCGGCTCTAACTATGTTCTTGGTGAGTGTCAGGACACTAGTGGGAGATGGTATGAGGAATGTCTTTGATGATGAATCTTATGTAGAGAATAAGACCAGTCGAGAAAAGTGGTGGCTGGGGAAGGATACCGGAACAAAGTTGCCAACAGTCCCTATAGAGTTCCAGCAGGCTCCGCACTCTGTTGATGATTGGCAGAGTGATGATGTGGGAGAGCTGGTCTGCATGGAAGTGGAGGGATATTATGAAGAAGAAACAGCGCCAGCTTGGAAGAATGTGACTGCATCGGAACGATTAGAACTGCATAGGCGGCGCGGTCATTTCCACATCCATGGCTTAAAGCATCCACCATGTGCAGAGTGTATGCTCAGTAAGTCAAGACAGAGCGGCGCAGCTAAAGAGCGGCCAGAATATCTCAAGCCTACGGCTTTTAGTGATCAAGTGGATTGGGATTTTGCGGGTCCGTATCCACCTGGTCTACACGGTGAGATCTGGCGTTGTAGTGCTATTGATGAGTTCACAGGTTGGCCGGAAAGCTATCCGGTGGGGAAGAAGTCGCAGTGTGTCGACTGTTTGAAGAAGTGGCGCGCCAGAAGTGGACAAATGAAAGCTGCTCGCGCAGATTGTGCTCCAGAGTTTAAAGGGGAGAAATCACAATGGAGGGCATTTTGTGAGAGACAAAGTCCATCAATTCGAGCTGATTATAGTGCGCCTTACACGCCCAACAGAAACGGGGTGGTTGAGAGGCGGAACCAAACGTCTCAAAACGCTATTAGAGCCAATACGATCGGAGTTGATTCGAAGACGTGGCCTCGTTGTGCGGTCTACGTTGCTTGGGTGTATGCACGCCTAGCGCGGAAGCCGGGGAAGTTGTCGCCTTTCGAGAAACGGCATAACAGAAAACCTAGCACAAAATATTTTAAGCGTTTCGGCTGCTTAGCATACGCAAAAACACATGTCACGGAAGGTCTTGGAAAATTACACGAGCGCTACGAGCGTGGTATCTTTTTGGGCTACTCGGTTAACTCGTGCTACCTTGTCGGGGTATGGCATGAGGATAACAGAACGAGGGCTGGCTTGCGGTTCACAGTAATCGAAAGTCGCAGCTGTAAGTTTGATGAGAGCATCCTCGTCAGCAATATCAACGACTTGCGAAAGTTTTCAAAAGGTACTTTTGTCCCCTATTCGTTGCCAGACGCACTGTGTGCTTCGGATGTGCCTCAAGATTCTCCGGTGGCCGCCTCTGAGCCTGATCAGCCCGAGGAGAGTGCTCCCCAGAACACGGGAGGTTCGTTGTCCGGTGAAGAGGCACCTCAAGAAAAAGAACACAGTGAAGAACAAAGAGAAAATATTCAAGAAGCAAAAGAAAAAGAAGAAAAAGAGAAACAGGATAGGGAGGCAATCGTGGTCGAGGGTGTTGAAAAGGACAACGACGCTTCTAATAGTGTTGCAGAAGAGACTAGACCAAAAGAGATCAATGAGCCGGAGAGGGCTCAGGAGGAGCACCAAGAACCTCCGGCGGTTGAGATCAAGGACGGGGTGACATATGTGCGCCGAAAACGTGGCAGACCTAAGGGCAGTAAGAACAAGCCGGGGTCGTTGAAGCCGGGCCCGAAACCCAATCAACGGCGTCGGAAAGCAAACGCGAAAGCAGCAGCTGCCTGGGCAGCGGCTGTGGATGGTGATGGTGCTCAGGTATTTTTCGCCCGAGACGTTCCAGAGGCCTTCGACAAGCGTGAGCTTGAGTTGAAGAAGGGGAGGAAGTTTCGTGTTTCCATGTTCAACTTACTAGGGCGAAAGCAATGGAAAGAGAGGACGCGATAAAGCTCATTGAGGCAGATAACGAAGAACGACTAAACCCCATCGCGAGGCAGTGCTGGAAAGCATTGGAAGACGGCGACTATCAGCATGGAGATGAAGCAGTGCCTAGTGTAGTTATCTACACCATCAAACGCTGTGGACGTTACAAGGCCCGCCCTGTAGCGTTGGGGAACAAACAGAAAAAGGACATGCGTGGCGAGGTTTACTCTCCTACTGTGTCGCATGCAGCTAACCGCACACTACTGATCGACGCCGTAGCATCGGAGTCACACACTGAGACTTTCGATATTCAAAGTGCATTCATCTCAGCAGCATTAGGAGACGAGAAAGCTACTGCAAGACTACCAAAACACTGGAGCAAGGACCCAAGGGGTGACCTGGTTAGGTTGGTAAAGAGCCTCTACGGCTTGCGCATCAGCCCGCGTAGATGGTTTGACACTTATCGACAAGGGTTGGAAAAGTTAGGGTGGGAAATGTGCCCTACGGAGCCTGGACTATTCAGGAAGGTGGTAGACGGTAAAACTTTAAAGCTCTCAGTGTATGTCGATGATAACATTACTGCGGGCCGCTGTCCTGTGTTGGTGAAATCTGAGATGCAGAGAATCTTAGTGGCCTTTCCTGGCAAGGTAATCCCCCCTAAGATGAAGGACGACATCGAAACCCGGGATCTTCTCGGGGCTACTCTAGAGCATTGTGGTAAAAGACGCTACATGCGCATCCACATGTCGGAAGCTATCGAGCGAGCACTCGAAAAGTTTCGCATGAAAGATTGTCGCGCTGTTAAGTCGCCAACTGTTCACAAGCGTGATGGTGAGGACAGTCCTAAGAGTGAAACGCTTCCAATTCGAAGCCTTGTAGGTAGCATCCAGTACATTGCTTCTATGTGTCACCCAGACACTGTCTACGCAGTGCAGGTAGTAGCGCGCGAGATGACGACAGCGACGAACGCAACAATAGAGCGTGGGAAGAGGATCCTTCAGTACTTGAAGGGGACGAAAGAGGTTGGTCTTGAGTATTCTCCGGAAATAGAAGAAAACTTCAAGAAAATTTACAGCAAAGCGCTGGCATCTAACAGAAAGAGCCTGGGTGATGCTGTAGCATTCTCAGGCTCCGACTCTGCTGGTTGTTCAGTTAGCTTGAGAAGCACCAGCGGAAGCATTTTATACTTTCGAGGAGTACCGATAGCCTGGTCTAGTAAAAGACAGACTGTAAGAGCTACAAGTACGCGTGAGGCAGAGTGTATTGCCATCTATGACACTATAAAGATTACTCTTGGGCAGGGTTTCTTGAGTTGGTTCCTAGAGGCCAAGGGTGAGAAGTTGCCGACTGTATTTACAGACAGTCAGAGCGCCTTAGCGCTTGCGAGGAGTGCCCTACCGTAGTAGCCAAGCGGTCGAAGCGCATTGACTTACGGCATCACTTCGTTAGGGACTACGTTCAGAGTTTACGCTATGCGCCGACTGATAGGAACCGCGCCGACCCGCTCACAGAGCCCCTCTGCGGAAATAAGTATTTATCTATTTTTAACGAGGACGCTGCGAAAGAGCTGGACACGGTCGCGCGTGCATATTTTTGCCATGTTTAAACGTGGTGGGTGTTGTAGTAACACAGTATGAAGAGCTCTGATTACAAAGTGGGACGACGGCCGATCGCGTAGCCATTTGACTCGGGGGAAGTTGTAGGCTCTTGCGTCAAGTTTGCCACTAAGTGGCGGGGAGGGAGTTGAGATGGGAGTCAGTGTGGTTGATTGATGGACTTGGTCTCGGGAGGGGGAGTGTAGGGATCATGGATCTTGTGATATACTGAATACCAACGTGATCGAGATCCTCCCCGCGTTCCGCCTCTTAGGATCAAGATCAGGATCACCACAAGGATAAGGAAGAACAGGAAGATCACCACCAGGATGATCAGGATGAAGAAAGTCAACACGATAGGAGTCACACCGTGAGGAAGTTCAACCGAGTAGCACGGTCCAGGAGAAAGGCCAAGAGTGAGAAGGTTCAGGAAGTCGCTAGGTACTTAGTAAGCAGCAGAACAAGCAACAACAACAACGGCCACGACTTAACCTAACTGCATGCAGGTTATGTAGAGTACCGGGCTAATCCCCATGGAAGTTCATAGTCAACAAGTTACTAGTGCGGTTTGGCGTTGCGTCTAATCTGTGTTCGCACTAGGTGGGCTATTGGTCTAACAATTCCTCAGATGATGAAACGGATGAGGATGATTTAGCCTACTACAGCGTAGTATATTCGGTTTGCTTTGGTTTCTAGGCAAGTACACCGTAGCCGTAGACAGATAGTTAGGAGATATGGCCTCCGTGGTAGTCCAGAGACTAGGGATAAAAGCTTGCTCTTCCACCACTACCGAAGCTGTGCGACCAAAGCGAAACCTACGAGACCAAATGTCGCATCCCGTCCACCCGTAGGGAGTCAGATGCTTAGTATGACATAGGGCCTCAGGGGAACTGCCTGATACTCAGCAGTAGTGCCTAACCTTTATCGCCAACAGCCAAGACCCGAAGATCAAGGCACTGCCTGATGCTCAGCAGTAGCGCCCAACCTTTTGTCGCTATAAGAAGAAAAGCCAAGACCCGAAGGCCAAGACACTGCCTGATGCTCAGCAGTAGCGCCACCCAACCTATACGCGAGCAGCAACATAGAGCAATAACGCTCACTGTCGCGCTATACGTATTACGCCAACAGCCATAACTCCAGGAAAGCCTTAACAGGAGGGAGCAGCCTACTAGAGGCGCTAAAACCCCAAGCAACGCAGCGCCATCCGCTCCGCAACGAAAAGCACCACATCCACACCGCAGCCGCTCCGCACTACTAATAATTACGAGGGACACCAACAGACTAGAGCAGCGCCAAACTACCACCCTGACAAGACCCCCAGGCGCTAGTCTTTAGTCTGCCCCCCCCGGTAGAGCAGGGGACACCTACACGGCAGATGGGGGCACCATTTGCCTCACCTTAAGTTTTCCAAAAACGCCAGACAGGAGACCCCGCGGCGCAAAGTGGGAGGATGTCCCAGCTGCAGCCATTGGGAGCCTGAAGAAGAAGACGACGAGGACGAAGAGCTACAGCGGCGCGAAAGCTACTAGAACTACTGGGGCTACTGCAGGGGGTTAACTACTAAGGGGGGGAGGCTGTTTTGCGGAGCATCGCCAACGGCTCCAGCCTTCAATCGCCCAGGGCGTAGTCTGTGGCGACCCCACACCTAAACGCAGCTCACTAAGAGGAGCGCGAAAAGGGCGGGCCTCCGGGGGTACCGGAAGAGAGAGGACTTCGACGCGCAACGATTGCGGAGGGGTGTTGGTCAAGATCGTAATCCCTGGAAATATCACAAAGATCCACCAAGATCCAAAGGACAAAGATCAACGAAATGCAATGACCAGGATCGCCAGGCAAAAGGTTACCGGAGCACCACCCAACGCCCGACGGGTTTACCGTCGCGCGGGTGTCTCTGGCTTCTCCTCTCTCTCGTTTGTCGTTTCAAGTCTCTCAACACAGTCAAGGACAAAGCATCACCAGAAAGATCTCAAGGAAACTCACAGACCTAAACGCATACGGTTCCAAAATCAACGACCAACAGACAAAAGGCCCCCAACGTATTCAGATAGCAGAAATAGCGAACAACGTTCATAGCTGTAACCAGGTCCATACTGTTGCCAGTTCTGGCCAGTGATGGGCAACGGTGTAGGATGATCGTACGAAGTCAATGACGATAGCGCAGGCGTTCCCATATGAAGCACGCGCAACATTCCCCATTATGGTACCCCAATGAAGAAGCTGAGACTTCCTCCCTTGCAACCCCAACGAATATCCTCAGCCAGGGACCAAACCAGTCCGAGGCCGTTAGTCTCAGGCTGTGGGCGCAATCTGTATCAAACTCAAGCGCTTCTCACCGAAAGACTACGCGTGACTTATCAGTCTGTGTTCGAATGGTCCAACAAAATACGCTTACAACAATAGAGGTGGCAGGCATGAGTAATTGCTTGAATTCCTCTTCCTTCGCAACCCAAGACTATACCTCATAATCGATCAGCATCATGCCACTTAGAAGCCACCCTAGGTGTTAGTAGCCTCGTGTAAATACCAGTTTCTTCAATCGCGTCGTCAATGTCCTCGATGAGAGTTCTTGCTGAATTAGCGATATCCTTATCCATGACCTCCGCGCCCGCGAAGTCAGTATTACTAAGTAGTCCTACTTCTTCATTTTTCCGCTGACTTTCCTCGGTGTTGCTGCTAGTGTTACCCATGATGTATATTTTTTCGGAGAGGTATGGCGCTGGTCTTGATGTGCGTCTTTTTACGCGTACCACGGGGAAGAGCAGTCGATGCTGATACAAGATGTTGATCTATGTATTCCCAGAACTGAATAATTGGTGCTCCACTGCGACACTCCTGTTTGGGGAGAAGAAGTTGCGTGTTCCAGATGAATTGAATTATTGCACCGCTGTATACAGATAGAAGAAGACCACTCACAAATCTTCCTTTTACAGAGAACAAGGAATTCCGAGGAGTGCTAGCTATTGCGCGCTTTAGCTGAGCTAATATGTGTCGCAAGTGGAATCTTTTCAAGTTGAAATCTCGTTGCTCTGACAGATGACCATCCACCACCACGTGCGTCTTTTGCGGAGTCGGTCCGTGTGTCGTTGTTTACGAACGTGAGGAAATATTTCGTCCTGCTTTTCTCTTGCTCGACGTCTTGGTGTACATGTTCAATTCATTCCTCTTCTACACAATCATCTAGTGAAATGATGCCGAGCTACCTGAGTCTTTTCTCACTGCCCGGAGAAATATATTCCCAGGTAAGACATGCTGCAATGATCTCGAGATTTAGAATCGAACAATATCTGCGCACGGCTACATATCTCAAAAAAACGAAGATTACCAAGTCCCGATTTCCGTCTGCCCTTCTTCGGTCCTCCGATAATCCGCGGGCCTTGGAAATTTCCTTCGTTTTTGCGAGATATGTAGATGTGAGGAATGAATGAATGTAACCCCACTGCAGCGGTAAAAAAGACTACTCCACACTACTTGCGTAAGCCGATTTCGATAACGAAAATCTCCTACTAGCCTGCTATCTTCACTCTACGAAAACAGGAACTCGAGTCTTACTTGCGTCTTTCTTCGAGTATTTCTGAAAAAGTTTCTAGTCAGAATTTGCAACCTTCTGTTTTCCCGTCACAGTGGGTTCTCTCACGTCGCTCGCTCGTTGCTCATAGTCCATGGCGCTTTCACTATAAATATAATAAACCCAGATTCGTCTAGCGAGAAAAACGAAACGCATTATTTTCGTCACTGCCGACCTCAGAGAAAAAACGCCGCAAGCATGAGCTGACGAAACAAACGAGTAAGCGCGCTTGCAGAAACGATAAGCACAAGAATCCACGACAAGCTTCGTAGAATGAATGACCACTGGAAATTTTTCGACCACGTCTGACATCCAGGCTTCATCTGAAGACTGCATCTTGGGTACTATCATGAACAACAACATAAAACAAATGATAATTATCATCACCTTCAAGGTACAAACTGCTCGAAGATCGAAAACAAACGATGACTATCATCAACGTAGGTAACCAGGCCGCCTGAGGCGGAAAAGGAAAAAAATATGGCGTCGTGTTGATTGTATCGTTACACAACTGTTTCAACAAATAAACTGAAAAAAAACATGACGCCTCACAGATCCATATGCTCCATTCAGCTGAAATATCGATAGATTCTTGTACTAGAAGTAGACAGACGAGAGGTTCCTCCTATATGATGTTCTCCGCTTTTTCGAAATGTATGTAATAGAGTGGTTGCCAGATCATGAGGACACTATAATACTGACCTTGACTTTTTCTAAATACTTATCAATCTAAATATTCTAAATTTTCTAAAAGAGGACGTCTTGTCGCAGTCATTTTTACTTGGCTTCATCTAAATCCTCCAAATTTTCCGTAGTATAATCACAAAACTGAAAAGTATTATTTTTTTTTAGTATACTCCTACCACTACATTCGCCCCTTGTGACCCTTCAGTACTTCAACAGCCATGTCTACAACTTCTTCTTGCCGACCTTGCCACATCTCAACCAGATACTCATCTGTCACTGGCTTCATTCCTGGCTCGTAGCAGTGCTTAGATGTTGAGAGTAGGGGTGGAGAAGTAGAGGAAGGTAGATTGTGCTGTGTATGTGATTCTTGATGAGGACTTGAACTGGTTACTTAGTTAGTTGTCGATTGGAAGTTCTAGATAATGCAGAAATGACCTCAAGACTGGCGAATAGGCGCTTTCATATCATCTATCGTATGATCCCAACTACATCTATTAGACATCAAAAATCAGCAAATGCAAATTCAACTGAAAGTGGAACCACAAAGAACGATACAGGTCATAACTTCCGTCTGACAGAGGACTGGGCAGCAAGCACCTTGCTTCCACACGATGTCTAGTGGGCAGATATCCGCAATGTTAGCACACTGCACTGCCTGACAGGCGACCGGCAACTCAGCCGGGTTCACCATAGCCTTCGCGCTGTTCGAGTTCGTCTTGGTTTCTATGAAACGTAGGCCGGCGGGAGAGTGGGTAGGGCAGCAGAGTGGGTGGGGCAGCAGAGTGGTTGATGCAGGAGAGTGTATGGGGCAGGAGAGTGTATGGGGCAGGAGAGTGTATGGGGCAGGAGAGTGTATCACTGACTACGTGCTGAATGATATACCCTCAGCAGCAGGCGAAGAGGCTGACCGCGGGAATGATAATATCCCTCCCATGATCGACCGAGTTCTGTCGCTGAGGATGTAGATGATGACGATGATGATATAATACCCAGTCGTTAGACGGCTTTGCTCTACGTCCAATACGTAGAATGCGATCTCGCCGGGGAGTGCTCTTGGTCCGACTTACTTTTCCACTACTTCTAATCCCGTCAAGATGTGATTCTTTTTGCTACAGAAGTTCTCGTCACACTACGAGGCCTTCCCACCAGATGAAGTCACCGCTAGAAGCCGAGACTCTTCTTGGAAAAACTGCGCAAATTGCAACTGGTACACAAAGACAATGTCTTTTGCCGTCGCGGTGGCCGTTGAGTGTCCCAGGACAGAGAAGCACGGCGCAATGAACGTCAGCCACAGCGTGTTCGTAAACAATAGCCTCCTGTCGTAGATTGTCTGATCTATATTCTTGTATGACTCGCTCTATGTGTTTTATTCACCTAGTTTCTAATTCTGGTATTCAGAAACGTTCTGCTATGAAAAAAAATTGCTCACCGCCACCTCTCCGACTTGGATTATCATTGAAAGACCTACGAGTTTAATTCATTCAAGACAAGGTGAACATTTATGGAAGATTCATCATTTCCTGCTCATCATTTGTGCATGAAAAACCCAACACATATCATGTGGAAGCGACCATATGACAACGAAAACAGAGCGAGTCTGGCGATCGCAATCGCAATCTTCATGTGCATACCGGTGAACGACGTCGACAAAACAAAAACGATTTCGACGGCCGATCAATCTCAATTAAAAAACTGATAAAACTTACGACCATGCAATAACATGATGCTAGTGGAAGTTTCGTTCGGGACTACATGTACAAAGTGATGTTCCAAGAACGACCGAAAGATTCGAGAAAAAACACATCCAACACAGGTGAGTGACAACTTGCATTAGGTCTAGGGACCTCTAGACACTGTATCAGCAGATTCCACGTGAAAGTTTGTAAACTTGATCCCGTTCTCTCACGCTCATCTCGCACTCACTTACTGGTTGGTTACAATTTATAGTACCAGTGCATGATTGCTCTTTTGCTTGACAAAGCCAGAGGAGAGCAAATGCGACCAATAAGGAAGAAACGAAGCACACTTTCGGCAGTGCAGACAGCACAGGAAACATCGCACAAAAGAGCAGAGAGGCACTCGCGATGGAGCGCGCTTTCACATACGGAAGGTACAAGAATCCACGACGGTCTTCGTGGAACTAGAATGAGCGATGGGAAATTTTTTGACATCAACGCCTGTCGTCCAATCCGATTGCAACTTCCTGGTCACGAACAATACGAAATCATGAACTACATCAACTAAAAGTTAACGCCTGATAATGCAACTGAACAGCATGAAAAGATAATAATTGTAAGACGTATGAAAAGATAAGCACAAGATCGAAAAATTGGCGAGAAAGAAGCAACTCGAACTCGAATAGGAAAAACCCTATCTTAATGGTGATATCATCGCCGTGCGACCGACTTTGGTGTGATTAAACAAATAAATAAATCGGGAAAAAACATGATGCTTCACACGCCGGGTCTGTGAGACCCATTTACTCTGTTCAACTAAACCGTCACTGCATTCTTGTACTACCTCCGGTAAATAGGTGAAAGAATTTTCTGCCCCGCTATGATGCTGCCCCCTCCTGTTGGTTTTTCTAAATAAATCTAAATAATCTAAATTTTTGAAAATACAGAGATCTTCTTCTACTTCGTTCCCAACCCCAACGTTATTGATATCATCTAAATTATAATAAATATATCCAAATACAACTAGGTCTTACTCTTCTGCTGCAATCGCCTCTCTATACTCAAGAAATATCTTACCTACCCCTACGACGACATGACCAGCTCCGTCTCCTTCCTCTACAACCTTCTCCCTCCTCTTTACTTCATCTTCATCTTCCGAAGCTTTTTGTCTACAGCTTCTTTTTGCAAACCTTGCAGCATCCTCCACTTGGCGCAGCCGGTGCCTCTCCTGGTGGACACTGCAGCCGGAAGCACTTCACGTTGTTGCAGGAGGTCATATCTGCACCTTGCCACATCTCCACCAGGTACTCATCTGTCACTGGCGTCATTCCCGGCTCGTAGCGGTGGTTAGAGGCATTTGGGAACGAGGACAGTTGAGCGAAGACAGAAAAGAAGGTGGAATATTTCTAATAAATAGTCTGCGAAAGTGACTCTTGATGAGAGCTTCTTGAACAGGTGAGTTAGTAGTCAATAACAGGCTGTAGAGTTGATGCAGAAGTGATCTACTACAGACCAAAAAACACTTTCAAATTATCCCTCGTACCCTTACTCACCCTCATCCACCTACAAACACCTGGGACATCCTCTGTAAAACGCAGTCACAGCTCATAACTTCCGTCTGGCACACTGGGCAGCAGGCTCCCTGCTTCCATACAATGTCTAGAGGGCAGATGTCCGCAATGTTAGCACATTGCACTGCCTGACAGGCCACCGGCAACTCAGCTGGGTTCACCATAGCCTTCGCGCTGTTCGTCTTGGTTTCTATGAAACGTAGGCCGGCGGGAACGTAGGTAGGGGACAAACGGGCGTGGTTGGGGAAGCAGGATGGGGTGGGGAAAGTGAGTGTCAGAGAAGTAGGTATGCTTTTGGCGCACATTTCTGTTCTTCTTCTTGCTCTACTATAGTTTGGATGCGGATTGACAAGGACGACAAGTTATTTGTTGTGGTGTACTTACAGGACAAAGCGCCTTAACTCTCAGGACTTCGGCGATTTCTCCTGGATTCAGCTTCTCCTTCATTTGCAGCATGGCTAAGCGCTTGCTCGGCCCTTTCTGCAGTACGAGGCGGGCCTCGACGCAAGCTCCAAAGAGCGCGGAGACCAAGACGGATGAAAAACGCATCTTTTATAAGTATTTGGTGTTGGTCGTTGGGTTTTTCTTTCGGATTCGGGTGTTGGAGAGAGTCTACTACTTTTGACGCACTGGCTGATGGCGACTGTATGGTCCCGAAGTCTCTGAAAAAAAGATCTCCATGCTCCTTCTCTCGAATATCTTTCTCCGGGGTCTGCGGCACGGAAATGACGTGTGTGAGTTAGACAGACGAGAGAGAGAAACAAAAATGTCGCCGGAGCTCTTCGACAACCGGTGTCCCTATGCTGCTCAATGAAGCGTATCCGAGCAGTAGAATGTGCTACATATGCCGTGTTTCTGGGGATTGATCGACTCATCTTCAAACATCGTTAAAAATATGTGGGGAGGAAATGATGTTGACAACTCAAATACATGAGTCCGTGTTTATCATGATAACCACCGAATCCATGGACAGCGAGTCTTAATAGTGGATCTTATTATCCAACTACATGTCTGGCGATTTGAAATCCGAGCTACAGATTTCAAATAAGAAGACCACGATCATACTTGCACATGAAAGTTCTTCAAGTGGGAAAAAAATCACCATCCCTTCTATGTTGAGTACAACTGCAATATATTTTTTTCTATAGAGCATATGTATGCTGTGGTTCAGTGGACGATCGTGTGACAATGTTGGTATGTTGATTCAAGTACGTCAAATGTCTTCTACGCATTGTGAGTGGTACGAAACCACGTGGAAAATTTGACCTGTAAAACAGGCCAGTCTTCTCGATCGCAGTCTCTAAGATGCTGGACCAAGCCCAAGAAGGTGATTTAAATTTACTCACCAACAGCATTGGACGGGCAAAAGTGAAGACTAGATGCGGAGAAAGGGCAAATGTTTATTACACTCAATACCTTTATTGGGGTACAAAAAATGGATAAGGGTGTTCTGCAGCAAAAATGAATGATAATGAGATGTTCACCGCACAAGGACTACTAGTATAATCCGTCATCAACCAGCGTCATTGTTCTCAAGAATGAATGACACTGAGATGAATATTGAACAAGAACCACTAATAATCCGTCACCAACCAGCGTCATTGTTCTCAAGAATGACTGAGACTGAGATGAATGCTGAACAAGGACTATTAGCCTAATTCGTCATCAACCAGCGTCAACCTCCATTCTCCAGCTTCTCACTTACATGGAGTCCGTCTTGCTCATGTGAATGGCCAAGTCGACCAATCGGTTGGAGTATCCCCACTCGTTGTCGTACCAGGACACCAGCTTGACGAAGGTCTCGTTGAGCTGGATGCCAGCCTTCACGTCCAAGATGGAGGAGGCCTTGTGCCCAACAAAGTCCGTGGAGACCACCTCGTCTTCGGTTACATCCAAGATGCCCTTCATCTTGCCGGCAGCCGCTTCTTTGCAGGCAGCGACAATGTCAGCCATGGAGGCTGGCTTGGACAGCTTGCACGTCAAGTCGACAACAGACACGTCCGGAGTCGGCACGCGGAAGGCCATACCTGGAGAAGGTCGTGATTGATGTTGTTGCGGGACGAAATAGTTGTGAAGAAGAAGATGAAGAAGGGTAATGCAACAACAACTTCGCTGTGGGTATAAATGTAGAACTTGTTGAACTTGTAAACACGATATCAAATCTTTTGTTAAGAGAAGTACGATTTAGATTTTGATTTTACACTTTTCATCCGACGGCTGCTCTCTTTACTTGCTCGCAAAAACTTCTAAATATTAACGGTAAAGTAACAGAAACAGGATGACTGTCATTAACCTCATAAACACCAACCAACTAGACCCAAAACATGAAGACTTCTACCTGTCAATTTTCCGTTCAGTTCCGGGATGACCTTTCCGACTGCTTTGGCAGCTCCAGTGGCAGCCGGGATGATATTCTGGGAGGCGCAACGACCGCCACGCCAGTCCTTTCCACCACGGCTTGGGCCATCGACGACCAATTGCGTGGCCGTCATGGCGTGGACAGTGGTCATGAGACCTTCAGCGATGCCGAACTTCTCATGCACGACCTTGGCCAAGGGAGCGAGGCAGTTCGTGGTGCGAGAATTAGAAGAAATGTGTGTTTGGAGCTATCAAAAATCCAGTGACTTGTTGTGGCTGAGAATTTGAATTTTTGTTTTCTCCAAGTCTTTAATACGATCAACATCAACCAGAGCTCCATGAATCTTCATGATAGATATACTCGGACTTCTCCATAATGAAGTAGACGAAAAACATAGAATTCTTTATCAAATAAGGTAACTTTTTTTCGAAACCACCAGGCCATAAAAGAAGCATTGGAGACAACGTGCTTGTCGGAAGTGTAGGCATCCTCGTTGACGCCCATGACGAAGATCGGCGTGCTATCCTTCGGAGGAGCGGACATAATAACCTTCTTGCAACCGCGGAAGATGAAGGATGGAGAGGAGGAGGGGGAAAAGGCGGAACAAGAGAGGGAGAGAGAGAAAAAGAGAGTGGGAGATAGAGAGTGAGAGAGAGAGAGCAATGCGACTAGATGATACAAGGGAACAAGCGACTACTCCGAGATGTGGTGGAGAGGAAGACCTAGTTTTCTTGTAACTTCTGTTCAGTCTTCCACATAATACGTATAATTCGCCATAATCATCTTATCTCCTTTACTGAAAAAACATGTTGTATTTGTTGTGGTTAAGATCTTACACCTAGTCGAAGTCGAACAAGAAACCCGAGTCATAACTTTCATGTGCAGTTCAGCCTTGGCTGTTTCCAGGAAGACACCAGTCGATTCGCAGACGTAGTCAGCGCCTTCCTCTCCCCAACCGATGCTGGAGGGCTCCTTTTCGTGGAAGACGCGCACTGCCTTTCCATTCACGACAAGGTACTCCTTGCCACCGTCAGCCTTGGTAGCGATCGTTCCCGGGAACCGCTTGTGCACGGAGTCGTACTTCAATTGGTAGACCTGGGATCGTATTGGAATTGATGAAGATGACGGCGGTGACAACAATGTTACATCAATGATGGTGATGTATGGATGCTTAGACTTCCATTTTCTTGTTGTACTCGAGATTAGCTGAACAGGAAACGCCAAGGACTAGAACCCTTAGTTTAACTTACCATGTACTCCAAGTCCATGAAGGGGTCATTGATGGCTTTCACATCAATTTCCGGATTCTCCATGGCGGCACGAAAGACCAAGCGACCAATACGGCCAAATCCGTTGATTCCAAATCCGGCTGGCATTTTCGAAGATCTTCTTGTAGATGAATCTACTAGTAGAAAATTTCAAGTAGTGGGATGTCTGGGGGTGATAATCTTCACTAATAGATGATGATGATGATGATGATGAGGTGATTGCGGCTTTTGTTGTTGGGGGTAAGAACGAGAAACAATTTGAGTTACAGGCCAGAAATCTCTGAAAAAACATGAACTCATTGCTGTGACGATAGGTGTGTAAGGACAGTTCTGATGGGTCAAAGATAAACTAGTTTCAGCCAAGCAGGAGATGGGTGGGAGCCACTCATGTAGCTTCTTCGTAGTTGGCATGTATCGGCAGGAGATCACGAACGTGCTCGATTTTAGCACCTCGAGCAGATCAGTGAGCACTTGCTGGATCCCGATCTCAGATCATTGATCGCGACTGCCTCAGTCCATATGCAACATGACGGGTTTTGCCTGTCAGCAGCTTGATATTATTCATTCATTTTCATACATTGCTGGTGAAAAAAAAAACGCCCTGACCCCATGAACAACCTCCTCCACCATAGGTCGGCACTTTTCTCGATTCCACATCATAGGATTTTGTTCGGAATTTAATTACTTCACCGCTTCATTAGACCACCCTCGTATCTCTGGCTTTTTCATGTGGATGCTTAGAATTTCACAAAAAAAAATATTCACATTTACATTTGTGCTTGATCGTACTATGTCGTCTCCCAAGTAGATGGGCTAGGCGAGCCCGGATAAGTCTGATTATTCGCCGATATGCAAAAAATTTATTGTCATTGGAAATAAAGGTAGTGCCGGTGAAGCTTCAAAACGGATTGATTTTCAAGTGACTCGGCGTCGGCAAGAGTATGTAAATGTATACGTGTAAAAGGCGAACCAAAATTTCCTAGGACATGACATTCTTTTTCTTCCGTCAGCTTCAAACCGGCATCCCCGTACGTCACAATTTTTTTGCTTGTTATGCACGAGGGAAGAGGAAAAAGTCCAGTTCTTAGGCTACTACTTTGGGAGAACAGGCCACGTTGTGACCAGCCACGTACAAACCTAAAATTTGTTTCACGAAGATCTGCTGATATTTTCCTGTTAGCGCCACTGCGACTCTGGTAAACATCCTTAGCCGATGGTGCTGCGGTCTGGTCGTAAAAAAATCTAAGTAAACCCTGATCATCCTGACGACCACGTCGCGCATCCAACAATATCCCGCACAAGGAAATCAAGCAGTAACAAAAGGGGTATCTGCCTTACGTTGAGAGCAGGTTGATGCTGTTCATTTTCGCGACAGTGATATGGAAGGCCTCGACGTGATGCAGCACGTTGAAGAAATGGTGCCCGAACAGTAGCTGCACTGGATCAAATAACCGCGCCCAGCTAGACGGATTCGGGTTCGCCGACTCAGTGCTTCCAGAGGATGACAGAGATGCACCGAGTAATCGGAAAAGATGGCCGCCGGTCTGAAGAGGAAGTGGTGGTTGTAAATGAATGTGATAGACCTGGAGAGACGAAAATTTTCACAAGATTCATCATCCGCTGCTTCTACGCCGCCCGCCGGGTGCTCCTACGGCAATAAAAACATCCGATGTTGTTCAACTTCAGTTTCAAGAAAGTCATCAACCCAGTCTAGCAGTGACAAAAAACATCAATGTACGACTTTACCATATCACCGTTCTCGTCCACAAGCGATGATGGCACTCCCCAATTCAGTGCGTTCCAGCGGTTCTTCGCCAAAAAGTACACCTCATGGACTGGAGGATGCAGAAGATTGCACCTTAAGCCGCCGAAGAACGAACGTGGTAGAACATAGGACCCGAGTTTCGAAAGGAAAGGCAGCTGTTTGGTTAGCCTGGGTACTGGATCGTTCCCATAAACGAAAACGGTCAATCCATATGGAGGCTGTTGAGAACTACTTCTGATGCTGCGGTCGCGGTCCCACCACGATGCCAAATTCTGCCACAAAAAGCTACTACGATCGGTCTCCACTAGCGAAATCCATCGATTTACCTCTGAGGAAGTGAGGTCCTTGTTCTTCAGCTGAAACGGTGGCGCAGGCTCGAATGCAAATGTTTGAAACTTCTCGACATGTTTACGTTTCATGGTCTTCAACTCATGCGCAGTCCTATGCTGCTCTACTAGTACTACATCATTGTCGTCCACCCTTAGAACTCTTCCCCAGAGACGCTCAAGGTAGCAAATGGCATCAAAAAAGGAAAGCTCGTCTGCAGGTTGATACACTCCTCCTAGTCCTGTTCCTGATGTCGACGCGCTAGTAATTGCAGTAGGACGCACAGGTGGCTGCTGATGTTCTGTTTGCGCAGGAGGATCTTGATCTTCTACCCCATCGGCATCTACTACCTGATTCTCCTCACCAACAAGGCTTGCATTCTCATGGTCATCTCGTTCTCTTCCGTCTGGTGTTCCTCTTAATGCCAGAAATTCGTCTTGTCTTCTGGATTCCACCGTAGAAAAAGGATCCCTCGTCCGATGAGGGCGTCCGTTGCAAACATTACCATGCCCTGGCAAGTCTTGGGATGGCCATGCGAAACTATGAACTAACATTGCGCACGCACCGCCAAGTGAATGTCCCACAATGGCGATGTTATCGAATTTCTCAATTGCTTTGGCTTGCATGTAGTGTTGGAGAACCGTTAGTACGTCGAGGCTACCGTCGTTTTCATCATCGGCAGACGACTCAACCCTATGTGGATCTGATGAAGAAGCGTCACGAAATGTTGCAGCTGCAGTGCGTGCTTCTCGATTGTAAAAAGCCCTCCCGTCGTCAGAAGAACCCTCTTTCCATTTCCCGAAAACAACGCCCTTTCCATTGACCATGTTACCCACCAAGGTACCCAATTTTCGTCCGAAGCCATGGCCAACGCCAAGCACTTCGGTGACAGGACTTGCATCGTCTTGCTCAGCGTCGTCGTGTATATTCAAGACTGGAATTGCCGTATCTGGATCCGCATTGATGATATCGTAATACCAATCTTTCACTGTCGTTGTACCACGAAAAACTAGCCATAGGGTATGTCGGTAACGAGTGGCAGATCTCGTCTTCGTTGATGCATCTTCAGGCAGTCCTTGTTGTTCTTGCTGCTCTTCTTCTTGTGCTTGCAGTACTGCCTCATTTTCTTCGAGTATAACTGGCACATCTGCAGCATAGGCTGAAGATGATGAACTCGCTTGCTGCGCACCAGCAACAGCTTCTTGCCCTCCTTCATCTTCATCTCTTTTCTCCACTATGATCCCTTCTTTCTGTGCCACAAACGCCCATCCTGATTCTGAACGCCAGACGAGTCTGCTCTTGGCGATATTGCCAATAATGAAGTCAAATTGTTCTCTATCGGCCTCCGGCAAGACGCTCTCGGGTATGTTCTGTTCGAAATTCAGGTTTTTCGTCAGCTGACTCGCCCATTGAGTCCGTCTGGCTTTGTCATAAGGTCGCTCGCTGCCCTTCTGACGGGTGCGACTACGACTGATATTCGCAGTACTCGAAGATCCATGCGTCCCTGCTTGTTCATCCGACGAAGAGAAGGTTGTAAACGTGTGTTGAGGTTGACTGCGACCCTCAAGTAGTGAATCTTGACCTACAGCACCTACTTCTTGTCCATCATACTCTTCTACCCGATTAAAGTCTTCTTTCGTTTTCAGTTCTTTGGAATAATTGTCAGTAGGAAACGGAAACCCCCAGTTGTTTGCTTCCCCATACTGACAAACCAACATAACAGCAAGCAGCAAAACGATCACTGCTGTGGTGATAGCACAACACGATCTACTCTTTTGTCTCTTCTTTGTTCTAGCCCTGCTTTTCTTTTTCCCTTCTTCCGCCTCAACATCATGATTCTTCACATCACCATCAACAAGAGGAGATGAACATGTTGAGGAGTTCTCATCATCCTTGTTGCCCCCTCCTCTAGCAAGTAGTACATCAACATCCTCCAATACTGTAGTTGTTCCGTCATTATCAGCTTTAGCTCCCAAACTACCTACTTCTAGCAAAATCCTTGTATCAAGATTATCTGCAAAAGCTCTCGTCTCTGATGCGCCATCTTCATCTGCAACTTCTGCATCCTGATAGTTACCACTTCCCGTCGTAAGGCAAGAATCCGCTGAGTTTTGTGATTTGTCTCCCAGGACAAGCAAACTAGGACGAGCACTAGAGGACAACGTCGCACCCATCTTTTCCATCTCCTTTTTGGGAATGAAATTGAAATACTCTGATTTTAAGGGTGAGTCTGCTGAATGTTTATCTTCTTGAACATGATTATCATAATTGGCACGACAACAAGGTGATCCTAGGAGGCCAACTTCGACTATCAGAGAGTCGAAAATCCAATGTTAGATTTTCTTTTACTTTTCACTTGCTCCTATACCTCGCTTTCCAACTTCTTAAAAAAATAAAAAGTCCTCGCACGACTTACTGAGAATGCCACATCATCCATCATTCATTTTTTCAGACTTCTACAGTCTTCTCCCTTTGCGTCGCTGCTCAACCGATATAGATGCATCAAATAAACCAGAAAGAACCAAGAACATTTCATCTGAGGCAAATCAGATCCCGTAGAAATCGTTCCTGTTTAACATGGCAGTAGGGAAGGCGAACTGGCCGTGTCAGCGGATGGTCTTGGAATCAGAGGGTTACTCCGTAGCAGGACTGGGCTATTTGAGTTCGACAGGAGAAAGCGTGACCATCAACCTGACCAACGAGTCGAAACTGCTTACTATGTACTATTCACCACCCTCTCCGTCTTCATCTTCTTCATTCCCCACCCCATTTATTGCGTGCTCCACTGTGTACATCCTCGCTAATGTGTTAAACCCCAAAACGTCGTTTGCTCTCAGCAAATTTCCCGCATCGCAATTGAGCGGCGAGTCCGCGTTCGGTTCTGCTAAAAGTGCTATTATTGCGCGCATCACAGTTCGTAGAGACCAGACTGGTGACCAATCGGTCTTCAAAATGTCAAGACACAGTTCTCCCGAGTCGAAATGGACGTTGATTAGACAGTCGAAATGGTGTTTCCTCAATGAATCCAGCAACAGCGTGTGAGAAAGGACATCCTAATAGACCTAGGGCTAAAGTTGAATGGTTCCGGTATTTGGTAACCTGAGAAGTTTGATCATAAGGGAAAACAAGAAGAGAACCCTTATGATCAAATTCAGGTTACCAAATACCAGAACCATACAAAAGTAAAGCCTTTTCCTTTTGGTTCCCTTTACTAGAACCTGTCTCCTGAGGAAAGCAAGTACTGCTAATTACTTACAAAGATCATGGGCCATAAGTTAGGATGAAAGATTTTCGTCTTGAACCATATTTTGGGCGCGGCGAGGGGATACGATGGCGGAATCTGTATCCTCAGTCGGAATCGGCCATCCGCAAAAGGCGTTTCCTTAGGACCTATGACGTGACCGTGCCATATTTCTGAGGTATTCTCGTCTGGGCGCAAGCTTATGTCTGGATCTTTGTCCTTCTTCAGCTCACGAAGTTCCTGGTTCAAACGGTTGCGAGCGACAGAGATCATTTTTCTTGCTTCTCTCTAGAAGTACAAGTTAGTAGGTCTTGTCGTGCTAGTTGTTTTTGACATAGTGCTCTTATTTTTGTTATTTCTTGTGCTAAAAAACTTCGTTTAGCGTACGAGAACTGGTACCCTCGTAATTTTAGCTTCTAGCTTTTCCGCCTGAAACGAAAACCTGTAGACGTCGGGAAAAATTCTAACAGAAGATGAGTGCCCTCTTTTCGAACAGAATTTATTATGTATTGTAATGGTATAATTCCACACAAATAACTCTAGATGACCTTATTCCCGTTGCCACACTCGTTTTTCACGCTTTGGTAAGCCTCGTGTCTGAACATCAGGAACTCGAAGTGGAGAATGTGGTCTGCAAATGCAGTCGCAGACAACAATCAAAAAGTTAGTAGTTCAATATTCGATCCCTGAACCAAGAAGTCAGAGGCAGCAACAAGATGAACAGCATTAGAATGATTGCGGCAGCCTTCTACCATTCGATGACATTCAAAAAATGAATCATCAATCATGTCGATCATATGGGTGTGGGTCGCGCTTCTTGGAACAATAAAACCAAGTAGTGGAGGAAGCACGATATTTTTCATGCTCTTCACCAAGGACATGATCTAGATCAGGCGTTCAGCATGTTTTCGAGCGAGGACGATCTCCTTCATTTCGTTCACCACTTTCTCCCTTTATTGAAGCCGGCACTGTTTTCCTGTCAGCAGTTCTCGCTCGGCCCCGCTTCAATTCGCTTCTCGCATTCTCTACAATCGCTTTAGCTCCTACCGCATCCGCACACAAAACTTCTTGCAAAACCCGTCTCTGGAATACTCGCATCGCTAGGATCTCTCGATCTACTTTGTTGTGATCAGTATTGTTCTTGTTGAGGTTTGGGTTCACCTGGACGTCGTGATCCGAGACATGTTGGACGTGATCCAAGACGTGTTCCACGTCCCACCAGAACGTCTTCTCCAGACGCACATCAACTAAATGGTCGCTCAATAGACAAAAACGATCCCACTTCTCCGCAGTGAGGACTGATCGGATGCCATTCACTGCTGCGGGGAATAGGAACGGTGGAAGTGGAGGTTGTACAGGTAGACGTAGACGTTGTTCTTGTAGAAGTAGAGGCAGAGGTAAAGTAGAATTTGCTGTAGAACACGTGTTGGCACCAGCAGCAGCAGTCATGGTATCTCCAACATAAGGTGGTGACGCAGAAGAAGAAGTACTAGATGTTGACGCGCTTGTAGTTGACAGAACCTTCTCAAACGCATCCCATTTTCTCGACCCGCGTGCGGAAACGGTATTTGACTTGCCACTGGTACCATGTGATACACCCGCAAAAGGGGACTTCTGCTGCGGTGCTGTATTTTCAATGCCAACGAGGAGAGATGAAAGGATGTTAGCACCACTTGTAGTTGTTGTGGACGAATTGTGCGGATTCGTATGCCCATCCGCAGCGCCATTAACTTGTAACTCTGAAAGCCATGCACAAGATGTTGGCTTTGCAAGTGTTGTACTTCCAGTACTTGTTGTATCTCCTCGACGTCGAGCAGCAGAAACTGGTGTACTAGACAGATCCAGACCGCCACAAGGTGCGAATCTCAGGATATCATCGTGATGAGCGTGCCAATACACGTGTTTACTGTTCGGATTGTTCTTGTCTATTCTGCTATGCACAGTGTTGATGTTGTCCTTGCAGCTTCTACTTGTATTTAGGTCGTTAGCAGGCAGAATCAGTGGCAATCCCAGCTTGAAGAGGAGTGAGGATACGTCAGTCATAGCATAGAAGGAACTGGCGGTAGAGGACGATGACGACGACGAGGATGAATGCCCGCCCTCTTGCTGATCCTCTTTACCTGTTCTTGTTCTGCCGTTGTTGTAAGTCTCCGGGATCACAATCTCATAGTCTACGCAGTAGGAGAGTGTGCGTTTGGTTAGCGACATTAGCCTTCTCCTTCTAGATGAAGTGGTACTTCGGTGTTTGCTGTCAACAAGCGTGGTGGACGAACTCCCAGGCTTAGGGTTTAGCATCTGTGTAGGGTCTTCGGAAACTGCATCTGTATACAACGTGGAAATCGACCCCGACCCTTCTACTTCATCTGGATTATCTACTTCATGATGCTCATTGACAAGATGGTCATTATTACGCTTAAGTTGTGTTGGTCGAGGGCGTGGGGAGGGCTTCAACATCATCTTCGTGGGATCGCTAGAACTACACGAGGACCTCCATTCTTCTACCACCAAGATCGAATCCCTCGCTTCGAAAAGCAAACTATCCACAGAGGTGGTGGAAGTCGAGACAACTCGTTTCAGAACTGCTTCACCACGTTCTTGACGTTGATGTCGTGCTGGGTTTCTCTCGTCTTCGCCTTGTTCGCATTGTTCTTTACGTCCAACATGATCAGGACTCTCGTCTTGTTCATGTGCCTCTTCATCCTGCCAAGTAGCCTTTAGTTCCGCGTCAGTGATCCCAAACACCTCTTGCAAGCAGCGTTTCGATGCTTGCACTAGGGTCTCACCGATTCCGATTCTCACAGCAGTACTAGGAAGTTCTGGTGGACAAGCGTTTCCTTCTTCTACTTCATTGTCAAACATACCATTTGTGGAAACACAGGAAAGTATCCTCCCACGATGTCGAATTCGTAAACATGCTTTGACGTGGAGCAGAACCAGCTGCCCTTTTCCCAATCTGCACAAGGCCAGCTTTCCCAACTGCAAATCTTGGAGTAAATCGTGGAGCTTGACTGCTGGTCGATTGAAGGACATGTAGTTGTTCATCCTGTTCTGGTCGAGGGTCGGAGAGCAGGTCGCGGTAGCAGGCAAAACAAGTTTTCGTAACATGTCCAAATTCATCTCCAATGGCGAAAAAAGTTTGCTCTTCGACTGCTTAGAACGCCACACAGCATCACGACTGTCCTGAGCAGGTCCTTCTCGCGCATCAACATCTTTCTCTCTTGAAGGAAACGTTGACGAAGAAGTGTTGGTATCTTCCTCTACATGATGCCTACCATGACCATCGTCGGTCCTCGTCTCTATCCGACCCTCAGCAGATCGCATCCTTATGAGTTTTGGTAAACAGCTGGATCTCTTTCGAAATTCGTTCAATGCTTCAGTCTCAAACTTTCTCTGAGCTACCTCTGTCACGAGGACGGCCTTTACTTCCAGCTTCATCTTGTTCTTCTTCAGCTTATTTTGTTTCTTGCTGGGCTTCGACGCGGAGCCACTGCGATTTCTTGAACAGGGTGAGCAAGAAGATTTTTTCTTCATCGATGATTCTCGTAATCGTAACGCCTTCTCCTCATCTTTTATCTTCTGTGTCTCTTTTTCTTGCTCCCCACGAAGAAAAACTGAAAGAAGATCCACTTCGCCTCCCGTTCTTCTCCCAAGCTCTGCCACAGGAAAGATTTCAAAGATGAAAGATGGAAGTATCAGGGCCTTCTCGCACGGATCTGACAATTGCTCGTGGTAAAGTTTCCGCACTCGTAATTCTTCACTATTTGGAGGTGTTTCCTGCTCTCCCCTTTCGACGCTAGGGTTACTCGAAAGAGGCGCTGTCCGTTTGAATTTTATCGCCTTTTTTGTACTCATGTCTGCTTCTTTATCTTCATCTCGATCTCGATCTGCGTCTCTGAGAAAAGAAACATCTACTTCTTTGGGGTCTACAAGTACAACTTCCTCGACTGCAGAAGTTGTTGCCTTTGTGCTACTTTTCCCTGTAGAAGTGGTTAATTTTGTCGTTGGTAAGTGAAAGTCGTCGAGCCGAATGTACATGTGACCAAAGACGATGTCACTATGCTTCCCGCAGAATTCCAAGTAGGCTCCTGCCGACTGCTTGCTGTGACTATTTCTCGTACTATAATCAGAATGGTGGGTCTCGGTCTGCTGATGATCATGATGATGCCCCATCTTGTATTCGAGTGCCCTCCCTCTAGTTCCAATAATGCGTTGATTCGCGGCAAAACGGTGCAGTAAGACGTACTGCGCTTCATGCAGAGCTTTTTGGCGTTTTGACGTCACACATTGACCTTGTTCCAACACTGACGACATTCCTCCATGGTGATATACTCCACCGAACCAACCACTAGCAATCACGTCCTTCAGTTCGGCGCCTCGTTTGTTGATTACTGACATCAGAGCTTCGATTTCGATGTCAGAAATGGCCGTCGAAAGCCAATCTTGACGCTTCTCTTTCACGGCTTCTAGTTGAGGGAGGTGGTCGTTATGCTCATCCCGTTTTGTTTCAGCATTATCCTCCGGCTGTGAGTGTTTAGGCTGGTCCTTGACAGCTTCGCCAACCTCCCGCAACATTTTTGCTCGATCAGTCAAGCTGATCGTACGATGAAGAATTTTTCGGAGGGAGTCGTTATTGAGCAGGCTGCTATAATCCTGGTTTAATGCCATCATCTTAGTGCTCTCGTCTACTCTGCCCGCGACATCTTTTGCCGCACCAGGAGTCGCCAATAATTCCTCTTCAGACATCAAAAGTGACGACAGCGCAAGGTTATCCTGCTCGGAAGTCATCATGAAGAATGCCTGTATGAAAACTTCGACTTTGCAAGCGAGACTCTGCAAATGCTGCTGCAGAACGGGGTTTGATGTTGTTTCACTTCCAGATGTAGGAGTCACCTGAGAAGCAGCAGTAGAGGAAAAACCACCTGCAAGTTCGTCTCGGTGTTTAAAACATGGCACTTCTGCTCCTAAACCACACCAGGGAAAGTTTAAGCCGAAATGATGGCCCATTAAACCAGAAGCAAGACTCGATGCAGCGCCGCTTCTTCCTTCAACGACCTCGAATCTAGGGTCTACTACACCAGGTAAGGATTTTGTGCCATCCTCATCCTCTTCAACGAATCTAGGTTCTACTACACCAGGTGATGATTTTGTGCCATAGCCATTCTGCTTCTCTTGATGACACCTCACAAGATCAACGCAATGCGTTGCCGCAAGGCGCCTCTTCAAAGGCGTTTCTTTGACTAAAGTACTCGCGGGACAGGAGGTGCGGGCGTGTTCGGAGTGAGTGTTATGGTCGTTTGCAGGAGGGTTTTGGTGGTGTTTCACAGCATGGTCGTGAACGTGATGGTGATTGTCATGGTGCTTGACATTGTGATGATGATGGTCATGGTCGTCATGTCCAACAGAATCATCGTCCTCGCCAGCTTCTGCTGCTGCTCCTTTTGGTACATCTACTACACCTTCATGATCTACATACCGTTCTCCCGTGAACAAGTAATACAGCACATCTCTAGCATGCAGGCCGTCTTCTATCCTCAAGAGAAGGCGACTCCCATGACACCAACTTGAGGCCATAGGATAGGGCCAAGAATGCACTAATGGTCCTCGTGTGGATGTATCTTCTTCAAGGGCAGACTGTTCCTCGTCATCATCAGCGACATTTACAACCCAAACCCCACAGAAAGCGCAGAGTAGTTGCAGCCTTTTCCAGAACAGTATACGGCTCAAATATTCAGCACTTTCGTTTAAGTCTAGGCTTAAGTGCTTGTACGTGTGAGGGGGTATGATCAATGACCACGACGAGCCCAGGTCAAGATTTATTTGTGGAGGTAGGGGTAACAGTGACGAGGGGACTCCAAGTCGTGGCTGAGGGTAATGAACCACTGAAGCTCCTTGTAGAAACGGACTGCGGCGCCAGCTATTTTGATCGTCTCTGGAAAAGGCTGATCTGAAGGGACCCTGAACAGTTTTGATGTGGTCGTGAGGACGTCTGTCTCTGTTCGTGTCCGCGCTATGATGATCGTGTTGCTGCAGTACAGAAGTAGGTCTCCTGCTCATCGATAGGTGCTTGATGTTTCGTTTCTGCCCATCAACTGCACCTCGCTGTGAGGGCGGAACGACGCTGTCTATCAAATTCTGAACTGCATCTCTTGCCTGTTCCTGAACCTCTACTGGTAGCTCCAAAGAAGCGTCTCTACCTTTGATGTTAGCCAAACTTTCTTCTCCTCGACGGGTTTCCTCACCATCATTTGTTTTCCCTTTATTTCCGCCAATTGTCGACACTTTCCGTAGAGCTTTCTTCGCACCCATTGCTACTGCGCCTCCAAGTATAGCCGAGCTTCGACGCACCACCTTTGCCGCACTAACAGTGACGCGAGACAAAATTTTTGTCGTTCTCTGGAGTCCTTTGCCTTCTGATGATGTGGAAGATGTAACGGACTCGATCTCCAACAAGTCTAATTCTTCTTCAGGATCAACATGTTCTTCCGGATCAACATGCTCTAAATGATCTGTTTCGTGGACGTTATTGTGCTGCTCATCATGGTCATGTAGTTGAGGATCAGCTCGAGCAGCCTGCTCGTCTGCCGCAGTCCGAGGACGAAGGTTTTTATTCCCCACCTCCAGAGGAGCCTCGTTCTTATGGTCACTAACGGGCACAACTGGCGCAGCATGTATCCTGTGGTTCGCATACACCAAGAGGCGATACCATTGCCTTGTCAGATTTTGCGGAAATATCGTATTCGCAATCGCAATACAGTCACCTTGGAGCTCGCGTTCAAAAAGACGAACAAGTAGTTGCTCAGGGTTTTTTATCCGAGATTTCTTGTCCGTGCTTGGTGTTGGTACTCCAAAAACCCAAGTACTTCTCGTTGGGCAACATACTTCTCTCGCGATGAAGCGGGGCCAAGAGGATAAAGTGTTAGAGTGTATTGCAGCGTCTTGTAGTTGCTCGTTTTCATGATCTTCAACATCACATAGGCGTTCATCTTCCTTGTCGAGGAGAGCATCAGCATGAACGTTCGTTTTGTTCATCGAGGGCATGGTGGAGGTCATTTTCTCTTTCAATCATTCGAGTGACATCATCATCATCGAGTTTTGAGATCTTCTCAGGGGAGGAAGAGGAGCTTGAGGAGGACACCTGAAAAGGTAAAACATTTGCACGAACTTGTTCATGAGGTTGAGCATCAATAGCTGACCCTGACCCTAATTCAAGGATAAGGAGAATGAAAAACTTCCTTCTTTTATAACGTTTTTGGCATGCTGACGTGTCTTTTTCTCAGATCTCTCAAGACAGAAGATACATGCGCGCTTTTTGGGGCGCAACAGAACTACCGAAGGATAGATAAGCGCCGTGCGAGAGCACTTCTGATTTTAAGTATCATAATCACACCTCAAGATCAGCAAGGTACACCAGTCACGTGGCAGTGGCGGCAGATGACAGATACGATGTGTCAACAGAGACGTGCATGAAACCTCACATAACTCGCTGAAGAGACTATAACAGGGACAGACGCATCAGCGTTTTTACTCAAGAAACCGACTGCATCAGCGTTTTCACTGTCAAGAAACTACCGACTGATGTCTTCTACTCTTCACTCGATGAGAGAGTGGAAGAAAGTATTTAGAAAAATGACGAGCAAACTAACTTGATCTGACATCAGCTCTATTAGATAGACCTTGCAGAAGTTTATTGGGACAATGGTCCTTCTTCTTACCTCTGCTCTGTGTGGTCTGTGCAACATGCACGCATGTTTCTGAGCTGAAGTACAATTCAAGCTCTGCCTCAGGAGTCTCTGTGTTGTAGCTGTTTCAAGCCACAAAATCGATTATATATAGTATGAGATAGAGGTAAATTCCACGGAGCAAGAACTCCTGTTTTGCAGATGATGAACAAGCAGTGTGTGAGTAAGAGTAAGTACAACCAAACGATAAGTTTAAGTTCGTGATGGAATGTTACAAAAGTATTCATCGTAGACTGAGACTCTTTCTTGTTGCTTAACATTCCCTAAATCTATCATGACATTGTACTCCGTGACCGTGTCTTCTTGTTCTCAATACTTCTTCACATCTCTTCGTCTACAAAAGACCCATGTATCGGAATCCGATCATCATGGCGAAAGAGACGATGATAACCGGCATCAGTTTGCCTAGTAAACCGAAATTCGGCAGCTTGAATGAGAACCCGCCTATAACGTCGCCCCATCCGCGACCCTCGAGGGGGGTTATGTTAGAGCAGGTGCAGGTGAGTGAGAGTTGTAGATGAACGTCTGCGATAGCGGAGGAAGTTCTACTAAATCAAAATCTTCCTCGAGTAAGAATCCAATGGTCTTACACGACTATCGACGCCCGGTTACTTCATCACGTCTAGTACTCCTGTAGTTGTTAATATAATTATCCTTTTCCTTTGTGAATGAGTTTTACGTTTATTGAGTAGATCTTCGCAAACTATCAATCAATGTCAAGGCCATAATAATCAATTGTGGATTCACGTTTGGTTCGTTTCGCGCTAAACCCACTGGCATCCCGTCTGCTTCCGACTGGGTCATCACCCACAGAGAAATGTGTACGCTCCCACAACTCTCTTCAGGTGCGTTGCCGTCTATTGTTAGAAGTAAAATCTTCACGACCATCATGATGATGGCACGCAATCACAATTATGCTGCTAAAGAATTTTTGTTGTACATCTACATCTACATACAAGATATAGATTGATACTACAACTAAACAAGTGGAAGATAACTCAGCGAAATCTTCATTTGATTATGCTCAAGAAATCTTAACTTCGGTGCTTCGCCATCTGCTGGAGCCGCCGAAGCCTTGAATTCCAGTTCGCTTTCGATTTGAATAGCGTCCATATCGCGTGCTACCTTCTCGAGGTATTTCTTCAGATCGAGTGGAGTTAGAAGGCGTCTGTTGGCGGACGCGGATGGATTTGTCTTTTCTAAATGATGATGCGTCCTGGATCGTGTCGGCGGACGCGGATGGATTTGTCTTTTCTAGATGATGATGATGATGACGATGATGATGAATGGACTAGACGGTGTTTAACAAGAGGACCAGCATACTATTCTAGATGATGATCATGAATTTTAGTTTCACTATTTGCAATTATTCCTGCATTAGAAGTAGAACAAGTGCTAAAACAAGTTGTTCTAGCAGCCATAAATTGACATCGGCTATAAACACGTTTCCACTCATCATGTTGTAGTCCAAAACTGAAATCTGCAATGTGCAACTTTTCGTCGGCATTTTTAGGTGATTGTAGACAATCCGCCAGTTGAAAACCGCATCTCCTGTCTTGGATCCGTAGTGCACATCGGTGTCTTGGATACTCGGATATTCTCCAAAATACTCCGCACAATCCAGATTCACTGAAAGAGTCACATCAGTATGGTCATCGTCCACGATTTTGATGGCTTTCGTGTCCCAAATCACAATACGGATTTCGATCTCCTGAGCGGGAGGCGCAGTTAAGGTGGCGGCGAGGGTTAGAGAAGTTGTGGGAGAGTAGAAGTACCTGACTCTTATTGTCCTGGACGAAACAACCCGTCATTTCTCGATGACTAGCAATAAGGCAACGCCAAGCATGACGACCAAGCATGAAGCCAAGATCAACTCCACCTACTTAGATCCGTATCCGTGTCCAATTACCGAAAGAACCATAACTTCTGTTCACTCGACTTCACCGAATCCAGCATTTCCACCCAACAATTTATGCTTCCCCTGCTCATTCCTGGTGCGTCCAGGGTCCAGAGGCCACGATTCTCACTAGGAACAATCTGCTGTTCTTGCAAGTCCCGCCATCTGTCTGAGTGCCATCTGTCCTCTAGGTCGACAGTGGTAGCTCCTATGGTCATATCGCCGTCATAGTCCTTGAGAGCCACTTCGAGTTGACTATCCTCAGGCATTCGGATATCGCGTTCTTCGAGGCATTGATTAGAGGGAGGTAGCTTTGAAGAAAAAAAGGAATGCGTGATCGATCTACATAGACATGTTGCGTATCAGGAACTACAACTAGTAGAGCAAGAAGGTTCTTCACTTTTTTGAATTGTAAAGTTTCTTTCATGATCTGTCCAAGTTCATAAGATAAAACGTCGGTGTGTTCGTGTTTTCGCAGACCATGTTCCGCATGGAGACAAACAACGAATTCCCAAGCGTGAATTCCAGGTACGGAGAAGCGAATCCACGGCCCTTGCCATAGATGCAAATGCCTTTCACGAAGTAGAGACGCACCCTGACTCGATTTGGTACTCGCGCAGACGACTTGTATCGGTCCCTCAGGGCTTGTTCGTCCCACGCATACTGTTCTAAATCGTGCGCCCCGCGAATCCAAGCGACGTCAGAAGCTGCAGCTTTAGCAACTACAGCTTTGTTTTTATCGGCTGGACTTCCCGCTGCAGAGTTCTGTCCTTCTTCGTCCTCTTCGCCACGATCTTGAATATCGTCGCCACCTTCATTAGGATTCCCACCTCCAATAGCTACTTTGCTAGATCCACCTTCGTTCCCAGAGGAATCAGCCGAGGAAGATGCACTGGAGCTCTCAGCTGAGGACGATCGCGATGAACTATCACCGCCTAGAGCAGTGCTGTCACTTTGGTAGGCTGATGCGACTTTCGAGCCTGGTGGCATCCTCGGGTCGTGTCCTAAGATTTCCTCCATGTGGCCAGCAGTCAGTTTCATCGCTACTTTGACAAAGCCGTAAACTCCCGGATCATAGGACGCTTCGGAGTCTGCCTCACTAACAACGTCCCGGTTGCGCGTCAACGGCAGGTTGCGGTAGTAAAAGTCACTAATAAACGGATTCACGAGATTATCTTCTAGCCTGCCTTGCAAGTCACCCCTTGTTGCGCCACCATCTCCGCCAGCTCGTGGGATCTCGCCTACGGCGCGCAGAAAGATGTCATCTTTGTCGCGCATACTGCTTCGAGCTTCTTCTTCATCGCCTGGGCTCATCCCACCACCTCCTCCGCCACCTGCACCTTCTGCCACTAGATTTTCGAGAGAAGGACGACCATGAGCGTGTCCTAACTTTATTAGAGCTCGCGCGAATCCATCTCAGGGTCCATCCTGAACTTGAGAAGGCCGCTCAGGATGCTTCCGAAGAAGGTGGATCAGGTTATGAAGCCGTAACTTCATGTTCAAAGCTGCCATCTTGACCGGAATCATAGGTAGTGGAGAGCTTTTCCGAAGCAAAACATGCACCCCACTCGAATCAACCTCCTGTTGGACTTTTGCTGGAGGTGCGATGACGTCTTGTTTCGGCTTCCGGTTTTGCAATTCGCTTTTCCTCACTTCACCCATGTGGGCTTCGCGTTCTTCTTGTGTAGGTTCTAAAAACTCCGCAGCGGCCACTTGGTAGTTCTTACTAGGAGAAGATGGAGATTTTCCCCCTCCGCCATCTGCACCTCCTGTAATTGCCCCTTGTTGGCCGGCTCCTACTACCCAAGGTAGCAACGGTCCAAGTGCGACTCTACATTCGGCTATGTCGGTGACACTGCCGTAGCCCCCATTGCTTTCGCCGACCTTGATGGTTACCCACGGATAGAAGACCGGGTCTTCAGGCAGCAACACATTCACGCATCGATACTGGAAGATCTCGTGATTCATCTTTCCTGCTTTCGATTCCCACCTCTTATTAGAACTAAGAGAAATCCATCTTGAGACGCATCCGAGGACCTTTTTCCCCTTGAAAACGGTCTCAGGATGCCTGTGAAGATGGATTTCTTCTAGCCTTAATCTTATTCCGATCCGCTGGATTTGTTGGGTCGGCGTCGGGTTTCTCGGTCTCATAACGCGCAAAACAGCTCCAAAACTCGTGTATGGATCGACCGGTGGCTTTCGAAGTCTTCACATTCTCTTTGAGTTTGCGCACTTTGAACTCTAAAACCGGGAACTGAACGGCCGATCCGCCGAAGAGGCCAGGAAGAGGTTTGAGGTCCCTTAAACCCACAACAGAGATGTGCAGAGTCGCTTTGCGTAGTCGGCAGAAGTCGACGCGGGGTTGGTGGCATTAGAGCTTAGCTGGTTTGTTGACTTTGCACGGAGGACAAGAATCGTGATAGTTCTTGGCCATACAGGTAATTAAATAATCTTACTTCGTTCATCTTCTTCTAGCCGTAATAGTACAACTCTTCTTTCGGCCACATTCGACTTGGTGGCAATTCAGGAACGTCCTTCTTCCTCAGCAACTCGAACGCAACACAAATCTCCCCTGTTGGCTTCGAATTGAACTGTCCTCCGTACAGCTTCACCCACTGTGGTACCAGTTGGTACGGTTCCCACTCGTCCAGAATGTCTTTTTGCCGCATGTAAGTGTACTTGCAAATCGCTTTGCCGATGACTGGTTGAGAGAAGAAACCTTCGTAATTGCAGAGGGACACTGTGATGGGTTCCATCGTAGGCGGTTTTTTCGGGTGGTCGGACATTAGGGTAATGCACAGCTCCATACACCTCATCCACGTTGGCCTCAAATCGCCCACAATCTGCCTGGTCTCCGTGCTAGCCCCAGCACAGGTGGCACGAACGAACAGGGCGGGCTCGGCCTGAGGGGTGGAGCAGAAGGTAATGCGCACGAGAAACGGTGAGTGTCAAGAGTAGTTGAATACTAGAAAAGAAAAAGATGTTGAGCAGGACACGTTGAGTAGAGTAGATGGAGTTCAAAAATCAGTAGAAGTTTAAGAGAGTCTTACTGTCCGCTCTCCCAGATCGATATGCCTTGCGCCGAACATGTACACCCTCAGCACGTATTGCATGTTCTTGACCATTTTTCTCATGTGTCTCGCATTCGTCGCTGACTCTTGACTTGTCTTCTCCAGTGTCATCAGCAAACTCACAGGCAAAGTCTGCACTCCGTTCCACGGCATAGGCTTCAAAGGCGTGAAAAATGGAATCCTAGGATTTCCGGGTTCGTAGTTTTGCAAACTTCAGTGTTAGAGCGCACAAGGATTAAGTCTGAATGAAGTAGATAAAGTGTGATATTAGAGGCGTTTCTAATTGAACTTGACCTCATGCAGTAGGAACGGCGAGAACGAGGAGTAATCATAATCTAATTAGCCCCCCTACGCCGGTATCCGCGCGGAAAATATGTAGGCAGGTTCTTCACGGAACTCGCTCACGATACAAAAAAAAAAAAGTGAGTTGAAGATGAATTAAATTGAAGAGAGCCTTAAGACAGCGGAATCTTAGCATATCCCAACCTGGTGCGTCCGCTCATGACTCCTCGTGTCCATACGTTGATTAGGCAGTCTGGCTGCGAAATGGGATCCTCTGGCATCAAAACTTGGATGATTTGCGGTCTACCTTGTTTCTGAGAATACAGAAAAGTCGTCGGAACATTGAAATCCTGTTCTCCACCGTCGTCTTCTGAGGAGGCTGCCGATTTGAAGAATGAAAGGTGAAGGTGGGCGCGGGCGTGGAGGATGTTGTTCAAAAATCCAGAACTACTACGTCTAGTAGTTGTAGCTTTCTAAGTACCTACTTAGCCATCAAAGTCGAGGATCCTACCTAGTACTAGTAGCCCCATGCTCCGAGCCATAAACTCGATGCTGACGCTGACGCACCTGGATGGTCCGAATCAAAATTCGGATAGACCCAGTCTGTCTCTGCCGATTGTGTCCCTAGGGTTATCTCTACCTGGCATTCGCGTCCAACAGCGCCAGCTACCATGTATATGTCAGCTAGGAGACATATGGACGTCGTGGCTGGTTCCTCAAAGCCTTTAGCCATGGTGACGCAGGCAGACTGCAACTCCTCAAGGGAGTCCAGTTTTTCGACACGCGCAGAGATCAGCAGCTTGCCTTTATACCAATTGGCTTCGACCTCTTCTCCCTGTTCGGCGATGGCTTTCACGTCGGCTGGAGAGTGAGAGTAGAACGCAGGTCAACAAGAGGACCAGGACCAAACTCATGACGAGATTGACTCATCAAGATCTGGTGTTGTAATTGTCGTGTAAGAAGAAAAGCGGATTATATGTAGTCCTCGAGGAGCGGGAGCCAGAAGCAGAACAAGGCACTTCTGAAAAAAACATCATGTACCATCTTGAATCTCATCTGGATTGTATCCGTAGAAGTTGAACCATCTCGGTTGCAGTGCTCTATTCCGCAGTTCTGAAAACGACAACATCCCTTGTGCGAACAACTCATCTGCTCCAAATGTGACAGAATTCCACAACTTTATCAGCAGAATATCTTCAAACAGTGGCGTCACCGCAGGCAACAGCAGTCTTTCGTTGTACGTATGCTGGGTGACATTCTTCGCAACCGTAGTTTCTACCAGACTACCTGCGAATTCAGCGGTCACGAAGGGACAGCTTCCTGGCGCTAAGTCTTCGACGCGGTGAATGGTGACGAAGACATGGTGTGGCTTGCCTCCACTCTGATCGATGCTACCACCAAGAACGGCTTTGGATAAGTCCTCATAGTCATCACCGCCAGCATTGTTCTCATCGCCGGCATCCTCAATGCCCTCTTGTTGGTCCACACTGGGCGCGATGTCACCAGGAGCGAGACAGAAAACAGTGGCGGAGGAATTAGACAAGGAGCTTTTTTTTGAAAATTTTTGGGAAAGACTTTGTTAAAAAGGAGACGCTAACAACTTGTTGTTCTGCTTCTGAACTGCTACTGCTACCAGCACAGGTGCGCCGGCTATGTTGGTGCTATAAAAATTCATCTCTTTTCCTTTTGCTTTTTACAACGAGAAGGAGAACGACTGACAAGCCCTCAACATAAAAATAGCTCCCGTCGCCGCCGGTTCGTTGTCCCTCGTTATCGTGAGCCATTTTTTTGCGTACAAGTGGAATCGCCGATTCCGTACGTTGTCCAACTGCAAGCTCGCGCGCCCAATCAGGTCGTTCCGCGTAAACCAGTTTCGCGCGTAGAGGGAAAAGGTGATGGACGCAGCACGAAATTGCTGAGGATAAAGCTGAATCTTGGTCCAGATGAAGTTGTCATTGTACGTTATTAGAGGTAGCTTTTTGGTGTTCGTGGGTTCTCGCGCTTGTTATGGCTGTTGTCCCCCTTAGGAGATGGAGAGCCATAACAAACGGAGGTAACAAAAGCACCTTTAAGCTACGACCCTTAACGTTACGATAGATTGCTTGCCGATTTTCGTTTCCGTTTGGTACTCTTCCCCACAACATTCGACCAGAATAAAAGGATCACAAGGTTGCCCATCGGGAGTCACGAGCCCGCGAGCATCAAAGATCGTGAAACCAACAACGTAAGTCTCCATCTTCTTGTCGAGGCAGGAAAAGGCGTTCTTCTAGCAGAAGAAGATGATGGCGTCGAAAATGGGACAGGCGGGTCCTAGCATATTACAGTCAGCTATACAGAGCGGGTCGTTCCATGTACAACCCCAAAGCACGTGCTTCAGAGATGAGGGTAACACAAAGGATCCTCAGATTCATCTCTTTCTCAGTGAAGAGAATGCGATGATAAGAACGGCAAGAAGCAGAGGACGGCATCGTGGTCATCATGTGGATTTGGCAGTAGGACATGTGGATTTGGTTATCGAGGACATGAAAAAGAAAATGTTGATAAAAAGAACTACTTCTGGAGTTAGAAGAGAAAGACTTAAAGCAGAGCGATCGAGTAGACGTGGGATCCTCTCATGGACAGTTCTCTGATGGCATAAATCTTGACCTATTTCATCAGAATTTACTGCGTCACAGATAACCTTCGTCAGGGTTCGTCTTCTCCGGTCATCAGCATAGCGAAGCAAGAGCAACGTCCCTCATACGAGCACCTGCATTCTTAATAAGCGTGTCATCGGTCATGCCGATATCTTCATGGAGGTGCAACCAAAATAGAAACATGCGCGAATTTTCAATTAACGAAGAAGGTCTTGAAACAGAAGTGTTCTTGTTCACCAGATGAACGAGCACAACAAGCTCATCTACCGCATGGTCTTGAAACAGAAGTGTTCTTGTTCACCAGATGAACGAGCACAACAAGCTCATGATCTACCCCAAGAACCTTTCCTCCACAAACTAAGAAGTAACCTCCACAGCACAGCTCCTATGATCTCCTTCCCCGTGCAGCAGCCCTTGCTTTCCGTTCTTGTTGCTCCTCCATCTCAAAGGCTTGGCCTTCATCTGTGATCAAAAACGCCGTCTCCTGCAAAAGTTTCAACGCATTCGTCATCTGCTTCTTCAACTTCTGCGAAGGCTCTGTTGGCGGAGGCTTGTTTTTCTTGTTTGGAGGAGCATTTGTATTTTTGGCGGACAAGGAGGTTGGTGAATTTGATGATGAGAAGTTCTTGGTCGGACGTTGTTGGCGACTGATGTTCATGTTCCGGTTAGGACCGCTCGAAGATCCTTGGTCGTGTACCTTCTGCTCTTGTTCTTCCTCAATATCGTATATCACCATCTCATCGTCCTCATCGTGAAAAGCGCTAGTCCTTGTTGCTGTGCCCCCTAAAAAATGTGCCGGTGGACTCCGTCCTCTACTCCGTAATGTGCCTGTCCTCACTGGATGTTGGCTAGAACTAGAGTAGGATTGCTGGTGACCAGATGAAGATGTTGTGCCAGAAGTAGTTCTTGTAGGTTGTCGCAGCCGACTGCCTTTGTTGACATTGACATCTACAGGGGCTGCAGCACGACCGCCACGCGAAGATGAAGTACACGAAGACGTTGGTAGATCATGTTGACGACCAAGACGTTTCTGCTCCTCACCGAAATCATCAACATTGCCAACATGATTGTCTTCATCTTCCTCCACTACGAGAAGGTCATTCCTTCCGGCGCCTCTAGTTGCAGACAAAGACATCAAAGGAGCTCCGCTTTTGCTGTCTCCTCCGACTCTCCTATCATTGGGAAACAGTTCAAATATGCTTTGACTCAGTGGCCCTACCTGTTTCGCTTCTTTCTCTTTGTTCTCTTTCTTCTTCTGTTCGCGCACTAGAGCATCTAAGAAGTCAGCTGCTTCCATCGATTCGCCGTAGAGCATGCGCAAAACTTCTTGACTCTCGAGCATGCTATTCTGGTTAGACTCGAGGTGCTTCCCCAAACTTTGGCGTAATATCTCCCTTTTCTTCTCTGGCGACAGACTCCGACTGCGCAGAAGCTCTCGCTTCAACGGTGAGGCAAGATTTTCAAGGGAAGCTCGGATTCTTTCGTCGCGACTGCTCTTCTTTGCCATTGCTACAGTTGCTCTCGGCGACGATGAGGAACAAGAAGGTGATGCTTTTCGTTGTCCTCCTTCACCATCCCTACTACCCCCAAGCACGTCTAGTCCTCGCACCGTTGCGGTCCACAACTCTTCTCTGTCCGCCAGTCTAGCGCTTGGTTCTACTTCATGATCCAGTTCGACGGCCATATTTTGTTCACGATCATCACGTCTTTCGGGTTCAGCTGGTCGGATGATGCCCGTAGCCTTGTGCAACTGACGTCCCGTGGCGGGGTCGCGTAAGTACTGGTCGTCCGGTGAGTTGACCCAATTTCCATAGTACTTCTTGCGCAATCGGTTCAGTTCCTTCTGCTGCCGTTCTTGGTGGAAGGGGTTTTCGCCTGGTCGTTGTCAGAGGAGGACAAGGAAAAGAATAGATGATCAACATTTTTGTGGAAGATGACGAATAATATTCACTGATGCAACAAAGGCTACTTCGCCCAGGAAGAACCCCTAGGAGTATGGGATAAAAGGGAACAACCATTAGTTTTTTATTCTTGTTGAAAAAATGAAAAATAGATGAAAAATTTGCTTTCTACATAAGAACCATCAATATTTTTTTCCACAATGCAATTGCAAGATAGATGTCCATCTCCACTCTTATGATGTAAGTTCTCTAAGCAATTCCGTGTAAGTAGCAGTAAAGTTGTATCTATACGTCTATGCTGTTCCATTTCTAGCCATCTCCGTTTCACAGGACTGCAACTTTCCTTCTCGCTTTCTTGTCCTTGAGCCATTTCTACATCCCCTCTTGATGTCGTTGAATGATCCCGCTTCTCGTCGTGGTTCATTAGCTTTGTTTCGTCCAGCTCACCCTCAGAAAAATCTTCAAGAATTTCACGGGATTCCCTGTTCAGATTTGATGAGGTTCCGGCTCTAGGACTACCAGTTCTACTTCTGGAGCCTCTTGCACTCCTCCTACTAGCCCAACGACTCACTCCACTGCGCTGCTTCATACTTGACCTCGTATTTGCTCTTGGAGACGATGTCGAAGATGATGTGGCTTTTTTTAGAGGTAGGTTTTTGGTGCTCGCTCACCCCGCTTGTTATGCCTTTCTCCCTTAGGAGAGGCATAAAAAGCGGTAAGAAAAGCACCTTTAACCTACCCTTAATTTATTATTTGTCTGCGAGGATGGGTGTGGGTCGCCGGATGAAGCCCGATCTGCAGCTTTGATGTTGTTCTTGTTCTTTGACTCTTCTTGACCTCCGGCATGAGATCCACTAGAAGCACGAGTACGTGAAGCAGGAGACGCTTGTTCTTTTGCTCCTGCTCTAGAAGTCCTCGTAGTAGCAGAACTACTGCTTCTCGAAGAACCTCTCGTCGTCGTCCTTCTCCTTCCTGCGTTTCCAGACATTTGTAGTTCGTTTTGTTCCGCAGACTGAACGACCTCCAAAGCGTCCATTAAATCGTACATCTCTTCTTCGCATTTTCTGACATCCTGAGCAATCCGCTCAGCTTGACGCTTCAAATTGCGACATTCTTTGCTCTTCGGCGCATCCTCGAGGTTCAATCCAGGAATCGGGAAAAAAGTTCGGTATTGTTGAGGAGCTGGGGGAAGGCCTGGAAGAGGTGGGCGTGGAGGGACGAGTGGGAGTTGGACCACGTGGGATCCTAACATGATCTATCAAAAATTCATCAATCATCTATGTACGACAGGTGGTGCCGGTGCCTGCCAATGAAGGACTATCATTCTCGTCACTCCTGTCTTAGACGAAATGAGTACTACTTAGATGCACGAACAATAAATCCTCAACATTTACTACCACCCCCATTCCAACCAGCATCTGCAGCCATCGCCTTCTCTGCTAATTCTAGTCTTCTTTCAATAAATTGCTGCAAAGCCCCTTGAATCGTATCAGCGATTTCTCTTCTTGATGTAGAGGACGATGACCCGAAGGATGTACTAGGCTCTGTAGATTCTTCTTCTTCTTTCCTCTTCATCTTCCTTGTTGAGGAAGATATTCCTGAGTGGTTCTTCGATCCAGCAGTTTGATTGGTCGTAGGTCCTCTGCATGAACTAGTTGTACTAGAGGAGATGTTGCCTCTACCTTTAAGAAGATCAGTCCAGTCCAAATCACGGACTTGCTGATAAGTAGTAGAAGGGTCGTCTCCACCTCGTGCACCATCTTCTTTGTTCTTGTTGTTTTCGTCCTCATGAAAGGTTACAACTGTCCTTCTTCTTTGTCGAGACGAAGATCTACTTCTTCTACTAGATGAAGCAGGGACCACAGGAGGAGATTCTTCTTCACCTCCTCCAACTGTTTTAATACTATCAGCATCAATCCGAGCGTTTCTAGTAGAAGCACGACTCCTAGAAGATGTCGATAATGGAGAAGGTCCAGATGGCGAACAAAATGGTTTTACATCTCGTAAAAATGTACCAGCACGGTTGGCAGGATTCACGGTTGGGAATGGGTCCTTAGGATATGGGTCCTTAGGATCATCGTGATGTTCGTCAAATAATGTAGGGACTCGTCCCGAAGAAAAAAGTACTTCTCCTTCGCTTGCACTGGCCGAGGAAGAAGATGATGAGCCACTTGTTTCTGCACTATTGTAGAACCATGTAGTTGGCAATTGGTATGTTCCGAGGAGTGGGTGTAATGCTAGAGCGTCAGGATTTTTACGTGGGCCGGCAATTAGAGACGCTCGCTTTTGTTCTTTCCTTCATGCGAGGAGGAAGTGGACTTAGATTTAGTACTCAGCGATGAGTCTTGTGCTTGTCTTAAACAACTCTATAATCGTCACACATCACATGGTTCATCAAATGAATTTCATAGGGGGGCGGGCGCTATTTCATTTGGGCATGAGCATCTGTGTTGAAGGACGAAAGAAAGGTTTGGTTAGGTTAGGTTACTATAACATTAGGGAGCCTTCACATCCTAGTATTATTGCATTACACACGACAAGCAGCCATAAGTTCAAAAACAGTCGATAGTCAACCGTCGTCTTCTGTTGTTCTTTCACAGAAGGCTCTCCTCCATCTCTAAAAAGAGAAGCTCCCTTCTTGTTCCGATTCCTACTAGGCGGTCGACGTGGCTTCTCGCGTCCCTGAGAAGACCGGTGGTGTCCCTGTCTATCCATGCGTTTGGACGACGAGCCAGCTTTCACTGGTGAGGCATTCATGTTCTTGATTGAGGAAATTTTTGAAATTGTTTCTGTGGTAACGAATCAAGTGAAGAGGGTCCTTCAACTTCGCAGTCTTAGTGGTTGTACCACATTGCTAAGTCTAAGTCCAGCAGATCGGAGATCATTTCTTTCTTTAGTAGGAAAAGGCCCTCGCTTCGAAGAGATATAAGCTATAAAGCAGCATTTTACTTATTTCAACTCTCATGACCATGAGCCATTTTTGGAGACGCAACTTACTTGTTTATAATCACATATATTTTTCTTCAGGCCTTTCTATCTCTGATGTTGATTAAAAGTCGACTCTTGATGTGTCAGCCCGACCACCTGAACCGGCTTTGATCGAGCTCGCTGCATGGATCAACTTCTCGTTCTGCAATCGAACTAGTCCCACAGTTTCTCATTGACGTTGTAGCGTCAGCCACGCTTATTCGTTTGAAGCCACGCGATTGAGAGTGAGCTTTTGTTGAGCAGAGAACGCAGTGTTTGAAAATGCGATCTACTTGTACAACACCCATCAAAGTTCTTCCCTTGGCATCCATGATGGACTAGGAGTGAAGAGAGGGAGGGTGAGGGAGAGATTCGGAAAAAATAATTCAACAACATTGGCGTCACTCAATGAAATTCATAAGAAAAGCACTCCATCTAAAGCGCCTAGTGCAACTCTGACTGGTCTTTTCACACTGACTGAAGATTTCACACGCAAAAGGTAGTCTATCTGCTGCCATCAAGTGATAGATTGTAGTAAGATTCAACATCAAAAACAACGAAATTCTGGTCTCGTCTCAATGTAGCAGCATAAAGCATCCCATCATTCGAGTACCTACGTCTTTGTTTCAATTTGGCGCTCGAGAAACAAGCATAGCCACAGGCCACAGGAGCCAACAATTCTGCCGCTTAGTATAACTAGTACAACTATCTTCTTTCCTATTGACTGGAGAATCAACTATCTTCTTTCTTATTCTGCTACTTCGTAACTGGAGAATCAACTATCTTCATCTTTCTTATTGTCAGCGTCTGTCCGCAGAGATTGAGAATGAGTTATCATCAAGAAGGATATGCTTTAAATTTGTATTATATCACAAGTTCCATTTTGTGAGTCACAAGTTCCATTTTGTGAGTCACAAGTTCCATTTTGTGAGTCACAAATTGGAATAAAACGGTCGTCAACATAGTTCTTAGTCCGCATTGTTGATGCTAATCTTCAATCATCTCCACTACCTCCACCAGCACTACAGTCGCGCCACTGCTGCTTCATCTATTGCCGCGAAAAATGCCTCCTTCACGTTGTGCTTGTTTCCACCGTAGGCTCTCAACAGCTTGCGCCAGATGTAGCGAAAAACCAACTGCCTGCGAGTGAGTAGAAGCCGACTACCCCTTTGAGCTGCGCTCAGCATTAGATGATGCCCTACAGTGAATCGTCCATCCTCAAGTAGCACATCTTGGTGTCCGTTTCCGACTCTTTTCACTTGAGAAACAGACTACGGGATCAAACAAGACGACGATGATAATGATGATGCTTTGGCAGACCAACAAGATGCATTGATTTATTGTAGCCTTAACAGAATGATACTGTTCGAGATGTCACCTGGGTCTTGGAAGTTCCACTCCAAGGAGAGCAACCCTTCATCAGCTTTTTGTCTCAACAAGAGGAGGTATTGGAGACCGAGAAACCAATTGAGAAATTGATGGAAATTCGGAGCCACAAGTTCTAGATCTCGTTCTCGACCGACAACCACTATGGAAAGCTCTGGCGTAGCTGGCACGACTTCGCTGCCAGATGAAGCTGAAGAAGCCAGAGAAGACCAGCACCACGCGTCGCGAAAAGTGTAGGAGATTCCAAGCGTGCAACTGCGGTCAAGAGACACTTTCTTATATGAAAGGAAGAAGTGTACTCATACTCAAGCAGATAAGCAGTATGGATTGAAATAATCAGCTAGAATTGATGAAGCAGGGAAGTAGCTATGTTTCTGAGGATGAGTACGCTTTTTCCTGTCATATCTTAGTGGTCTTGGTCATCAATCTTGTCCTCTCTGCCCAGGAGAGGCAGAGAGTAGTAGGTGGATTTGAAGTTGAAGAAGACGTAGTTGTAGTTTTCATGCCGCCAAAAGTTGTATCTTTAGATGATGAGGCTGTTGTTCCACCACTAAGCATACTTCTAACACGTGCAAAAGCGCGCCCAGGAGTCGAACTACGACGAGCTAGTCCACTCGAAGCTCTTGTTGACGAGGATGTCGATCTTGTTCTACTATCGTGATGTTGATGTTGCGCCACCTTTCCTCCTTTGCTCCTCTGATGCAGGTCTAGAAGTAGGAAAATCTTTGCTACTCCTTTCGCAGTATTTGATTTTCGATAAAGACCTTTGCCCCACTGAAACTTCACGAAGACGCAAGACTCTCTGCGAATGCTGACTGCTTCTCTTTGCCCAAAATTCATTTTCCCCGACAGCAGCGTGCCGCCACGAGCTATCATATTCGCACGTCGAGCATTGCTGGTGGTCATGATGCTACTATTCTTGGTGGCGCCATCAGCAGCCCTCGAAGAAGATGGATCACTTGTCATCATCTCACTACCATTGCAAGAAGATGACAAGTACTGCGCTGACCTCCCTCCAGTTGCACCAGAATTTTGGATGTGAAAATTTCTCCGCTTCTCCCTCAAAAGCTCGTTCTGGAGGTCGTTGCGTTCGTCTTGGAAGAGTTTTTGTTGCAGCATCATTTCTGCACGATTTAGTTCCAGTTCGCTTGTCAAAGAGTTAAAACGGTCCTCAAACTCCTGGTTCGAAACCCCCGTCCAGCCGGAGTCAGCACGAGAGTAGGACGACATTTGAGAGGCGGTTTCGCGAGCGGACGAAGGGTCTGAAGATGATGTGAGAATGTGAAAAAATCGAAATAGAAGGAACATGAACCCCAACATCTGTATTTTCATCATTCATCACTGGTGGTTGTGCTCGTGTTACAGAACAAAGCCTGAAAATTGCTGAAGCGGTCCCTACTAAAATAAACCCATTGAATTTTATATGGGACATGACAGAGTCATAATCAAGCAAGTAAGTAGATCCGGATCATGTTCAGTACCTGCTTTCCCTCTGTTAAATCGCTTGTCTTCCAGCCTCCTTAGTTGCTGAGAAAACGTTGATGTTGGCGTATTCATCCCGCGTGTGCTGGCACCATCTTCTTCATAGAGACCACCACCTCCATTAGATGGTAACACGAGGCTATTCCATCCTTCCCTCAGCCGTGTTCTAGACATCTTCTCAATACCTAGAAAGACCAACATTGCAGCCACTAGTTCCGCTCTCGAGTCCTGCGCACTGTAGGAGACAGCTCGCCAACCACGAAAGGTATCTAGCACTCGCGCACGACGACGCCTCACGTCAGCACCAAGAATAAACGCCTTTGCTCGTCTCAAATAGACCTGTTCTGCTTGCCTCACTGCATCACGGCGAATCCACCGTGTAAGCGATGTTTTAAGCTCTTTCTGCCGCTTTCGGTCAAAAAGCCGAAGCAGGTGGGTGTCCCTTGTCTTTTTTCTTCTCGTCTCAGGTGTTTCAGGAAGATCTTGCTCTTCTACATCTTGAACCTCCAGCATATCCTCTTCCACATATGCTGCACCTGGTGCTGAAACAGCAGTACATGATGACGACGATGATGATGCAGATGAAGATGTCCCTACTTCTGGCATGATTGTTCTTCTACTGTTGCAAATTGACCTCGCTAGCGGGGAATAGAGCTCGCGGGCCAGAGAAATCACCTCCTCCACTCGTTCCCGAGTTGACTTACTTTCCTGTTGCAATAGAGAAGTCGTAAGCTCTTCCCAATGCACAATCGCTTGTCTTGTCTTGGTTTTTTTCAGAGTAGCAGCCCTTTCCCACGCTGCGAAGCCATGGCCAAGTGCTTGATCCCGACGAAAGCGGACAAGTTTGTCGATTAAAAGTAAACGCATCTTGTCAAAGCGAATGAATTTTTCATCCCCGGATGCACCAGTCGTAGTCGTTCTTGTTGGACTAGGAGTTTTATCGATGTAGTTCTTTAACTCGATGTCGGTTGTTTGTCTGTGTTCAGGTAGAAGTGAAGTGTTGATTACCTCAGCAACGTTTCCATTTTGAAGATCGCGGCTTGTGCTTTTTTTCGCAGCTTGTCTTGTGCTTGTCCTCGTGTCGGCTCCATAATTGAAATTGGTAATATGAAAGCCCCCACTGCTAGCTGTTGATGTCGACGTGAGAGAGGGGATATTCATCCTACTGGTCGTGATCACATCAATGTTTATGTTTTGAGTATCGTCCTGCCCTTCAGCAGGCAGCTCAACAGATGCAGACGTTTCCACCTGCGCTTGTCCTCGCAAGCTGTGCTGACTATGAGCAGGACCGGTGTGCTGATCTTCTTCCGTCTCTGAAGTACTTGTTAGAGGCATTCCTATCGACCCGTGGTCGTGGTCGTGGTCTTCTGCTTCTTCTTGACCTTGTTGCCGTACCTTTATCACGCCATCCACTCCAAACCCATGATGCGGAAAGGCAAGATCCTCAACATGACCATGACTCTGTTTAGAAGATTCTAATCTGTTTTCTGCAATGCCCCCTTGTGCTGGCACGACCAGCGTCTCCTTACTTGCGCTTGCCATGACGGGTGGCGGCAATAAGCGTGAGGACGACGACGTCGCTAGCGACGTCGCTAGACAACTAGTACTGTCAACTGATGACGGCGGTGATGATGCCAGCATAGATATGTCGCCACGTTGTGATGAACTCTGACTGTTGCTGTTCCGTGATGCTGTTAGGTGCTGCTGAGCCTGAGGCTGAGATGAGCGAGACATTGCGATGTAATCATGATCTAATCTTTGAAGATGTCGTGGTCGATTCTCTGTTTCTAATCGCGCGTCGTCCTGCTGACGCAACCTTCTAGTAGCTGTGCCTATGCTGTTCGAAGAAGAAGTTCCATTATTTCCATAAGACGAAGAGGAAGACGGACCATCTACTAGAGGGACAGCCGCCATGGTACTAGCCGACAAATGCTGTTCATCTTCTACCTGTTGAAGATTATCGAAATTCATGTGCGCAACGTCACCTGGATTACTTCTTGGTCCTCTACAACTACCCCCTTTCTCCATCTTGACTTGTTGTAGTTCTTCAACAGAATCAGGACCTCCTACAACTTCATCAACAGGCGGCAAAGTACTTCCTAGCATCATGTTCTGCGACAGATCTCCTCCTATCGCTGTGGCATAGTCGGTCTCATTGTACACTGGCGAGCATGTCGCGACTGTGCGACAACTGCGAAGTGACAGGGATCCCCCTAAAAGCCCATCCTCCTCAGAAAGAGGCGAGCAGGAGTCCAGAACATGGGTTTCTTGGGTGGTTGTTGTACTACCACTGGGAAAGCAGGCCGCTGTTTCTTTTCTCGAGACCACAGGATCATCATGTTTGTGCATTACAAAGAGCGGGTCGGTGGCCACTTGTTGTAACGATGCTGCGCTTCTCTCAGCACCTTGCACACCTCCTCGTGCTTCTTCTTCTCGTAATTCTTCATCCCGCGCATCCTGCATCATATTCATGTTCTCTTCGTGCACACGGAAAAGGGCTCTATCAGTGCTATCGACTGCGGAAAAGGGTAAGGATGTCGCTGAAAGATGAAGCAAGTTGTCGTTATCACTTTGTTGAGGAACTCTATTCATCGCATTTGCAGGTATATCGACAAAATCCACACTGGCAGGTCCCCCCTGCCGACTGGAGCCCCTACGTCGCTGTGGCAGGTGGTAGTGTTGTGGAGGTCTTTCCATCACGACCATCTCTTGCTCATCATCATCAACTTGGAGGTGCTCTCTGGCTGAGTATCCACTACCTCTGGAAACTGGGTGAAAGGTTGTAGTTGTTGCTGTTGTTGTTGTACCTGTAGTACTAGTAGAAGCAGTTGTACCTGTACTAGCAATAGTTCTTGTACTAGATGAACCACTGGTGCCATGATTATTGCCATGATGAACTGCAGCTAATGGCGGACCTAAGTGAACGACAGCTGGATTAGCAGTGAGCGTAGAAGCAGCAGCAGTTCTATTTCCTGTTGTTGTCGAGGAGCTGCAGCCTGTTTGTCTTTCCGTCGCTGATCCGATACCAAAACGAGTCAGGAACTCGTCGTGCTCACGTTGAAACAAGTTCCTGCCTGTCACTGACGCTGCGTCTCGTCCATGATCATCATCATTTCGAACCACTCTGTCAGATAGCAGATGATCAGCAGTGGATGATGAACCGCCGCTGCTCGTCGCGTGGGCGTGATGTGATTAGATTGATAGTTGTACTCGCTAGATCACTTTCCGAGAAGATCATCTCTTTGGTTCGTTGAGGACAAATCTGATTTCACAAGTCAACATCATGATCTTCGTTCTACTTATTGATTCACGTCAACTTCTACTTGGTCAAAGACCACTACTGCATGATCAAAGCTCTGTGGACCATCTTCCTCCACTTAGTAGCTATAGGAGCGACAGCCAACGTCGCTGTTCCAAATGACGTTCCCCATAACTTCCGGTTGTCGGGTCCCAGGAGTCCGTCTGCACTGGAGAGGCACCAGCAACAAGAAGCATCGGCGCGGCTGGGGCACCAAACATCTGCGCAGTACGTGGTTGCTCAAATTGAGCATTCTTGTTTTGAAGCTCCTGCGAGTGGTCAAGTGCGGCTGTGACTGCTGGCTCCGTAATACAAGTCGTCCGTCTCTTGTTAGAACTACTAGAAGATGAAGTGCCACCCTTTATTTCGGTAAGAGGCGCCAACTTTCGCACCTTCGGTGGAATGTTGGCAAGCCCTTCACTTCGTGTTGATGGCATTTTTTTCGCGATAAACAAAAATGAATCTTCTCACTTACTTCAATCGACGACTTCTAGTTCTGATACTGATACTACTTATCATGTTTATGTTTTTCATGGTTATCATTTTCCTACACTCTCATTTTTCTACACATTCTCAGCTTGTGCCGCTTCCTTTTTCTAGTGGTTTTGCACGTCCTCCATCCTATACTTTTTGCAGCCTCTTATTCTCACTCTTCCTTTTCGCTTCACTTTTTGACTTTACTCTTCCCCTTTGACTCCTTGATATCGGAAGATGAATCAGTGTTCAACAACACTTTCCTCATCACAAAATATCATTCAACATGATGTTGTTGGTCATCGTAATGCAGCTTTCTTTCAAAAAATACAATCTTATTCACTTTACTTTGACTTTCGTCCTCTTTGACTTTGGTGGAGCTTCGGGTTCATTCTCATCATTCTCTTCCTCTTTGTAGGATGTACTTGCATTTTTCGAGCAGGAGTCTGCATCCCTTTTTCTACTATCATCCCACCTTTTTCTATTGTTATAACGATCCCCAGCACGACTGCCACCTCCTCTCGAGGCATCTTCTTCATCACCTTCTGCTCGCCGCTCGTTCTTCAACAATGATCGCCGGTAGCATACTATATCCACGAAAGCCGGCTTTTTAACAATGTAATCTACTTCATTTTCTCCACATGCAGCATTTTTATATAGCGAAGGATTTGGAACCCAGATCAAAACCGTGCGAGCTCGCTCTTCTGGCAACAATTTCGTGTGAATTTGCCTTAAAACCTGAAGCTTATCATCGAACATGAAGACTCGTGGTGGTCGTTGGCATCCATTCTTCGCAACACCAAAAATATCTTGCTCAACATGTGAAGAAGTAAAATCTTCTCCTCCCATGGACAGCTGTTCCGCGAGACGTTTTTGAATCACTTCAAATTTTCGCACCGACAAGCCACGTAGTTTGACGGCCGCGAATTTTGACGCAGGTAGATTCGCGCAGCCACCCCGGGTGATGCGGAACGTCGACACGCCTTTTGTACTACCAAAATAACGCTCCATAAAACCTCGGACGTTCTCTTCTTTATTCGCCGTTAATACTTCGATGATTCTCGTAGTTCTTGTTGTAGAGCGGTCGATGCTATTAATTATATCCTCTTCACCAGGAGGACTAGAGTCGATGCTATTTTGCAAACTACTAGAAGAAGCAGAAGAAGAAGTCGCGGTAGATCGAACGCATGTAGTAGATGAATTTCTGGTCGTTTCTCGTGCCAACACAAATTCCTTAACAAATTCCATGATATCTGGGCACTCTTTCTGTTTCCCCGAGCGCATATCCCGGGCCTTCAACACATGGCTTCCGCGCTCGTCCACACTGAGATGCAGGACGCCATCAAAATCGAAGAAAACAGTATCTTCCCTTCCAATGGGCGGCAAAGGTGGTCCGGGACGAAACAATAACCCAGGAGGAGGTTGCATTTTTAGAATTAGATGAATTCTAAATGATGAATGATGCAAGTATGGAGATTATTTTTTATCTACTACGACGAGTACAAAGACGATGAAATATGATCGACATTCATTAAGCTTAACAGGATAAATACTGGCGCCTACCAGCTATGATGATGACTCACCCAGAGAAGCGTAGCCGTTCATCCCCAAACCTTCCCAGCCATGGATAAAGCACCATTAAGTCTAACAGCAAATATCCAAGAACATGAAGCGGCCATCGAGATGCCACGCTCGAACGATTATAATGCAAAGAGGCCAAAGGCCGTGTAAACTTTGAATTGAAAAAAAATTGAATTGAAGGCAGGAGCTAATGTCGCAGCTTCTGTCGGCAACGTTCCTTGCCCATGGCTGGATCTTTCTATCTCACTTAATGACTATGCTGATGCAAGTGTTTGGTCTTCCCGGATGAACGAAAAAGCTAGCGGCAACAAACCTCTTAAAGATTTTCTACTAACGCCAGTACCTATTATCTACAGCTACAGCCTGGCGAAGGACGAAGCAAAGCAACAATGTTGGATTCTTTCCAGATCATGGGTTGACGGCATCAATCTGATCCTTGCATACTGACGAAAGCCACACTCCCACGACAGAAATGTTGAGGAATAGAAGGGGTTACGCTATTTCTTAATTTTATTCCGCAGTGTTCCTTCTGGGAAGAGAGGACAGAGATTGATTGCATGTTGTAGCGAGTTCATTTTTTCATCTTCATCCTGATGTATATCATCTCTATCTTTTCATCATCGAGCAGTCGGACTTTTCGGAGACGTCAGCTCCTAGTATCCTAGGTAGGACAAGTAATACGGAGTCATTCCTATTCCAATGAATATCATTTGCATCACTGAGTAGGACAAGAACGCAAAAAAAATGCAAAAAACAGACATTGTGAAATCAGGAAGACTGTGCTTTAAACTGTCCACTTTGAATAACTCCATCCTTCGGATCTAGTTTTAGGGACAATCTTCCTGTATTCTTGCATATGTTTGCTAGGATGTCTCCAGTTTTTAGATCCACTTTTCCTTCCACGGTAGCGCCAAGGCAAGGGGCTGATCCGCCAGGTTCCTCTTCGCCAAGTGTTAGATGGCGAGAAAAGCTTTTAGCCAAGAGAAAAGGGACGCATCTGAGTGTAAAAAGAACTGTAGCTGGATTGATGTTTTTGCTTTGTGACATCTTGCGCAAGCAGAGAAGTACGCACTTCCCCTGTAAAAAGGTCACGCCTTCGCTCCTCCTGGCCATGCAATCCATTGCAATCCATCATCCATCTTAGGAAATGCTCTATAATAAAGATAACAGTGATGTCCTGCAGCATAACTCTATCGCCAACATTTGCGGAAGTTTCCAGGCTTTTTCTTCTCGGATCACGTTCGCAGCAGGAAGCTCCGTAACTTCATGTCGGCAACGCTTTTGAACTGACTGGACTTGTTTTACTTCGTGGGATAGCTCAGCCAAGCGTTTCTGTAGATCTTCAGTGTCTTTGATGTCTTGTTTGTCGCCGAAATCCCCATGTTTGAAGCCAGCTTCCCTCTCCTTTTCAAGCACTTCGAGTTGCGAAACCTCAGCGTCCAGGACTTGGCGCTGGAGTGAAGGTTGGTTTTGGTAAGGACTTTTCAACTACTGATCTCTTTAGAACAAGTAAATGGACAAGTAGAACTAGAAGCCCACCTAGCATGAAGATGTAAATCAAATAAGTTGTTGGTCCTTAGATAGTCAAGAATCTTGTTTGCACGAGATGAAAAGAATCCTCATACAGGACAGAGACGAGTGCAGCGAGAGGACATTTTCCTTTTTTTCCTGTTTGGTGTTGTTTGTGTTGGAAGATGCACAAAAAATCCTTCTAAAGCTAATCAACTGGTGTGTACTGTTAGATCGACGAAGATATGATGGAAATCGAAATGAATGATCCTGAGCAAGAGGTTAGGTGAGGTTATGGATCCTAAGCAAGAGATAGACGGAGTAGATTACAACATTTATTTAATCATAACGGTGTGAGGACAACATTTGATTATATTTATTAAGTTCAATATCTTCACTAGAACATCAAGTTGAAAAATACCTTGGCCGTTCCGATTTCGTCGCATGTGGAGCACACTTCGATGCTGCGTCTGGAAACGGGACACTTGCCATTTTCAGTAGCGTTGATATATTGCTCACATTCTTCCCACGTTGTGGGCAACGTATCTCGAAAACAGGCAGATGAGAAGGATGTCGGAACAAATATAGGTCTTGTTCTTGCTCTTGTTCGTCCGGTCGTGATCATGAATTTGCTGCTGCGCTTACTAGTATTAGCATCTTCATGGGCAGAAGATGATAAGGGGTCCGCACTTCGACCAGACAGTTCGGAAGATGCAGGCTCAGGCGTGTTGAGAAAAGCGGTCCAACTACCAGTTTTTGCCTTACCTGTTTTTCCGAGTCTGACCTCTAAATTTCGGTTGTTAGGTTCTACTGCGCCACTAATCACACCACTTGGAACATCGAGGCGTCCAAGGACTAAAGAAGCCTTGCAAGATGAACTCGCAGATGGTTGCTTAGAAGAGGAGGTAAGTTTGATCATGCTAGTCCTTCGCTTGACTTCTGTATCTGTTCGCAATGTCCTCCTTGAGGCTAGGTTGTGAATCCTGCACATCGAGCACCCCCGGCACCTTGCTCAACTCCGAGGATGATGGATGACATCGTTTGAGTTCAATGGAATTACAACGCCTTAACTCTTCCACCACTCGTATCCGCTTCGTCGGCCTCACCTCCGACATTGTTTGGATCTACGGTCCACGGATCCGGCAAAGGAACTTTGGGAACAACATAGTCGTTCTTTGCTAGCACTTCTTGTGTATTCTAAAATTAGAAGGTAGAGCGCAGAGGATGAAATAAATGGAGAAAGAAGGAGGAATGGTTCTTGTGGATGATGATCTGTTGAGGAGAGGTCTGACACGATCTGTCAGACTCGTCTACTAATCGGCTTTCTCTATTCATGATCGCATTTGTTCTACCCACTCCCACAATTGCCACTGATGCTGATTAAGTACATCGCTTTTTGTGTCTTTCTTAGTCATGTTTTTCCGGCAGCAGCGGACACTGCAGTAGCAGTTTTTTGACTGCGGGCTGCAGTTCTGTGAGACGACGCAATGCATTCTTCAGCGTTTCCAGCAAATCGATGTGTTCTTGTTCTGGGAACTCTGTCTGACGAAAACGCGCTACGAACTTGGCTTAGAGAACGCCCTAATCCATCTCGAGACGCACCTTAGGCGTCTTCTCCCCTTGAGAAGCAAGTCTCGTCTTGGGGATCGATGGTGCTTCCTAAGTAAGATGGATTAACGGAACGCCTTAATTGTCATGCATATCGGTACGTCGTTTCACCTCAGCACGTGTATCCTCAAAACCAGCCAATACGGGCTCACGGCAGGTTGAGCAGTCACTCGATGGGTCGAAAGAGGAGCCCACTTGTCGCGACAGTAGTTTCTTGACACAGTCGGACATGATGGCCGCAAAAGCAGTTGATGTTGTCGTCATCTTGATGATGTTGAGCATGGAGGACCACGACCAGAGGAGGCGTGGTATCAATATATATATTTATAATACTTCTCCTGGTGTGATCAAAAATAATACGATTTTTCATCGAATTATATTTACTCAAATCATTGAAGTCTTCAGTTTCATGAGATCTGTCTAAGGCTACACGAACCAGAGTCAGAGAAGACAAGAACAAGGTCAGGCTGCTATTTCTGATAATATTCTTGCAGAGACTCGGTGGTCCTTGGCAGGCCTTACAGTTACATACTTGTTAATACAACTTCAAGCTGTTCTACTTAGGTGGCAGCTCCTCCTGTGGGGGTAGTTCGACAGCTTGTACATCTAGGGACAAGAATCAGAGGAGTAGATACCGATCAAGGAGGTGCTCTTCGCCAACTTTAATGTACAGATAGGCATTTAGATTATGACCGAGAATAACTTACTCCACTATTCGGACCGACTGAGAGATTGGGAATAGACCGAGCATGAGACAGCCCATGATCCGGCGTCGTGTAGACCGCTTTCAACATCGTCTTTTTACGATTAACTACTCATCAGTCAGGTACTTAGTTGCCTCTCCTGCTGCAACACAGAGAATAAATTAGAGATATCTCCCCTGCACCATCACCGGATTTTTTTATGTTGTGAGGCTGTGTCAGCCATGATAAATTTCTTCTTGTTTCATGAAGATCATGTTAAAAAACTTTGATTACACGTCAACCACGATTATCGTGCGCGTTCTCTTCGTTTTTGCAGCATTTTTATGTTTAGGTCGTCGAGGACAATGGACGAGAATCGTGCAATGTCCTTACTGTGCAAGAAGAACAAAGTAGAAGGGGGACGAAGACCTTCTACTATTTGAGTACATCAACTTCATAATCACGACATAAGAGACGTATTCAACATAGGAGTGATGAAGTAGATGATGTTGGTGCGGGTGGTGGACGAGGTGGTGATTTATCAACAAATCAATCTTCTATATAACACTTCATACAACATGTTTTTTGGAGGGACTACGACTTCGGAGATGACCATGTAGTAGGAGTACATGTAGGAGTAGGGGACAGAAGTGAAGATCATGTTTTCGAGAATTCGCCTTGCAGGATAATCCGACATCCTTGCGTCACTGGGGTGATTGAATGCCGCAACCGTTCACCGCGAAACAGAACCAAATCGCCCTTTTGGAGTTGAACTTGTCGTCGAATACTATGCTTTTCACCACGTGCAAAGTTGTTGCGGCCACCCACGTAGTCGACACCTGGCTGCGTAAGCATCAAAATGAAGGTGATCACACTGTCATTGTCCACGTGCTCCTCTATGTAGCCGTTGCTTGTGCCGGCTTTCTCGGAGTCTAATCGTTTTGGGACGGGGGAAACAAGGTGAAGGTTGATATTGAAGAAGAACAACAACCATAGGAGAAGAGAGAAAGGCGGGCACCTAGTAATATCAAAGTTTACCTTTCAAACAACTAAGTAGATGAAGAGCAAATGTTCTACCTGTTAAATTTACAAACTCCAACAACTACTTCTAGAACAGCAAGAGAAATAAATGTAACAAAGATAAGTTTACCACTATCATCCCCGTCTGTGTCCATCGGGTCGTCTTGCTGTTGCGACGTATTATTAGCCTCCGCACCAACAGCTGTAGATCGTCTTTCATTTTTCGCAACAAAAGTATTGCTGGTGCTTTTGGCTGCTCTCTGCACACACTGACTGTGGAATTCCCACTTGGTCGCCATGGCTGCCGCATCCACTGTATTGCACGAACGATAGTAATACACCTGCTGCTGTTGCTTCTGCTTTTCTGTCAAGCCTTCTTGAGCAGGGCCACCTTTCGTGTTCGTTCCGTCACCATTTGCAGATACCACGACAGATGAACTTTTTCTGTCTTTCGGACTCTTGCTCTTTCTTGTTCTCTTATCACCTCCTCCGTCGTCACTGTCGTCCGAGTCGTCATCCTCGCCAGCTACGTCAAGTAACTGCGCAGCTGCTCTTCTCGCCTCTTCCTCAACTGCGCGTCTTCGAACTTTGCGTCTCGTATCATAGACGATGTACTCGAGCTCGGGATAGGTAATTCTAGGCATCTTCCGCCAAAGCTCATCATCCACTAGATGGACGCACTCGAGTAACCGCCCATACAATTCCGGTTGCAGGTTAGGATTAGAAGAGCAGGAAGACCGAAGAAGATCCAGATTCTTCATGTCAAGATAGAGGCCTGTATCGACGGAGATTTGAGACGAGAACGATAACGAAAACGATATAAGTATTTATTATCATTCGATTTGATCAAAATAAACCGCTAACATTTCGTCTTCGAGCAACAGCAACAGCAATGTTGTTGAAATAAGCTTATAATAGCACAGTTTATTATATTTCTAGGGTTGTCGTATTCAGGATGGGAGGGATCGGATGGAACGGATGGACTTCCCAGGGCGCTAGTCATTTTACGTAGGGCCTGAAGATTTAGGGGGCTCCATCCGATCCATCCAAGTCCACCATGCTACAAACATCTGTTCTACAAGTTATTCTAATAAATTCGTTCATAAACTTCAACTCTGTCTCCACTCGATAAGCTGTGTGTCGATACTTGAGATTCTGCTTGCGGTCTCGGATTTCCGCAGTACTCCAATTGCGATAGGCCGAATGGATGCCCTCTATTTCTTCAGGAGACATGAAATTGTGAACGACAACAAATTTCCTATGACGCTTATGGCCGTCCATTAGCTCAAAGTACGGTCTGGAAGAAGTACTGCTGGAAGAAGAAGTACTGGAGCTCTTGTTCCTACAGATGCGCGTTGATGCTGCAGTGGTTCCACCTCCAGGAGTCTGTAATTGATGTAGTTCGTGCTCTTTTTTATGTTCGGAGTTCTTAGATGTAGTTGAAGACGTTCTACCCACGGACGTTGATGTAGTCCTGGAAAGTTCGACATCTTCTTGCATACTGTTGAACATCTTCATTGTTCTTGCCTTTATTTCCTGCGAAAACATTTCGCGATCGTTTTTTGAACTCGGTTGGTACATCTTCTCGACGTCCCAATAGCATGTCCAAGGCCTATCTTTCGCATGCACCAGCTTCGCCTTACTGATCACGGTTCGGTCAAACTTCTCGCCTTCCCAGTCGGATTCGCTAGTGTCCGAAGCCCCCGAACTGCAACTTGTCACTGTAAAGGAAGCTTCGGAAAATTCGTCCTCGTGATCTTCTTCCTGATTTTCACCTCCTCCTTGTTGTTGATGTTGTGAAGATAAAGAGGTCACCTGCACAGGTCGCTTCTTGTTGAGATCCCGTTTCGGTTTTTTCTGCCCATAGGTGCGACAAAAACGTGCGTTCGCTTCTAGAAACTTCTCGGTCGTTCTTGCGCTAAGGAAATAGGGCTTCTTATTTCCACCTCCTGGAGCGCCAGCAGCATTTTTCTCCTCGGGACTGTCAGGTGGTGGAGGTGTGCTACGCCTTCTCGATGCATAGAGAGGGTAAAACATTTGCTTTCCCTTCAAATGAAACCGTCGCCTCAGCGGCGCGCGCTGTTGGGGCGACGACCCCGCCTCACTGGAGTCCGTAGAGCTTCCACTACCACGCACAGGCGACATTTTCATGCTACTGACCTATTGTAAAGAAAATTCCTATCAATGTTCGTGTTGGAGTTTTAAACTTCAAACTCAAAGGTTGACCGGCAGCCAATTCTATAAGTGTTTATAACGTATTTTGTACTAAAAAGATCATGTCAGTCTGTTCGTGAGCAAAATGAGCACCGTGAAAAATATGCAAGTTTACTTACGAAACACAAAGAACTTAGACTACTAATTGCAGGTCGGAGAAAATGTGGGAAGGGGACGAGAGCGAGAGCGAGTAGCCTGGAGGTGGTACTAGAATGATGATCTTCGACGTCATTGAAAAACAGTTTTTAAATGGTATTGAGAGGAAGACGAGCCAAGAACGACCCAAGACCCTATGAACGATCGAAATATCCCTAAGAACCTACTCCCTATGAACACACAACAACTCAGGGGATCTTGATCTTCATACACGATCATGAAGAAATGATCAGTATTCGGAAAGATGAGCTTTTCCTTTAAGTCCTTGGTTATTCATATTATTCATTTGAGAACTCACTTTTTCAGAGGCTGAAGAGCAAGAGGTAGATTTGGAGTAGGGAAGGTGAAACTGTAGTAGAAGCGGTCGACCTCTAGGAGCACGCTGTAGAACCAGTACTAGATATCCTTGTGCGAGGAAGCCATGGAGTGATTATGGTTATGTTCAATTCCTTGAATCTGATTATCTGCTCAAAAATGCTAATTCATGAGTGACTGAATCTAAAAAATATGTTGAACATCTGAGATCTGCTCACACTTCAAGCATGACGACGTGTCGAAGTCGATCTCGATGTTGGAAGTAATAATTGTGTTGATAGATGAAGATGTAAATCAGGGTAGGGGTAAGGGAAGTGGCAAAGGCTATGGATCTTCATGGTGTTGAGCAATCCTAACCATCTGGTCTCTACCGCTTCGGTTAGAGGGTCCAAGAACGCGGATGATCCCGATCTTCTACTACAACTCATGTGCACGTTAACTACACCCGTAAAAGCGTTTCGCGTAAAGACGAACTTTTACTTTATTCATCAAAACGACCTGCAACTCTTTCAGACTCACATCATCGGAAAGACGACAGGTTTCTCCTTGCACCAACTGCAGAGAGAAACCCGATCCACGAAGCCGCAAACTTGGGAGAACGAACAGGAGTCTGTCGTCACAACTGTGTATACGTCGTTTTTGTCGGTAATGAGGTTTTGGAGCATCTGCGCAATGGAGACACCAGCTGCTTCAGCGGCTTCCCCTAACTCCTTGACAATGCCGAGACCATCCCGCAGTCGGATGCGGACGTTGGGATTAGAGATGATATTGATAAAGGATAGGAAAAAATAAGTTTTTTTTTCGTGTTGACTACAGGAAGACGACAACGCATCGGGTCATCTTCCAATGCGATGCACTTCTTCCTCATCCTTTGGACGATGTGGCATAAAGAAAGAGTCACAGGTATAATCAGTGTCGAAGACGCAGTTTTTTCCTGTGATCGATGCAGCCGCAGAAGCCGACAGTAGCAGATTCTCACTGCCTTGGGGTTTAGGCGCCACAATCTCTTGACACGCGCGAACGATGTCGTTCATCACGGAGTTTGCGGTTGGGTATCTGTTGAATGTGTTGTATGTGTTGCGAATACGATTACGATGATTATACGACAATCAATCTTAAAGTGTAACTGGAATAAACACCAACTCTTTATTCGAAAAGGGCGGTTGGTAATTCTAGTTTATTCACCACGAGCCAATAATTGCGGGAGTTGCAATTTTGACACCCCCACTTGATCTTAACTTCTGCTCAGGCTAACTTCTTCCAAACTAACACTTTTTAGTTGCCAATAAAAATACACCACGTATGATCATGATATACCGTCCCGCTCCCGGTCCTTGATACACAGTGAGTCCCATGTTTTTGCTGGTCACAGCGCACAAATTCGTTGGACCCCTGCAGGCAGCGATTGCGTGGTCTGCTGGAACCAAATGTGGGGACACAAAACAGCTTACGCGATTACTCTTCGCGTCTTTCTTTGCTTAGCGGTAGGGTTTTGGTGTTCGTGTGTTCGTTTACCTAAGTACGCTTTTTGTTTTGCCTGTCTCCCTTAGAAGAGGCAAGATTTTACCCCGTTCGCTCTTCATTCTCCCTTAGAAGATGCAAAGCAAACGGTTCCTTTTGATCGTTCTGCCTTTCTCCCTTAGAAGAGGCAAGACAAACGGTAACAAGAACACCTTTAACCTTAATTTACGCATCCCAGCAATTTCACGGTGCAACCGAGCATCTTTGCGTACTCGAAATCTATCTTCGACACTTGCGTTATGCCTTCACACGGTATATCCTTGAGCGTTACACCAAAGGCCAATTTCGCCAAAATGCCCAATTTATCTCGAGCATCGAAGCCTCCGACGTCTGCGGTTGGATCTGCTTCTGCGAAGCCTAGAGACTGAGCCTCTTTCAAGACTTGCATGTAGTCGGCGCCTTGTTTTAGAGGAGCGTTCTGGGTGGACGGCGGATTACAAAGCAGGTCGTGCTTTTAGTAGCTGTAGGGGTAGTGTTCTGAGACTGAATAATGACCCCATCAATCAACCCAGGGCATTCTAATGCTTTTCCAACTAGTAGAGCACAAAAAAAGAAGCAAAATTTCTTTAGTGCTCTTAACTCCGTCTCCATCTTAGAAAGCATGAAATTCGTCGTTCCGTTCATGATCCCTGCCACGCCTTGCACTTCATCAGCAACAAAATCGTTACTCAGAGACCTAATAATCGGGATTCCACCACACACGGCAGCCTCAAATCCGAAAAACGTCTTTCCTGCCTGGGTATGAAAAATCGTGGGGGGGACGGAGTGATTGATTGGCATCCCAAGTAGTACTCCTAGACTAACGGTGGGACGGAAGATGTAGGGTCTACAATACGTCCTCGGCAACGTTACTTGGTCGACCTTATAAGTGGGAGGGACTCTTGTGAGTGCTGACTTGAAGCAGTCCCATCATCTTTTTGCCTACCAACATGGGACTCTTGTGAGTCTTGAAACATACTTTCTTGTACTCGAAAATCTGAAATAAGCGAGTTACTGACCAGAATAACCGAGATACTGATCATGACAAGGAAAGGTAGGGTAGCCTTGAAGCTATAAGCTAGTACCTCCCTTATTTCAGTCAGTAACTCGGTTATTTTGTTCCCCTTGATGTGTGAGTATTGACTACTAATGACGGATCAAGCCATTAAAACATACTTTCTTGTATGTTTATTCAACTTCAACAGTGGGGGCATCATAAATGTTCGCCAGTTCGTCCAGATACTGGAATATCAATGCCTTGTTTGCCGTTACCACAGGAATGGCGTTTTGCAAAGAATGGTAGACGATTTCTTTCGCATCCGTGCATCCACCGATGATTAGAGGTAGGTTTTTGGTGCTTGCTTACCCCGCTTTTTATGCCTTTCTCTCTTAGGAGAGGCATAAAAAGCGGTAAGAAAAGCACCTTTAACCTACCCTCAAGATGAGTTCCACTATCAGCTTCGCGCCGCTTTGGAGTAACTCTGCGGGTGACGTACAAAACAAGGCCTTCAGCTCACCTTCAGAACTACCGCATGCGCTAGAGAGGAGAGGGTCCCTGCGGATCTGATCATGTCGTGAGCATGCAATTTTATTTGTGAAGCAAGGAGAAGTTACACAAGAATGTGATTGTGAACCAAAACAAAGTCACAGAAAGGAAAAGAGAAAGGAAAAGAGAAAGGAAAAGAGAAGAGAAAAGGTTTTTTCGGTCGTGCGAACTTCCGGGAGCAAAAAACTTAGAAGTCGTCCGTGGTGACCGCAAATATTTAACAGTTAAATTGAACGAGCCGTTCTTGTTGTCAAAGAAATTATAGTACCGTCTGCATATGTCGTTCTGGTGATCGGACCAAGATTTTCACGATGCGGAGCCGAAAATTGTACAAGGATTCGAAGATCGGGTTTTTCGACAACGCCAGCTCCATCACACCAGCGCCAACTGTGCCGAAGCCAGCCAAAGCAACGGGAATTTCTACCACACTGCGTGCCATTTTGTTTTTGTTTCGTAAAAATTATGATTTCTAGTAGGGGTTGTAGAAGTAGTAGGCCCGCTAGAAGTTCGTCTAGTAGTTTCGCTTGTTGTCGTCGAAGCAAGTGGTGACTGGCAAGTGCAGATACTACGCGAGAGTTTTCGAATAGTTGTTCTGGTAACGCCGGATAAATGGGGCGCGAGATAGTGTCCACTACACGGGTATCGGCTGTTCTAGCAAATGGACTCCTCGAAACGAAAAGCGTTGAAGATAGAGTCGAGGTGAAGATAAGTATGAAGTCCTGGATCCTCAAAATGATGATCTTCAAGATCGACGTGCACATGATATTGATAACACCAGTGGTGATCGACATTACCTGCTGATAAGGAGATGAAGGCTGCAATATCGATGTTCTTGAACTCGCATTAGTAGAAAGGATTTGGAGAGGAGGAGAACAATATTGGAAGATGCTGTTTGATACGCGATGAGCATCCATAAGGATGACCTAAGCAGCCATGACACGGATAACCTGGTGGTGTGGGTATCGATTTCTAATCGCGGTACAACTGGGTGGACCATAACCATATTCTTTACCAGCAAAAGGAGTACAGCAAAAGGAGTACATGACCAAAAATTATTCTCAACAAAGAGCACGTTAAACTGTTTACTTGCAGACAAAGAAGCATGTCGTGGTGCGGGTAATATGCTACCGAGAATGCGTCTAGATCGGTATGGTCTTCTATAAGTACTAGAAGGAATGCTATTGGTAGCAGAAGTGGATTATATCGATTTCGTCGTGACATTCCATGATACTGATTCAACACATGGTAGAAATCGTCTGCGAGCGCCATGACGAATTGACTAGGTACATGAGAATCTATGACTATGCATGGAGGAAAAGCGAAACTTAGATATTGTTATAATGTGATAGCAGCAACGACTTCGAAAGGCTGGAGACTTGAGAGAAAGATCAAATTTATCTGCAATCCTATAACTCCGAAAACTGCTACGAGGACTATATTTTCAAACAAGAAGAACAGGTAGGAGTAGTTGTGCTTAGACAGGGTAGTTATTGCAAGAATGGAAAATGGAGGTGTACAGCAGCTGCAGCTGCTGCTCTACTATTGAATTTTAATTTTTGAACAAGCTGCTTTCGCCTCTAGAAGACACCTTATTACACCTAGAAGATACCTAGACAGCAACGCCTCTTGGCGAAGGTGACAGACAGCTACGTGACATCGTCCTTTCAACATCTACTTCGAAAGTACATCAGTATCAGTAGTCAACATCGTTCTTTCGAGAGTTTTCGGTGCTCATCCTCCTCTTCAACGCCGCCATCTGTTTCGCCACCCACTTTGAGTATTCTGTGGCAGCCGTCTCCGGATTCGCCTGGTGGAAGGCAGACAATGCCCCTCTACACGCTTCCCGTGATAAGAGAGACCCACCGCCTGCGGTGCTGATGCTTAGAGACAACCGCTACCACAGGAAGAAATCTCCTGTGCTGTGCCTATTCTTCTATTGGGCCACAGGTAAAAGTTAGCAAATTAGCGTAAGCCAATCTTCATTAGAGAAAATAATTAGGAAGAAATAGTAGACGACCAGCACGTGATCATGGAAAAACCTAAGCGCTACTTACCTGAGTGATTGATGTTTTCTCCAATGAATAAAGATAAGCGCTCCTCTTTTCTCCGACTCCAACGAACTAAGTACGATGAATCACAACCATAATAAAGATCATAAACCTTCTAAACGCTGATATCATAAAAAGTGAGCGTGATGCGAAGCGGGGTGCACATCTGGGCTTGCATCCACGTTGTCGTGAGGAAAACCCGAAATGTCGGGATGCAGTTTCATTTCAGCATGTTGGTGATTGCCGCCGCGTATGATTAGAAAAAGACTATGAAGGAAGACTACTAACCTTATAGTTCTCGAAGTAGATGGTCTTCATGTTCATGGATTAGAAGAAAATGAAACAAGAAAGCGAAAGTTCACAAAATAATCAGTGTAAAATAGAGGTCTGTTAAACATCACAATTCAAAAACTTGTGTTCATAAAAGACAAATTTTGATCATGATCCTCCATGGATATAGCTTTGCAGAAACGACAAGCTGGATTAAGACATAGTACGGATTCCTATAAGAAATTGTGAACAAAGCGTTTTCACGAGGACAGAGACAGTGAGTATCTTGAAGCTCATCATGCTCTACTCGTCCGGCGTTACAGTTACTGTAAAAGAGTCGGAATGCGAAACCTCAGTCCTCACGATAGACAGCCATATTAAGGTCGTCGTAGACGCTGTCGCCGCTCGTCTGGGCGCCTTTCTTTTTTCTTAGAGGAACAATTGGAGTACAACTTCAGTGTTTCGCTACAAACCTCCCGACTCAACTTTGAGAACTTTCGTATAAAAACTTTTTGAGCATCCATCCTTGAAGTACTTGAGTATCTATGAGTAGTTACTGATTGATGATTTGAAAAACCTGCTCAGCAAGGTGCCTAGGATATCCCTGACAAGGACAGCTTCTTTTTTCTGAACTCATGAATTTGACCATTATTCGATAAGCTGAAATAAGGAAGTAGCTGATGAGAATTTCCGAGATTCTGAAGGAAGAGCACCCCTCTAAAATGGAGGCTACCTGCTCCCCTATTTCAGGAGCCACTAACTCGGTCATTTCTAGTTTTCGACCATCAGTTTTTGCCCGGGTATAATTTCTAGTTTTTGCCCATGTGCTTTTCTCCTCAGCATAACTTTGATCGTCTTCCTCGAAAGCACGACCTAGAACATTCCAAAGTCTACGGCTGAGGCGCTCTTCTTCCGATTTTTGATATTGCACTACTTCAGCATCAGGGGTTTTAGGGGTGCTTTCCTGCGGAGATTTTGATCGGATCAAGCTTGTCGATTCCTCTGCCTTCGGTTGAGGTGAATTATTCGCCTCGTCATCCTGAGCACGATCATAAATTGCTTGATTTTGAAAAGTAAGATGTTACAAAAAAGGGCTACATTGAAAGAAGCCGAACAGAGAAAAAGTGGTGATATATATCATCATAATCAGCGAGAAAACGTATAAAATTCTAATGAGTGTGACCTCTGCCGCATTTCGATCTTCGCCTCCTCCATCTTCGCGACCGGCAACCACGTGCTGAGTATTATGCTCAGTCTTTGACGGTACCAACAGACTCTTCTTATAGTCGCAAAGTGGAGATGCTGGCCCCGTTCCGTCTCCCATGCTCCTTCGGAAAATACGACGCAGAAGGCACCGCTGTCTCCTGCCTCCAGCCAAGCATAACGATCCGAGAGGAAGAAGTGTTTGCGCTAATCATGTGTTAGAAGCAATGAACAAGGAACAGCATATTAGTTGCTGAGCAGGGAGTCTTCATTTATAGCATATTAGTACTTGTTGGTCAATGGTCATTACTGGCTCAAGATCCAATGGATGAGCCTGATTTCAATGCCAAATGACTGCTCTCACTCGTCACCTTGATCATGATCAATACCGTTCCTTGTCTTGAACTCATGTTAGTTCCTCGTATGATCATCATTTGAACTCAATGAATTCCAACATGAATTAGCAGCAAGACCTCCCAGATCTTTAACTGCACTATGACCCTTCATGATATCCCAATGACATTGAACCCATTTTGATACCATTTCAGGGCCTTAAACAGTCAGTGATCATTCGGCACGTCCGTTCAGATCGTCTTTCTGTTACATTGCAACGATAATCATTCCACTTACTCTCAAGAGCCTCATAGTGCGCTTGGACGTGTTCGGGTGTTCCAACACTGTTTCAAGCCCTTGAGCCTTACCTTATTAAAGAAATAACTAGTCAATTCTTTGTAGAAGTAGAGAAAACAGAGTCGCATTACTTGCGCCACAAAATGCCTGATATGAGTCTTGGAGAGATTTCACCCAAACTGGGGCAGAAATCTGACTGGCGTGACTGGCTTCGAGCGGTAACGCAAGAAGCAGACCGCCTGGACCTAGTCCAATACCTCAACAATGTGCTGAACGGCAATGCGGCAGGGGTTCCGAACCAACCCAACAACAACGACCGCAAGCTCCAGCAGAATTGGCGAGATTTGAAGAACGTGATCATCAAGTCGCTCAAAGGTGCAGCCGAAGCACATATGAAGGATCAGGATACCACTGTAATGAACGCTGGTGAGGTGGTAACAAACCTCCGTGACGCTGGTTTCAGTCAAAATGACCGTACAGAGCAGCGAATCTCTGCTAAAGCGTTGGAAGGGATGCATTTCACGAACCGTGATTCTCCTCCAGACGTTCCAACATTCCTGGCGAAGGTCAGAGATGTCATGAACCAATCTCCGACCGTATACCCGCCGGAAGTTGGTGCGGCTGTTGCTGATCAACAAAGTGGAGCAATCCTCGACATTCTGCCAAAAATGTTTTCCAAAGCATTTCGACAGACAATCGAGAGGATGCAAGAAGAAGAACGTCTAACGTTCGTCCAAATCGGTGAAAGACTTGCAAAACGACTTCAAAGTTTGATTGACTCTGGTGAGTACAAGATCGAGAATCCATCTTTCGGCAAAGCTTTTCCAGCTGTCGAAGATTCTGATGATGAAAACCAGAACAATACCAAAACCAAGAAGCGTAAGCGTCAAGATGAGAGTGATGACGATGGTAACGCATTTGCCGCTCTCAAGAAAACAACGATCAAACGACTTCGCAAGAAGATTCGCAAAGAAATCAAGAACGAGGTCTACGCAACAAAAAGAAGTGGAAAGAGTAGTAGTAGTAGTTCTTGGCGAGCCGATGCCTTTTGGATTTTAAGGGTTATAATTCCCCTATATTTTCTCTATAAAATGCAGAGGCCATCAGTACTGGGGTGGTGAGCCTGACACCCCGCAGATCGGTCCCCTTCCCACACCCGAAAGCGCCGAACGTCCTCGGCTTTGTTCACTTGCTAGGTGAAAACCATCCCACCCACTGCAACCCCTTCGCCACCTCGTTGCCAAAGTCTCTCGCTGTCGAGTCGAGCCGGTCGAGGGCGGGCAGTTCTCTAGAGGTGCTGGCGGTTTTTAAGAGCCAAGGTGGCTAGGTGCTTGACGATGAGCGCCAGCCTGGCAGCCTCGGCGAAGCTGCCGCTGAGGGTGTTATCGGGTAGAATAAGCGCAGACACCGACGAAGAGGCTGGGGCCGGCAGCTATGGACACCAAGGCCCGAAATGTCGGAGGTGATGCACCCCATCCCATCGGGGGACCTGAATGGTGCTAGCGTGCGTCTGCGTGGATGTATCGGCCACCGTTTGTCTTGGGCTACACCACCATAAAAAGCCACATCTGTGCGCCTCAGGTTTGGTTGCTCCTCTTGCTTCACATGTTTGAGGACATGAAAACGAGGACCAAAAAGTTGCCACTTTTTGGCTCAGGTGGGCTCCTTATTTTTTGGCTTTATAAAATGTACCATTTTTCGCGTAGCCCCACTAGTGGACGCGAATTCGGACATTTTATAATGAAAATATAAAACAAAATATAAAAGCACTTTATAATTTTTTTTTTTGGCACTCAAATCGAAGTCGCCTTAGGCTGATTCGAAGTGCGTTTTTGCGCACCTCTTCGCGAATCTGTAGGCGACATGCAAAAGCGGAAACGCGTGCACTTTTCACGCGAATAATCCGCAAAAAATGTAGGGGACATGCAACGAGGACACGCGCCGAAATGTAGTGGGCATGCACTGCAACACAGCAACAACATCGCACCAGGCCACGCCTCTTCTCCCCCGTGAATGGGTGCAATACCTTGGCCCTATTTCGGTCTCCGTGCGTGACTCGTTGTCGATCGCGGAGGGTGGAACCGAGGCCACCCAAGGGCAAGGCAAAAAGTTGTCTTCCTCGACTGTTTTGGCGATGTCCTAACAACCTCAGGCGTCACGATCGATTTCCATCCCCTACACTGCTCCAGAAAAAAGCTGGCAGCTTTTTGGATAGCGTTTCGCTTTTCGTTTTTCATGCTCCAAGAAACCCACCCTGGCGAGCTTTTACTTATTGACAAGAAAAAAACTCCGCGACCCGCAGAATTTCCATCCAAGGAGAAGAACCCGCCGCATTTTATAGAGAAAAAATAGAGAAATTATAGCACCGAATTCCTAAAAGGCGCCCCCTCGCCAAGTAGTTCTAGTAGTAAGAAGAATAAAGGAAGTGGTAAAGGTAAAGGTGCTAAGAACTCAAATCCTAACGAGGGTATCCAGTGCAACTATTGTCACAAGTATGGACATAAGGCGCACAAATGCTGGCTAAACCCGACGAGTCAAAGCTACCAACCTAACAAAGCCTTGGGCAGCAACTTCTTCAACAATTCATACAACTGTTGGCCGCAAGGTAACGCTATCCCTCCGTGGCACCAGAACAGCTATCCACCACCACAAAGTGGAGGAAAAGGATTCGACAACAGTAACCCACAGCAGCAATGGGGTGGACAACAACCACAACGCTGAGTCGAAACCAATCCGGAATGGAATGGATATGGGAAACGAGATGGACAATCCCAAGATGAAGAAGAATTGGAAGAAGATTTCGAAGATGAAAATGGAAGATGTTCGCTGAACTTGGAAGAAAACTTTGAGAATAAAGAATATAGAAGTGGACTGCTTAGGGATGAAAGCTATATGATTGACAGTCGCTCAGATTGCTATCTTAGTGCAAATCAAAGCAAAACAGTTTCACTTGTTGACAGTTGTGCAAATAAGTATTTGTCTAGCCATCGTTCCGATTTCAAGAAGATTAGCCACCGGCTTTGTCATATTAGTGGCACTGCTGGAAAGCGAAGTGGGAACCTAGGTAGACTGAAAGAAAACAAACTAGGATTAAAATATGGCGTACACTTTGAACACTTACCAAAAGCCATAGATCGCATTATACCGTGGTTAGGTGAAGGAAACTGTCATGAAAAGGGTTGGCAAATGAATTTCACAGAAAGTGGCGGAACGTTGTACAATACTCGCTCCGGCCGCTCTCTACCCATAACAAATTGCCCCCAGATGCAGTTACCTATTCTAGGCTGTGACATGTTTAGCAAAGAAGAAAATGAAACTGAGGAGGATATAGTATGCACTAGTATAGAAGAAGCTAGACTTCATTCACAAGCTTCAAGATTAGACATACATCGTAGACTTGGTCACTTTCACGCTGATGGCCTTAGTGTATCTTGTCCAGAATGTGATCGAACCAAAGGTCAAAGGCGCTCTCATGCAAAAGTGAGGCCCGTTGGGCATATACCTTCTCCATTGAAAACACTTGCAATTGCTTTCGCAGTTGGTATTAGACCAGTCTCTATAAGAAGCAAAAGATGTGCTTTAATCATTATTTGCGATTCGATTAAAATGTGTTTCGTTCGTCCTCTTTGCCTTAAGTCGGACTGCGTAGAGGTGATTGAAGAAGTAATAAAAGGCATTCGCCAGGACTACTCATTGTCACTCGATGACAAGGTGGTATGGTTCATCCGTAGAGATAACGAACCCGTCCTAAGTAGTGACCATATGACCAAAGTCATGCAATCGCTACTGGTTTCGGAAATTCCTGGAGTTCCTTACAACCCAGAAATGAACGGAACTTGCGAACGTTTCACGCGGACCATTTTCGGTGCTGTACGTACCATGTTGGTCAAAGTCGACCGACGTCTTTGGTGTTACTGCTTACAGTATGCCGGAGATTGTTGGAATCGCTTACCGCATCGTTATGCAAAAATGCCAGAACATGACGGAATGAGTCCTGTCGAGATACTAGAAAAGAGGATAGGAAAGAAGTCCTCGAAAAGTGGTCTAGGTATGTTAAGAAGATTTGGCTGTTTGGTGTACTTTCGTGAACAGGTCGTAGACACCACCAACAAGAAAGAAGCAAAGCTTGCGTCACCTTATCGGCGTGGTGTGTTTCTCGGTCTGTGTCCAGTTTCGTCTGGTTGGCTAGTAGGTACATATCACAACGATGGGAGAACGAAAGCTGGCTTCAAGTGGAGTGAGTATTCCACACTAGATGTGAAATTTCGAGAGTCGATATTAGTCAAAAATATTGATTGGCTATCGCCTACGTCGAAGGGCATTTATGTTGATTATGACCCGCTGGAAAACCTGCAGTCTGGCACGCCGTCGCTGGGTCCCGTCCTGCACAGTCATGCGCTGCAACGTATGGCCTGTCAGCCGCGCTTCTCTGGCACGGAGTACAGCTCAGGCGATCCAACCGGCATGGAAATGATACTAGATAACAATGACATTGATGAGTTTTTCTGTGAATCTTTGGACAAAGAAGAAGATCCAAAGACCGGCGATGATTCCAACTCTGACGCGCAACGCGTTGAGGAGGGGAATATCTCATCGGAGCGTGTGTCACCTGACTCTAATCCTGAAGCAAGGGATCCGAGGCCCTTACCCATTCCACCATCTCAACCAGGCAAAGTTGAGGAGGGGAAGAAAAGCCGAGGAAGACCTAAAGGGAGCAAGGATAAGAATCCAGGACAACGCAAAAGAAGAACAAAAGCCGAGCTAGAAGCATTAAGAAAAGACATGACTAAATTTGCCATGCTAGCAGGTGGGCATGAGCTGGAAGAAGGGGAGACCTTTCTCGAAGCACATGCCATGCTGTCAGTTTCCCAAGCCTTGAAAAGCCCTGACGCCGAGAAATGGCGCGCAGCTATCACCAAGGAGGAAGCTAGACTACTTGCCTTTGAGACTTGGGCGCCAGCTACTGACGAGGAGCTGCGATCCTCTTCTCAGGTAATGCCTATAGCAATCGTTCTCACGGTAAAACGTGATGGAACATTCAAAGCTCGTGCTTGTGTGCTCGGGAATCTTGATCGTTCGGGGAATATCGACACCTACGCCCCTGTAGTGTCACACGTTGCGATTAGACTTTTATTCGTTTCAGTTGCGACGGATTCTGACTTCGTCATCCCCTTCGACCTTGATTCTGCGTTCCTTAATGCTGAACTCGATCGCGGCGTCTTCTGCCGTCTTCCACCAGTGTGGGCGGAGAAGCATGGAGCGGATATCGTCAAGCTTAAGAAAGCTCTCTATGGGCTCAAGGACGCTCCACGAGCCTGGTTCAAGAAGTATTGCGTGCTATTGTCCGAACTCGGATGGGAGCCGTGTCCTTCTGCTCCAGGATTGTGGCGGAAAAAGAGCAAAACGCACCCAGGAAAGTATATGAAGATGTCAGTCTATGTTGATGATAACTTAGCTACTGGACCTGACTATCACGAGTTACGGTCTGAGCTCGACCGGATCTTTAGTCGCGCCCCTGGCCGACCTATTGAGATGGCAAAGCGAGTCGATTCTCTTACGGGTTTCGAATGGCTAGAGTTCGACTTTCTTGGTGCGATTGTGCACTATTGTCGGGAAGCACGTTCAGTGAAAATCCTGATGAATGTGTACATAGAGAAGACTTTACAGAAGTATAAAATAACATTAGGTAAGCCGGTGTGGTCTCCAAATTTCGACGAGTCTGCTTTGCTTGAGGAGGGGCTTAAGCTAGCAGCCGGGTTTCCATTGCGTGAGATTGTTGGCGCACTGCTTTGGATATCGACAACCGCAAGGCCAGATATTTGCGTCCCTGTGGCGACATTGGCTCGGTATGTCAGTAAGCCCGTTACAGAAAGAATTGCAAAAGCCTGTAGAAAAGTATTAAAGTATCTAGCTACGACAAAAGACCAAGGACTCTATTATTCTCCAGAAAGTGAGGAAGAATTCAACGGAATTTACAAGAAGCTCCTACCAGAAGGAAGAGAGCTACCGTATACTAACTGGTTCTCAGATGCAGGATTCGCAAACTGCATAAAGAGCATGCGCTCGACCAGTGGTTCGATTATGTACTATCGGGGCTTTCCAATCTGTTGGAAACGCAATACACAAACCGTGCGTGCATATTCAACTGCAGAGTCAGAGTATATAGCCGCGTCGGACACTATTGTCATGAGCGAGCTGCATGATTTTACAGATTTCTTCAATCCCTTACCCACTCAATTAGTGGAAACGCGGTTTGGTATATCGCCATCCCTCGATGATGCCATATTGTGGATAGACAACCAGTCTGCAATCTCGACAGCAAAGAGTGAAGACACGAAGCCTAAGAGTAGACACTATGCGTTACGTTATTTACGAGTTAGAGACGCAGCTGAGAAAGTAGTTTTCTGTCCTACTCACCTCATGAAAGCTGATGGACTAACGAAACTTTCATGCTCATCTACTCAACGCAGATTATTATTACATCACATAGAGAATCCAGTAATTAGCCGTAACCATGATGAAGATGATAGTGACTCGGAAACGGAAGATGATGAGTCTGGTTCAAGTTCTGCTTCCGTGGCGGTGCTTACCTATTCTATCTTCTTAGGGTGTTAGGTCGTTGGTCAAGTGGTGACGTCAGTGGATATAGAGAATCGTGATGGTTCTGGGTCAGAGCAGGTAACACCAGACCGTTTGTGACTTTCGTCATTTCCTCACCTAGCGATTGAGGAGGGGTGTTGGTCAATGGTCATTACTGGCTCAAGATCCAACGAACGAACCTGATTTCAATGTCAAATGACTGCTCTCACTCGTCACCTTGATCATGATCAATGCCGTTCCTTGTCTTGAACTCTTGTTAGTTCCTCCTATGATCATCGTTTGAACTCAATGAATTCCAACATGAATTAGCAGCAAGATCTCCCAGATCTTTAACTGCACTATGACCCCTCATGATATCCCAATGACATTGAACCCATTTTGATACCATTTCAGGGCCTTAAACAGTCAGTGATCATTCGGCACGTCCGTTCAGATCGTCTTTCTGTTACATTGCAACGATAATCATTCCATTTACTCTCAAGAGCCTCATAGTGCGCTTGGACGTGTTCGGGTGTTCCAACAGTACTGCATGAAGGATGAAAGCCTAAGGCTCAGAGGGAAAACGAACGGGTTAGTAGAAGGAATAGCATATTAGTAGAAGGAAAACTACTAACCCTATAGTGGCCTTGCTACCTATAGTGGCCTTGCAAAGGCGTTAGAAACAACGTCGAGCCGAGATTCTTGTTCTTCCAGGGGTAATAAGTGTACTTCTACTTTGCTAGAAACAAAGACATCATCTTGTTCTTGATCATCATCACGAGGTACGTCGTGATAGATTAAGATAGAAGAGTCGTGTTGAGTTTTGTAGCATGGTCATCCTCATGGTCTCCTTCTCCTGTGTTGTAGCATCCGCATGATCTCCTGTAATTCTTATTTTTACCTCCGCAAGAAAAAGACAATACAGTTGTACTCCTCCATACCACTAGTAGTCCACCTTGAACCGTGCTGCAGTTCATGTTGTGGGGAACCTTTTACGTTGCTCTGACTTCTCCGCGTCTCATCTTCAGGATCCTCTAGATCGCTTGTCGCCGTTGACATTTCGCGGCATGCCGTAACCAGCATGCCCAAGGTGGAGCTCCTAGAGCTTGATGAAGATGATAAAGCAGCAGGGCTTCTTTTTAGAGTGTCTCACTTAGAGACCGCGAGTGGTCCATCATTATCATGGTGCCCCCTTTAGTTCTACTAGCCTAATGGCGGGATAAAAGAACAGCTCCAGCATTGTGTCAAAAAATAAGTAGTTGTAGTAAAAACAAGTTTTAACTTTATTTATCAACAATATGCTAACGAAAGATCATAATCATGATCTTTCTTGTCCTACTTTCTCGACGCTACTAGTGGCATACGTTAGGACTCATATCAAATAATTGAACACAGCATAAAGACTGAATCTTCCTGTTTGTGGAAGGCGAAAGAAATGCGTTTTTTGCCATTTGGGCACGCCGTCTACGAGAGATCAGAGGCAGCGGTGGCAAGAAGGCACTAGACGAGGGGTGAATAAATTAGAATGAATCTAGGGTGGACCTGGAGGTTGCTCTTGCATTTTCTTTTGGTACTTTTTCTTCCATATTTCAATATTTTTAGACATTATGTTGCACGTCTTCTTCCAGTAGTACAGAAGACACATACGAAATTATATTGTTGCACGGGATAAGACACATACGAAGTTATATTATCAGGGGTGTCGCTTTCATCGACGTTCAGTTTCCAATTCAGTCTTTTTTTTTGTGTAGTGCGAGTTCTTAATCTCCTTAACAACTACGCTGATGCCCCTACGATTTTAAAACGCTGAACCCTAGGAGTAAAGGCAGGAGAAATTACACACCTAGCACCTGCCACCGCGAACGATGTCCGTCCCCCCATTACGCGCTTATAGGGAGTGCTAGGTTTGTGGGCCGCGGAACGATGTCCGCTTAATTAAATTAAATATCTAAGTACACAAGGGCCCAGCGCTCTTCTCGGGGAGGAATTAATTAGGTATCTACCGCTGTTTGGTAGAGTTAGACATTATTTTTACATTGTCGTCCACCATAAAAAGCCGCTAGAAGATGTTGCGAAGCAGCTCCAACGTCTTGTAGCTGCATCGAAGGCACCACTGAAGGGACATGGTCGACTGCTGCCCAAGAACCAGGAGGGAAAAAAAGCAAGAGACCACGAGAAAAAAGCATTTTGCTTCTTAGTTTAGTTTTCTATTCTGTGGACAGACTTTAGCAACACCAAACTCAATAAAAGAGCGATCTAGACAGGGAGTCACAGGAGTCTGACATATAGAGGGAGTCGCATTGACATTGTCGAGATGCATCAAATTAAGATGGATCCATCGTGTTGGAGCCGTTTTCTTGGAAGCCTCGTGCTAAACCACATCAATCATCATCAAGAAAGTAGCAGAAGCTTCTTTGTTGGGTTGTAGTTAAATATTACTCCAGATTTCACAACTGAATCAAATGAATACAAGCGAAACTACACGGCTTTTCGCTCGCTTCGTTTAGACCGAAAGCACAAGGAAACACTTGAGATGCGGTAGAGAACAAGCAGACAGAGTTGGAATACATCACTGCAGCCCATTACACCCCAAGAGCCCCCCATGTGAGAATCACCGGCAGGACACAGATCACAAAACGAGTAATATTATGTACATTGGCACGACGAAGATCACAAAACAAGAAATATGTGCATTGTCGTCGATTTTGATTGTGATTAGTCGTATGATAGTGCGGCTGAGTAGACGTTGATGCTCTACAAATAAATATAGAAAGAGCATGTAATAGGTACTTAGTATGAAATTGAGTAGTTCTAAAACTAACTCTAACTACAGCTATTGATCGACGAGGTCGTTAATTATGGCACAAGTTTTAACTACTAGTATGCAGCTCTGCGACTGCTGCTGTGGTCCGAACGTCATTTACGTTGATTATTTTTGACTTTTTTTATGAAAAGTATTATTTGCTTACACTGTAACAAGTAAATAATGTCAAGTCAGTAACAGTGGAGAATGTCGACGATGATAAGGGATTTTTACTAAGTAGAAGGTCCGGCATTTCTTCAGTGCCTTCGTATTCAAAATCAGTAGCATTTTTATTCTAAGAAGTTTATGGTCCTCGTCCTAAAATAGCAGTATCGCTTCTTCTACTTCTCAGGCAGGAGTAGCTGCTCTAACGAGAAATCTGTAAATACGTGGTCGGAAATTGATTTTCTTTGAAATTGTACAGATATATGCACATATATAGATATATAGGTAACAAGGAGGGAGGCCCCCCCTGTGGATGGAGCGGCGTTGGCGTCCGCGCGCCCTTTTTTTCGCGCGCGGTGGTGACATGAATGAAAGGACTCACGGGGGCGAAGGCCTCAAAAATCGAAGCCGGAGGCCCCTGGCGGCTCTCCGCGTGTACCCCACAGGCGTCCCGACACCCACGGCCCTATCAATCGGGGGGGCAGCCTCCGAAGGCGGCCACGGTCGCGAGGCCTGGTCCCTTTGGCCCTCATCCCCACAATTTACGGCAGCGTCAGCCGCCACCAAACGCCCGGAGCTGAAGGCCAAAGGCGATGTGGAGTGGGGGCAAGGCGTGCCCGCCTGGGTTCTGTCGGATACATGCAGCACGGCGAAAGGGGCCAAGCCTTGCCACCTGCTGCCATCGGTCTCAGAGGCCTTCCACCCCCCAAGAAACTCCCCCGGCGAGGAGCCCACACGCATGAGGCCTGCGGGGTACATGCAACACAGCAAGGGGGTCAAGCCTTGCCACCTTGGCCGCCTTCGGAAGCCTTCCACGCCCGGCCGCCGGTGCTTGAACGAGCTCAGGGGCGTGGCCTCTGTCGGGTACATGCAAGAGGCCGCGAGGGTGGGCGTTTGGATGCCTTCCCGCCCGGCAGTCCCTCGTGAAAAAGGGGCCGGGGCTGGAACTCATCCTCTCAAGAATTTAGACCGGGGGGGCCTTCAGCCCTGAGCCCTGGAGCTGCATATGCTTATGTGTATAGAAGATGGCCAAGATCATTGATCCTGGTGATATCGCATGTATATTTTTCAAGTAACAGCAAGTGCATGCGTAGACATGATATAATTGATTCCCTTCAAGACCTCCTCTCTTTTTTTTCAAGAATTACGTTTTTTGATGGTGGGCTTAGGTCTCAACTACTGGGCTTAACGATAGAAATTTAAAAAAATACATTAGTTACTTGTTCCAGTCAACTTAAGAGGGCCTGCAGTTCTGGGCCCTTCTACTCCTCTGCCGGAAAGCTGTTTTTTGCTTAAGTCGGCTTTTGCGGGTTGCAGACCGATTTATGTTTTCCTTCCGCCATCTCCCTTACCTGAAGGTTGCAATTTTAAAGATCGACGATAGATGCCAGCATGGTGTATCGAAGTTAACGAGCTAAATATGAGGGAGATTCGTTGTCCGTCGTGGTCCCTGCTTTTGAGTGCGCGAAGAGGAAGAAGGCGTCGAGGGCTAGCATAGACGTTCTCTCGCGCTCACGCTCACAACTTACTCGTAGTACCGGTCTGAAGATGAAAAGCAAGGACGAGCTCGAAGAACGTGAAGGAGAAAGAAGCAATTAAATAAATAACTAAATTCACTATTTAGCTAGAGGATGCTACAGCCCTTGGCGTCCCACCCTCTAGGTCCTTGGTGGTGGACGCTGGAGGGGATGGGTGCTCGCACTGACTCTAGACCACCGTATCTGACAGGACCAAGGGTACCGGTTCACCAAGCCAGATTCTAGAGCCAGCCGCATCCGACCATAAAGTTTCAACAGAACTAGCTTTACAACCCAAAGCTAAATCCATAAGAGCTATTAAAGAGGGAAGGCAAGCAGAAAGAAGCGGGGAACCAGGTACTTCATCTCGCTCTCGTCGAGTAAAGGTCTAAAAATTCATACAAAGGCGATCGGGGTTGTATGCGTACAGCGTAAAGGGCCGACCGAAGACAAGCCAAGTAAGTACTCATAAACGGAGCGACGACATCGAACAGAGACTGCAACTACAGACGAGAAAACTTACGACAAGGTCAAGGACAGTAACGAAAGCTCAAACCACTTAAAACCTGACAGAACCACCGATTTACGATGTCGCCCAAGAAACGCTCAATAAACGATTCAAACACAAACACCGTGGGCAACCGAATAAAAAAGCAACAAAGACTCCTCCGGATTCTCACTCATCCACTTCCGAACCCCAAACACCCGAACCACCCCCAGCGCTCGAACCCCCAACACCCAAACCCCCAGCACCGGCACCCAAAGCGCCCAACCCCAAGCCCATGAACTTATATAAGAATAGAAACTACTCGCGAACTTATAAACTTACGAAGTAAAGTTCAGCCTACGCATAGCCAAAGACAACCGCAAGCGGCTCGATTTAAAACCTAGCTAAGCGATATAGTCAAGTTTTTGATTTTATCAGCCAGAAACGAAGTCCGGCGAGCCTACGCGCAGCCAATCACGGCCGCGGGCAGTTCGGTTTAAATTCTAAGCGATTCATTGCGAGACAATCAAAAACTTCGCTACTTTAGACGAAAGTAGCGAAGTTCTTGACTTTATCAGCCCGCAACGCAGCCTACGCGTAGCCAATAACGACCGCAGGCGATTCGCTTTAAATTCTAAGCGATAACATGGCCAAAAACTTTGCATTTGCTATTTTGCGCGAAAATGGCGAAGCTTTTGACTTTAGTATCAGCCAGAAACGAAGCTCAGCCTACTTACGCGTAGCCAATCACGGCCGCCTGGGATTCGAGTGTAGTTCTAAGCGATATACTATAGTCAAACGCCTTGCCATTTTAGGCTAAAAAAGCGACCCTTCTGACTTTGTCAGCCAGAGTCAAAATTTAAGCTTTTAAATAGTCAACGCTAAAACCTCAAGCCCAAGGCCTCAGGCGTGGCATGTCATTAGACTACGACCACGACACCAGCCAACGCGCTGCCGGTGATGTGTAGCCAATCACGGCCGAAGGTGACTCACTTTAAGTTCTAAGAAATGAAGTCAAAAGCCCTGCTCTTTCAGAACAGTAGCAAAATTTTTGACTTTATCAGCCGGGGCTAAGCGTTAGACTTCTCAAATTCGAGCACTCAACTCCAAAGCCACAAGCGTGGCACGCCATGCGCCTTCGATCGATCGCGATTCGGCCAACACGCGGCCCGTGATGTGTAGCCAATCTCGACCACAAGCGACCCAATTAAGATTCTAAGCGATAAAGTTAAACAGTCTACTACTTTGGGTTAGCGTGCCGAGCTGATTTTCTTTCATCATTCAGCCGCGACCAAGTTTCAAACTTTTCGAATTCAAGGACTCGACCCCAACACAACAAACCCAAGGCCTCAGGCGCAAAGCTTTAAGCCTAACACTTCGGGCCCAAAGCTTCGTGCCCAGGCCTTTATAAAGCCAAGACCCAAAGAGAGCCCAACACCCCAGGCCCAACGCTTCAGCCCCAAGCCTTTAGGCCGAAGGCTTCAAGCCCGAAGCATGACGCCCAAGGCGTTGGGCCTAAGCCTTCACGCCCAAAGGCTCAAGTCCAAAACTTCAGCCAAAACTCTTCAAATCCAGCTACGCCCTAAGCCCAACGCTTTGGCTTATAAAATCCAAAGCCCCAAAACCCAAGTAGCGCCAAGCCCGAAGCTTTACCCCTAGAGCTTAGCCGCAGCTCAAAGCTTCAAACTGAGGGCCACAAGCTTCGTTTCAGGCTGCAAGCTAGAAGCTTCAAGCCCACCCCAAGAAGTGAAGCCCCCACCCCAAGGAGGTGCACTATATTCAAAAGCAGGCAAAATCTGAAACACCTCAAAAAGAAAAACCTCAGGGGAGCGGCTGCCCCTGTCAAATTCCTCGGCGCCCCTGCCCCGACTCCTCTTCCGCGGGTCAACTCCGTAAAGGAAGCGCCGCGAGCTGGCAGAAGAGGAGCGGAGGGGGGCGCGTCTTGACGGAAGAAATGCCTGAAGGAAGTGGAGGACTCTAGTGGAGGAATAGCTATCGGGCGCTGGAGTCTAGTAAATTCTTGCAACAAGAAGAAGAAGCAGGAGAAGAAGCTGCTGCAGACGAATAAAGTAAAAGCATCACAAAAGAAAGCTGGAAAAGTCAAGAGCCAGTGCCAAACTCTTCTTGACATATCAAAAGTATAGTTCTGCGTTGATGCATTTCTTCCACTTCATCTGTTTGGGATTCTACTTTCGCACGAATACATAGAAAATAGTTACGCATTATACGCACATCACCAAAAAATAAGAAGAAGTCTAAGTTTATAAGTACGATGTTCTGAAACTCGATCCAAGCAAATAGACACTCCACCGAATCCCCTATTTCGGCCAACTGCATATTCTTGGTGGCAGCAATCAATTTCTCACAAGAAAGACGATGCTTTTCAAGAAGTTGCGCGATCGCGTTCGCTGCTGCCTCTCGTGCGGGCTTATAGCGATCACCATTTTCCAATCTAATCTCGACGCTTGCAGCTCTGATCGCGTCTGCGATTACTACTTGGTGAGGACCAAGAGACAACATCATGAAGGATGAGGAGGAAGAATGGAGGTTTTCATGGATTCTTGTATTATGGGTACATGATGTACTATGAGACCGCTGGCTTTCCATTGCAGCTTGTGAAGAACAGCAGTGACCCTATTATAGATAGAAGATAGGCGTCGGAAGATATACAGTTACAGAATTCATCTACAAGAAGAAAACACAGAGAAATAGTTCCAGCCCATTCGCGTCGCGCGTTGTTTCCCCTATCATGGAGGGTGAGGAGGGAGACTTCACGGGGATCTAATCAATATGATAAAATAACAGAGGAAGAAGTGGCATCGTCTGTGCAACCACTCCAAAATACTAGCATATTTTCATATCTTTTGCTTGAGTCGGCGTTTGCGGGTGGCAGGCCGGAGAATGTTTCTCTTTCCCCAGAGCAAGTACCTGAAGGTTGCAATTGTAAAAATCGACGATAGATGCCAGCATTCTACATTAATACTTTCTTGTAACAAGAAGAAGAAGAAGGAGTCGTTGGTCCAACGAAGGAATAAAGTAAAAGCATCACAGAAGAAAGTTGGAAATGTCAAGAGCCAAGAATGTCAAACTCTTTTTGACATAATTAAATAAAAAGTGTAGTACTGTGTTGATGCATTTCTTGGTGGTCTTCAATCATCTGTTTCGGATTCTACTTTCGAGTAAAGACATAGTAAATAGTTACGCATACGCACATCATCACCAAAAAATAAGAAGAAGTCTAAGGTTATAAGTACGACACTCTTAAACTGGACCCAAGCATATAGAAACTCCGCCGCACCCCCTATTTCGGTAAACTCCATTTCATTGGTGGCAGCAATCAATTGAGCACAAGAAAGATGATCCTGCTTAAGAAGTTGCCCGGCTGCCGTATCTGCTGCAACCTTTCCGGACGCATAGGGCTCGCCCCATTCAAACCCGGCGCATGCATTTCTGATTGCATCTCGAATTTTTTCCTTTACAACTTCTTTGCGAGTGCCAAGAGATAGCATGAAGGATAAGGAGGAAGAACAATGGGGGTTTTTGTGGATTCGTGTATTATGAGTACACTATGCACTATGAGATCGCTGGCTTTCCATTGCAGCTTGTGAACAGCAGTGACCCTATTATTATAGATAGAAGATAGGCGTCGGAAGATATACAGTTACAGCCTTCTACAAGAAGAAAACACAGAGAAATAGTTCCAGCCGATTCGCGTCGCGCGTTGTTTCCCCTATCCTGAAGGGTGAGGAGGGAGACTTCACGGCCACGTTGGGATCTAATATGATAAAATAACAGAGGAAGAAGTGGCATCGTCTGTGCAACCACTCCAAAATACTAGCATATTTTCATATCAGTAATTCTTTCATTAATCGGAAAAAATCCACAGAAATGAGTCATCATGATAGTTCTTGGCAGCTTCAGGTATAGTCGTTTACTACTAGAAGTAAGATGAAGAACTGGGCTTTGAATTTAATTACTCGCAAAAAGCTAGCACGCATAAGAGGATCTCCTGCAGAGGTGCTTGGAGTTCTGGGCGCTTGATCTACTCCTCGGCCGGAAAGATTTTGGCCCTCTTTTGCTTGAGTCGGCGTTTGCGGGTTGCAGGCCGGAGTATGTCTCTTGTCCTTCAGCTCCCCTATAACCTGAAGGTTGCCATTGTAAAGATCGACGATAGATGCCAGTATTGTATATTTTAGTACTTTCATGTAACAAGAAGAAGAAGAAGATGAAGTTGTTGGAGGCGAACAAAGTAAAAAAAGCATAACAAAAGAAGGTTGGAAATATCAAGAGCCGATGCCCAACTCTTCTTGACATATAAAAAATGTAGTACTGTGTTGATGCCTTGCTTGGTGTTCATCTGTTTCGGATTCTACTTTCGCATGAATACATACAAAATAGTTACACATTATACGCACGACATCACCAAAAAATCAGAAACAGAAGAAGTCTAAGTTTATAAGTACAATGCCCTTAAACTTGCTCCAAGCAAATAGAAACTCCACCGCATTCCCTATTTCCGTCCACTGCATTTTCTCGGTGGCAGCAATCAATTGATCACAAGAAAGATGATGCCTTCGACGAAGTTGCTCGATTGACGTCGCTGCTGCATCCTTTGCGGACGCAAAGCGATCGCCCGATTCAAACCTCTCGCTTGCAGCTCTGTTGATTGCGAATGCGATTTTTTTGCGAGTACCAAGAGGTAACATCAACATGAAGGATAAGGAGGAAGAATGGGGGTTGTTGTGGATTCTTGTATTATGAGTACATTAATATGATGTACTATCAGACCGCTGGCTTTCCATTGCCTCTTGTGAACAGCAGTGACCCTAGTATCATAGATAGAAGATAGGCGTCGGAAGATATACAGTTACAGCCTTCTACAAGAAGAAAACACAGAGAAATAGTTCCAGCCTCGTCTTAACGACATTTCTGTCCGCAGCGCCCGCTCCTGCTTGAATCGTCTGGTGTCTGCTCTGCGGCGCGGTTGGAAGCTCTGACGGTCTCTTCTGGAGGACTTTGTCCGCGTAATATGAGTGTTTCGGAACTACAGCCTCCAGCTGATACGTCCACGTGGGAACGCTCCACGTTTTTCTTGTCTTGTCCTCGTTCAGCCAGTTTGCCAATGCGGTTTGCGTCGCGCTGTCGCCTTGCTCGATGAAAATGCCGAGAACCGCCCTGGCACCGCATTCCTTCACGATAACCTCGTTGTTGCTTTGCACAAAGCTGTATTCTATGTCGTCCTGGCCCTTCGGCTTGCCCACCCTCTCCCAGGCCGGCCAGGAGTTGATGTGCTCGGCAATTTTCTTCAGGTCCCCCACGGCGATTTCTTTGGTGGCATCCTTCGGCAGAAATGTGATTAGAGCTCTTGCTCATAGTGCATCTTTGTTACTAGCCAGATGCATCTCGCCAATATACAGCAACAGTGATTATCAAAACCAAAAGAGTTTAGGACTCGAAGACGAGACCGATTGTTTTGACCACTGACCAGATTGGTATTCTCATCTATTAATCCTAACAGTCGAATAAATTCCCCGGAAAAAAATTCAAATTCAAAAAAATTGGAATGAAGAAAGACGAGCTATCTCTAGTATAGTAGTCATAAGGTGAATCTCTCTTGCGGCCGTGATTCCTTTGCTTTTTCGCGTTGATTGGTATCCCGCCACCAGAGCCTGTCTGCGTTCTTCGGCTCGCTTATAAAGCTATTCCAGTTATGATCGGCGACTTTCTGATCTGCTGGTACGGTGATCACCCTTGGAGTGCCGAAAAATGCCGGACGGCATGTAATTTCCTGCGGGTCGTGCAGGCTCTTGTAGGCTGCATTTTGCCACTCTGTGTATTGCTCCCTCACGTGACTATAGCGTCGCTTAGCGGATTGACCTGGATCCAAATAGTTCGAACCTGTGTCGTATGAGGCTACTGCCAGCACGGAGCATTGTCCAGCGTCGATGAGGATGCCCGGCTTCAAGCCTCCTCGTAACGGATTGTAACGGAGTACGCTGGGTAGCAGGTGCATCGAAAAATTGACGATGGGCTCTTCGCCCTTGAAAATCTTCAGTATCGACTCGCGGTCGGCCTGAAAGAGCAGAAGTGGGTCTTCACTGCGGAGGAGCTTCTTCAGCTCGTTGTCACTTCGGGGGCCCGTCCAGACTGATTTATACTGCAGCTGCTTCCATTCGACTTCTGCCGCTTGGAGTATTTTCTTCTCCTCCGCGTCGCGCTTTGCTTGTGCCTTCGCGTTGTCGTCCCTGAGAATTCGCGACTGGAGGACTCCGCGAGCGTCTTTGACTATCTTGTCGAGGCTGTTCTCTCCTTCAGTGGGAGCTCGCTTCAGCAGTTGGAGCATCTTCTGCCTTGCCACGTTGACGTGCTCAGCACTTTCCTCGTTGAGCGCCTGCGCTATTGTCCCCAAAAAATCTCGCGACCGATTCACGAACCAGTATGCTTTCGGGTGCGCTTCGAAACATCCAGATACCAGCTGTGAACCGAAGAGCAGGTGCGCTCTTACCAACTCAACGGCGCATTCTGGATGTTCTTTCGTATACAGCTTCACGCTTTTAGTCGCAACTGACTCCCACAGGGTATCAAAAACTGCCTCAGTCAACGCTCTCCGCACCGCATCGGGCTTCCCGAAATGCTGCGCCGAAAACAAATCTGGCCGCGTGAAATATTTCCACACACGTGGGAAAGTCTGCGCGACCCGCGTGCGCAACTCCCCTGCAGATAGCTGTTCACGCCAGCCGTTGAAACCATTCTTGATGCTCTCCGCGCTTACGATTACGGCCTCTTCGCTTGCTGGTGGAACACGGTGTTGTAGATCCTGAAGAGCATCTTCAAGATCTTGACATTTTCCATGTTCTTCCTTGGAAGAAAAGACGCTGTCCTTGAGCTCTTGCGTGCAGACTGATGGTCCACCATGATTGAGCTGCATGGTGGAGGACGACTGATCGGCGCTTCCAGATTGAAGATCGCCGCTTTTCCCAGCCTGTGTTGTTTCTGTGGCCGGTCCACTGTTCTGTGACCCGGGCGCTTTAAGTGCAGTTGATGAAGCAGCAGATGCCCCGAGCCCTGGTGCCGCAGGTCCTGATGCAGTAGACGCCTCGAGCCCTTGTTTCGCAGGTCCTGGCGCAGCAGATGCCTCGGGCGCTTGTCCCTGACCGACATCGCTCGAAGCTTCTTCAGTCTTGGTCTCGGGTACCCTTGTTACGGCCATTTGCTCAGCATCGGCCGTGTGGCTTTCAGTAGGTGCGCCCTCCTCTCGTTTTTTCTCATCCTTCCCAGATGGCGCGCGATCCACCTGCTGCGTCCCACACGAAGGACACTTCGTGGTCAGACTCACGTCTAAGAAAGATGATTCAGCTCCTTGCTCGACAGACTTCTCGTATGTTAGAGGTAGTCTTTCACTAACACCATCCGCGCTTACGATGAGCGGCTTCCCTTTCCTTCTTCCCTTAAGATGAACATCCCTTCGACAAAATTCAAACTGGACGCCGCTCAGCATATAATAGTCAGACCACACGGATAGTGGATAGTGATATGGTATTAGCCTTAAGAAGTATGCTCTGGCCGAGCCGCGGAGGTGGGATCGAACTCGGCGAACAGAAACAGATGTTTTACTGACCTTGCCAGACGGCTCTTGTACTCCCTGGTGCGTGTCATCCTGCACGATGTTGATTGTCTTATCTGTGTTCCTTCGCTTCTGCTCTAACGGTAACGCTGCAGGTACGACCATGACTGCCGCACACGTGACACGGCGACTACAGGATCGCACTCTCCCACCATTCTCGCCGCGCGCAGTTGTTACCTTCGAACCAGGCAGCAACTTGCTTCGGAAGGTGTTCACAGAGGTTAGAAAATGAGGAGGATCGAAAATGACTGCTGTGAGACAATATTACGGGTGGAGCCAAGCTAACTAGGAAGAAAAAGTAAGGATAGGTAAAAAGTATATAAGTAGTATAGAATTATAGTAATGGCCAAGCTAAGTAGGATCCGTCTATTCTAGGCGCCGCGTGTCGTCCAACAGCCCTGGACTGTGAGACAATATTTTCAATTCGCTGCTAATTGCCAAGCAGGTCATTCTTGTAAGTAGTCGCTGTCATCAAACAAGGGTCAGGTCGTGCATCTGCAGTTTTTACATGGAATGTTCATGCTGGTCCTACAACAAGTTGAAGTAGCCTTAAGTTTTTCCTTATTGTTCGGCTTCTTCCCCGGTAGGCTTCTAGATCTGCCTCATTCACGCGTAGTGTTATCGTCGTGGGCGATGTAGTCGTCTTTCTCGTTGAAGTCTTTGACTTTGCCGTCATACCTCATTTTGAAGTCATGAAATGAAGGTGGTTTAATATTGCCTACGTTCTTGTCTATAGAAGTGTAGTATGTGTAATGAATAAAGATGTTCCCCTGTTCCTGTTCCAGTTGTCTTAAGATGTATAAAAAAACGTGCAAAATGAAATAGATGCACTAAGAAGCTTATCGAGAAAAACCGCTGTACCTGGCGAGCGCTTGTTCTTTTGATTCCCTTTCCGAGGTTTCCTCTCCAAGGGCGATACTGAGTTCGTCACTGGACTCTTTGACGTCGTACTCGTGCCTTGATTTTTTGGTCAGAAAATATCTTCAAGAACTGCCAGATCGTAGTTGTTATTGTTGGCTATTTTTGTAATTCGATTTATTTAATTTTACATAATCAAAAAAAAAAAACCAAGCAGATGCTCAACTTCGTTGTGTGTTAAAAATGATGAACAAGATTGATCAAGCCACTATACCGCAATAATATTCCCAAATAAAAAGTGCAACTTTTTATTCAGATCTCCTACCTGGCGAACCCTTCCCCTTTTTCTCTTTGCGGGGTTTCCCCTCCAAAGACGAAACTGGAGGCGAGGACGTAGTAATCTTTGTCGGTGGGCTCCTTGACGTCGTACTCGTGCCTTGTTTTTTTGGTCAGAAGATAACAGCTACCAGATCATAGCCGTTTTTAGCTTACTTGAGTTTTTACATGATCAAAAAAAAAGCAAGCAGATGCAACAGATCTTTAATTTCATTGAGTGTCAAATAACGATGATCAAACTTCTTGTATGTTGTACAACGAGAAATCTTAACAATCCATAGAAGTGAAGTAAAAGTATGTATAATAAATAAGAAATAAAAAGCTGTACCAACTGGGGAGTCCTTATTCCCTTTCCGGGATTTCCTTTTCAAAGGCGACTTAGCTGACATCTTTGATGCTGCAAAATGACTTCAATCAAAAGTATTATCACATCATGGACATAGGATGAATACCAAGTTAATATCTTGTTCTTCTTGGATCATCACTTTTGTGTTACTTATACTAAGTTCTTCATCAATCATGGTCAGCACGCAATTGTAGAAGAAAGGACTTCGTTGTAGTACTTGGAGTCATCAAAACTAGATCTGTGGTGTTGGTAATGAGCAAACTGAGCAAGCTGAACAAGGAGAGTGAACAAGAGTGACGTGGTACAATTGTAATTCTCAATAACTTACTATTATACCTACTAGCAACGACGTCGACCTCGACGGTCGGACCTCCAGGCACCCTACGTAATTATAGATAGATGATGCAAAAAACTACATATATGTTCCAGGGCTCAGGGCGGGAGGCCCCCCCCCCCCCCCCCCCCCC